GAGTTGGCTTACAGAGAATTTGCCATGTGTTTGAGGATAGCAAAATAATAGAATTTGAACACCCTAAAACAAAAGGCACACCTCACAACAACAGACTTCTTTCGCTACCTACAACTGAAAGATTTTGTGAGCCAGGCACACATGAGAGGGTCTTTCTTCGAGAGGATGTGTCTATGTGAGTCTATGCAGTCGAGCTTAATTACCATATTGTACGCCCATCTGGGCTCTGAAACGAATGTCTAAAGATGAATGTCTTTAAAATATACAGAACAGTGGGAAGCAGATTAGAAGAGGAAATATTAGGAGGTGTGGAGTGGCAAGATATAAGGGAAGCTAATAACACCGTGTCCTATGCGTGGGGCTACAGGAACAATCATTTAAAACCATGTTCAGGTGGTACACTACACCAGTGAAATTATATAGAATGAAAAAAATCACTGACGGATACATGTTGGAGAGGCTGTGGCCAGAGGGGTTCCTACATACATATGTGGTGGGAATGTCTCCAAGTTCAACTATACTGGAAAATTATACAGGACCTGATCGGTCAAATTTTCCAACGTAAGCCAGATTATAACCCATGGGTGTACCTATTAAGCAGACCACTGGAGGGCTTAAAGGGCATTGGCCCAATCATGGCTCAAAGCTCAACTTCCCCCCCATTCAGGTGGTACTGGCTAAATTACGGAATACTTACCTAATTGACCATCTGACCGCCAAGGTCAGGGGCTCCGTGAAAACATTTGAGAAAATATGGGTAACCTGGACTAACTGCAATTTAGTGGACTAATGTATGGGTATAGCGCTTGGCATATTTAATTTATAATTCTAATTTACTACAAAAAAAAAAGGTGGGGGGGGGTAAAACAAAATAACGTGAAAAGACCCGGGCATGGGGAGGAGGTTTGCGATGGCAAAGACTGCGGGACTATAGGGAGGGCTTCCCTCACCCGACCGCCCTGAACTTCTTGGATACCTACACATCTTATCCACTCTTCTTTGTTCTTCTTGATCTTACTCTTCCTCAAGAAGAACTCTTCCTGTCCTTTCTCTTTCTGTTCTTCCTTATCTCGCTTCTCCAGATAGGAAGGTGATACAAAGTAGAGGGTGATTTCCATTTGATCAATGCGGTTACGCTATATACTCATGGACTCACTTGGTACGGTACACATTTCCTATCTAACCACAAGATCGGCTACCTGCAGCACCATCAGATGTAGTATTATAACTTTATAGCCTCTATAAGTTTATATCTTAAACATAACAGTTTCCTCCACAAAATGTCATGGACCGGAAGTATTGCATACATTGTACTCTAGATGTGTATTTTATAGCATGTTACGATCTGCTTGAACGATGTACAATCCTTATTATACCTGCTTGACATGATGTTATGTTCATAACGATCACTCAGAAATAGAGAATTGAAAAAAAATTTTTAAATACTACAGGATGTATTCACTAAACAAGGATTTGTGGTTAACCAATAACTTAATGGGTATATTTTGTGCAAAAACAAATGTTACAATCTCCAACTAAGCTTCTTCCTTCGTCACATGGCTCACAATGAATACATTCCTAATCCTATCCAGTAATTAAAACTAATCTAATACTGTACACTGCACTATCTAGTTATCCATCCATTTATTCATCAATCCCTTCATAATTTATTTCAGGCAGGATTTAACATCATTTTGTTTACTAGACACACAACGCTTCTTCTACATGCTGTCACACAATTGAAACCAAATATGCTGTAGTCAATAAAGTTTTATTGAATAAAGCAAGTTCCAGGCCAAATATATATGAAACATGCAAGAGAGCAGTTGCAAACAGCATGGGAATTACATTGGTACAATACTATAAGGGGAGCACATTGTGTGTAAGTGTACTTTTGGGACAATCAAAATGTGCAGATCCCTTTGTTTAAAAATGGACACACCAGGATTTTTCTTTTACAATAGAAAGTTGGGAACTATCTGTAAATCACAGATTCTGATTGGCTGCTGACATTATTTGCTGTCTGCAGTGTTTCCCTCATTATTTAATTTATATTTATTATTTATTTAGCTAGTTGGAAGAAAGGGGTATTAATATATCAAGCTTACAATCATCTTATGTAAAGCTCCATTTTCTTTCACATATATATTAAAGATTTAGAAATTAACTTCACAACGTAGGATGCACTATGCATTGGAGAAGGAAACATTTCATGTGACTACATATATTCAATGACAGAAAATGGCAGAGCTATAACATCCATTGAAGTAGAGCCTATATGATGTGGATTTCTACATTTAATTTTTTAGATCTAAAACATGCATGTCAGTGGAAGCATGTTATAGTGGATATGGTGCCAGGAGTACCCTCACACCTCATACATTGTGAGTAGTTACTGTTTTAGAACAGTCTGACCTCTTACCTGATGTCCGCCAGACCCCAGTTCTTGACCCTCAACATGATAGCTGAAAGCTTCTGCTTAGATTTTATTGACTCTTAGGTCTTCGTATTAGGAATACAACTTTGTATTGCTAGCATTATAGTTTTCCTTTAACTTCTGCTCTGAGAAACAGTTTGACAGTGAAACAACTGCTGCTGCATTCTTAAAATATATGCCCCCACCCCTTTCCCCGTGGCACATAAATGGTTAAAAAGAACAATATTTACTCACCCGATTACAGTGGCGATCTCTCTCAACATTGGGTCGGCGCTCTGCTTTCTCCAATGTCATCCGATGGGGGGGACTTAAGGTTCATGCGAGGCAAGTGCCGTGAGCACATTAGTACCTTCCAATAGGAAAGCATTGCCTCAATGCTCTTCTGTAGGGATTTCAAAGACGCTGTATGTCTTCATGCACAGCATTGGACCTAGAGTCTGGTAAACTCCATGAAACGCGTCTAGTGGATGTCTGTCAGGCAGCAATGTAATTTAATGTCATTTAGTTTCTCTACAACTGCGATGTTTTACATTGCAAGACTAGAGGGGACAGGGACACTGCACCTAGATGTTTTCAGTGCGCCTAGTACTATTTTGTAATGTATTTTTTCGTATGGATCTGTTTGCATCCAACCAAACTCTAAATAACAGCCCAATAATGTATCACATGTTCAACCAAATGTCATGTTTTACAGTGCAAAACCCTCTTAAACGGCAACTTTAAACTGACCGTATTCTAAGATATACATTATAAAGTTCCGCAAAAGGTTTACACTCATAGGAATCAAATATTTGTGCCCTGTGCTGTAATCTGCAGTACTTTGTATACATAAATCTATAGATGGTCAACTCTGATGGGTCTCTATTCTGCTAAAACGTAGCTTTTGTTTCAATGTCAACGTATCAGTTTTAAGGCCCTGATGAAAGTTTATCATTTTAAACTGAAACGTTGAATATTTTATGAAACACTCATTAATGCAAACAAATTCACTCCTTCTGTCATGTAATATGAATTAATAAGGGGTGAGGGATCCTGTAAGGCTTAAGAAGCCGTGTGAATGAGGGTGGGCATTGCTAGGCAGCATTGAGTGAGTCCAGCTGACTAGGAGGTAGCAGTCTGCACCTTGTTCCGGTGTTCAAACTGACTTGCCCCTTTCCATTGTTGCTCAATTTAGTGTCTTTTAGCAGTTTTGCAAATATCTCTTTTTCAAACTTTCTTACATTCCTGGAATTTGAGTAACCAGTGACTTTTGTATGTAAAAGCAAAATATATGCGAGCACTGAATCATATTGAAGGGAAGCTGCTGGCAGAGCTTCAGATGCCGGCTCTGTTTTGGAGTACATCTGAAAATAACAGTGTTTTTCTAGTATTTTGAGCGCTTTACTACACAGACAACTTTAGCAATAGAGGGGTTGTGTGTAAGCCGCTTGATGCTGTCATGATATATAAAAATAATTTTCTCACAGAACAACAAATGTTTAACTGTACAACTGTACTGTAGTCCTTTCTGTTTCCCCTTCTTATCTTCACTTTATCTTATCCTGCCAGACCTCCCAGCTCTTGTGACCTGCCACACATCCTGTATATTCCTTAAACTCTCTATACGTATACACATATGCAGTTGTTTTTGGGCCACAAAACTTATTTTGTCAATTGTGTAAGTGAAAAGAAGTTAACGTGACCTCTGCAGTGAAAAAGTGTAAACTCAACATAGTTTATAAAACTAAATTAATGCACTATTACTACTTATTTTCTGAATGTAACTGATGCTGTTGGCACCGGAAATAATGTAAAGGAAGGGGGAATAATGCATTCTATTGAATCACACCAAATTCTGGGAACTAATTTCCCACAGTCATGGAAGAAGTGAAATCTGAAAAGGGGCTGGCTATTCATACAATACATACTTCTTCGACCAAAAAAAAATTAACTTTCCAAAAACTTTGAAACGACCTTCACAGTTGCTAGATTTTATATTTTTTTTAAACACATTGTTCAGAGGCTGTCGGTTCGTATTTGTCTTTGTTAATTTTTTAAATTCTTTTTTGGTGGGTGGCTGAATATAACAAATTCAACATATAAACACAGAATTGTGTAAATTGAAAACCGAAATGGACAAAGAAGTCTAGAGATTGTTTGGTGATATAATTTTTCCAGAGCCGATGACATTACAGATTATTGGTCGGGCTGATTGCCAATAACTGGTGCCGATATTCTGTACATTTAAATTTTTGAAAAAGCTGTTACTGATCACTCTTAGGCAGCCAGCCCAGAACATTACAGTTGATTGCTCACTGTCTCACCTTCCTGCCTTCTGCTGAGTTCCTCATGTGGGGACTTACAGGGAGGTGTGACGTGGAGTTGCAGTGTGGCGCCTTATTGGATGGTGTTTTTAGATGCAGAATACCGGGAGAGGTGATTACGTTAATGCAGGGCTCGACAAATCCCAGGCTCCAGGTCATCATGATGACTAAGATTTTGTCCTCTTGCCTGAGATGCGTCAGCCCGTTCTTTCCTATGAAAGGAACTGTAACTACTTCCGGCGCTGAGGCCGCGCAGGTGAATGACAAGCTGGCAGGGCACCAGGTGTCTGCTCGCTGCCAGCACGCCCATTCTGCAGAGCCGCCTGCTCGCCTATTCCCATGTGCTGGTTCAGCTCCAGGGGGAAGTGGTTCAGTTCAGAGAGCTGCAAGTGGATACAGAGACAGGAGGGAGAGTCTGGACCAGCAGCAGCCCACTTCCATTACCCGCATCCAGCCCCACTGTAATCTGCTGCCGCCCAGTCCTACTGGACCCCAGCAAAGCCACTCTCCTGCGGCCACAAAGTAGGAAACAGGATGGTGGCTAAAATAAATAAAAAAATCTGTGTGTGTGTATGTCTGTGTTTGTACTTGTCTCTGTCTATGAATCTTTGCGTGTGTATATCTATTTCAGTGTGTCAAATAATATTTTTTTATAATAATACTTTGAGTGTGCGAGAGAATGTCTGTCAGTGTGTGTATGTCTGTGAGTGAGTTTACATATATCTGTATGTTTTTGTGTGTATCTGTCTGTCAGTGAATGTGTATGTTTAGGTCACCAGCTCCCCTCCAATCACATCGGCTCCGTAGCTGAAATGATCAATCTTCACCCTTACCAGATTTATGATGATGTTTAGTTGGAGTCTTTTTCATTGAAAAAGTGATGTAGATTATCTGGCCACTGTGCTGTTGGTTTCAGCTGGTTGAACCTCATGTATTACTGTAGTGGTCTACATGTTGCTATGAGAATAAACACCAGACTCACAATTTCAATAAGTGTTACCCTTCTTTCTTAAGATCTCTGGACGGAAGGCTTCAGGTGTCTCATCGAAAAGGTTTGCCCCATGTTATATACTGCCGTCTCTGGAGGTGGCCAGATTTGCACAGTCACCACGAACTACGAGCCATGGAGATGTGTGAATATGCATTCAACATGAAGAAGGATGAAGTTTGTGTTAATCCGTATCATTATCAGAGAGTGGAGACACCAGGTACAGAGTGCATGTAACAGAGAACATACATTTTATGCAACTATAATATTAGTTTTTTATGTTCAGTAGTAAGTGTTGCAAAGAGATAGTTCAATACAAAGGACAAGGGTGTGTGTGGCAACTAAAGGAGTTGTAGTGTAGAGCAATATAATGTCTGTCTTATATACAAGTTAAATAAATCACTTGGATTGGATATGTATGTAAAAGTTAGGGGAAGATTGGTATGGTAGTACAATTTATGGAGATATTGAGAGATTCCTTAGGCGTCTAAAGGAATGATATATATACAGGGTTACAGACAGAAATTAAAAAATAATTGAAAGTGAATTTTAAATGTAAGGCTAAAATCACTAAACTGGAAAAATTATGAAGTCAGCTCTGTCCCACTTTGGCTAATTTGACTCACTTTGAACTTCACACAATATTCTGTTTTAGTTGATAACTGCGATAGTGTAACAGAGGGGTGGTATGATGACTTAATGGATCTTTAGGAAGACTTGAAATTGTGTGTATTTGTACATTTCACATGCATTTCATCAGGAAAAGCAATACAAATGATGCAATTGTAACGTATGTAAAAATGTATAATAAAAAGCTAATGTACACCAAATAGCATCAGGGCCTGGGAGCTTACCCAAGTGTCAATTGGCCAAAACCGCAACATCCTCCCTGATTAGAGATGTTTCAAACTGAAAAGACAAAATAGCTTTTTACATCATTTATATTATTGTCTGGGGCACAAATCGTGTATTTTAAGCATAATACATACATCTCTGATGGTTAGAAAGTAGTTTTGGCCCTACTGTGTATCATTATTATTATTTGTGCACAATAATTTTAGTACCTATTTATTTTCAGTTGTGCATCCCACTAGTATATATTTACTTGTTGAATCTGTTATTTTGTTATCACAGTTCTTCCACCAGTGTTGGTCCCAAGACACACTGATATTCCTGCAGAATTTCCTCCTCTTGACGATTACAGTCATTCCATCCCTGAGAACACCAATTTCCCAGCAGGCATTGAGCCACAGATAAACTACATTGCAGGTCTGTTTCAAAATTTCAAAGACAGGGTTAACTGTAACGTTTCTTTTCTTGAATAAATTAATCGTATACAAGGTATAAATTCAGACTGATTTTTAAAATGTAGGCCATCATAGCTGAATTAGAAAAAAAAAGTAAGCTCACTGGCTTTTGTGAAAATGTAGCCTTGGTGAGTGTGACACAGACTATCCAGGCTTTCAGTGGCTAGTACATTTTAAAGTCTGGCTAGTAGTATAGGTCTTGGAAATGTAAGCCTTGTATATAATATTATGTGAGTTTGGGTATGTATTGTATTAAGTTAAAATAATAAAACACTGATTTATCCACTGAATAATTCAGTCCATCGGATTATTTTACTGCATTTTGGCTGATTGGTTCTTACCATCACTTGCTATCTGGCTCAAAGTTGTGTTTTTATTGTCACTATTGCCTCCTCCACTTTAAAACACTGTCAGTACCTCAAGTGGTAATTGCAGCTGGACCCCCTAGCTTGCTTAGATAAAAATAATAGTTGGTATTATACTATACATAAGCATTTTTATTGAAAGAAAGGTTTTGTGATAGTGCCACTTTAACATTGTTTGACCAGGTGTGGCCAGCAAATGGTTTCCAATTGCTGTTGAACTACATTTGCAGGGATGATATGCCAGCTCATTCTATGGAAGATACGTTATACCGGAGAGCTGGTGCTGTTAACTATCTCAATTTTTAGCAAATATGTAATTTCTAGACTGTATTTATTACCACCCTGCTGTGTGAAAAGGTTCTATCTTGAAAGCTTACATCTTAATTCTGCTCTAGTAGCCAATTAACATTTACTCAGATAGTTTCCTCTTAATTCATCTCTTATTGTAATAAACCGTAGGATGTTCTAATAAAGATATATCTTTAATTTCTTTAGAAACCCCTCCTCCAGGTTATTTAAGCGAAGATGGGGAAACCAGTGACCAAATGAATCATTCCATAGACACAGGTGAGAATAAAAAATGGAATGGAGAGAGATGGTTTTGTGCAATTTCTTTTCTTTTCTTTTTTTTCTTCTTTCTTTGGTTCTGTTTGGGTCTATGTTTAATATGATGTACATTGTTTTTTAGGATCACCGAATATGTCTCCAAACTCAATGTCCCCAGCACACAGTAACATGGGTAAATATCAGTGTTCTTCCAAAATGCAGTCCTTATTAATTACGAACACAATCTTTTAATTTCATGTAATGTAAAAGAAAAGTAGACCTTAAATGAGAAAAAAACCAACATAACTTGTATATCAAAATAATAATAAATCTTTATCTTTTAAGTTAAATTAACATAATAATGCATCTGTTTACCATGTTGCTCACATGAACATTTGGTTGGTAGTACATGGATTGGAATCTGTTTTGCTGATTATGGACCAAGGTAAATGCATGTAGGCAACGGATGGGGATATGTTAGCGTTCTTGGACAAATTATATTTGAAATTGCTGGTTATGATCTTCATTTAGTTTTGTAATATGATGAATCTTGGAATTTGAAGTAATACCATGAACATCAGCCAACCTGGTTTCCCACTTCCTATAAACCATTTAAAAAAAAAAAAAAAAAATTTACTGGATGCAAAAGAATCAACTGCAGTACTTTCAAGTTACTAAGAGGACTATGCGCTGAAACCCTAAAGGAAAATCCAATTAGTGGGATTAATCTGGAATACGTTCTATGTTTTGCATGTAGTTTCAGTACAGTGTGGTCCCACGATCGCTTATCAGTTCTTGGCTATTGCGTTGTTCTGTCTCTGGCTGTGTGACTCAGGCTTTCCCATCTGCTATGAGTTCTGCTGCAAACTTCTGATCTTCCTAAAGTCTAGTTAATCCGGTCTGAGCCGAGAGCACAACATAAATGAAATATGCTTTGTTTCCTGCAGGTATGTGTTAACACTATACCTGATGGCAAAACATCCTAGTTATTACTCATAGATTGTGCATTTGAACAGTTTTTCTTAATCCTAAAGAATATGACAAGCATTGCTATGTATAAAATATGTACAAAACAAAAAATGATGGGTTTATAACTGTCGCAGAGCTCCAATGCTCGACAGAGTATCTCTGCCCACCAAAACATTGGTCAAAACATGATAAAGGGTGAAAACAGGAATGTTTTATTTGGTCAAAGCACACACATTTATACAAAGACCCCCCCCCCGACAGATCTTACCCAGGTGCCTCTCTGCCTGGGAGATATCTAGATCGAGAACCGCTAATCTAATTAACCTCCAGACATGAGGGTGCCTTAACAAAATACCCCAAAAACATATTTCTGTACCAGTAAACACCACCTATAATGTATTCCCAGATAGTTCAACCTGACAGCTCAACAATATGTAGGATTGCAACCTGGTTAAAATTCTGAGCCGATGACTAGTTACATGCAGCCGGCCTGAGTTGGTGGGTTGCTCTGGAGGACCTAACCTGTACAGATATTTTTTCTGGGTGGTCGGATTTCAGGGTGCTTGGTCTGGTATTGTCTTCTATTGTCTTCTAGGGAAAGGCAAGAGCCACAGTAAGGTAATTAGAAGTCTTTTCTGCTTATAGGATAGTCTTGTTACAATATCTATCAGTTCAAAATGTTTGCTGTGAATCAGCATTCGTTGTCTAGTCTGTCTGATAAAAGATTAACATTTTATCTACTCTTAAGATGGGTGATAAGATTTGATTCTCAAAGAAGACGGTGCTCCACAGAGTCTAACTTATTATGCATATGTCAGAAGAATATATACCTTCTTATGCGGAATTTGTTGCCACTTTATAAATAATAATGTCACATTGGATGCATAATTCCTTTTTAGGGGCTCAATGTTCCCAGTCCCTTTACCCTAAGCTGGTGTCCCTTGTTTTCTAGCAGCTCAGATTGTTTTCATGTGTTTGTGTAAATAATCAAACAAATGCATTTCTTTTTCCCTCCAAGCATTACCTTCTTCTTTCTAAAATTGCATTTGTAATTTTGGAAAATAGTAATAAATAATAGTAATAAATAAATATATATTTATATACGGTTGTGCATCATGCACATATCTCAAATGGGACCTTGTCTGCTTTGGCACACAGTAATTCTGCAAAATAATGTTTCCACAATCGAAGGATACTTACATATTTAAACCACAATTCCCTGAACTTTTTTAATTTCATGTACGGTATATACAAATGTCAGTAACATTAAAGCATGACTGACCTCTTAACATTTAGAGTGACAGACAGTAACCTAAAAAAACCTGCATGTTTCACACAACCTCTGGCTTGACTGGTCTGGAAAACAATATTGGTATCCTGGCTGTCTCTTTTCTAGTTGGGTGGCTGACATGATGTCATAAAAGCCAATAGGAAGCACCTGTTTGTTGTCTCCAGAGCTTAGCAAGAAACACTTCCTGGAGCAGGGTGCTAGGATATTATGGGAGCTGAATGACTAAACAGTGAATTGTTCAAGCTTGGCTACTATGGGAAACATTTTGGAATTCACTTTTCATTTCACCCATTTTTATAAATAAGAGTCAACTACATAGGCTAAATTTGGGCATGCTATCCTAGAACAAATAAAATTTGCTGCACAGTTTTGTTTTTTTTTCCTTTTTTTATAGAAAACTTTCTTCTTGTTATAGTAAATGGAAGCACCGAGAAACAAGACCTTTAGTTTTACAGACCCCAAAAGCATTTCCTGTTTCCAGGATATCCTCAACTTGCCACATGAATCTAATCACTGGCTTAGCCGTTTTATGGCATCACCTGTCAGCCATTGTGGCTTAAGCTGGGATACTCTGAAAATCTGCACCCCACACCCACCTCGAATTCTAGAGGTTGAAATGTTACAAATACCATTTGTAAAGCTCAGGAAAGACAGAGGAATTGAATAAAACAATATAGTACCGCAATATATATGTTTAGGAGTGCATTTACCTTTTTAAATTTAACAGCAGAGTTTATGATTTACAGTTAAAACAGCCTTTTGATTAAAAGTGACAATATCACCTTACATAGAAACATAGAATGTGACGGCAGATAAGAACCATTCGGCCCATCTAGTCTGCCCAATTTTCTAAATACTTTCATTACTCCCTAGTCTTATCTTATAGTTAGGATAGCCTTATGCCTATCCCACGCATGCTTAAACTCCTTTACTGTGTTAACCTCTACCACTTCAGCTGGAAGGCTATTCCATGCATCCACTACCCTCTCAGTAAAGTAATAATCCCTGATATTATTTTCAAACCTTTGTCCCTCTAATTTAAGAGGGACAGAAAACCTGTATTATCAACAGTAAGGTGATGGATTAAATATATTTGTATGGATTCTGTTTCACAGTACAGCACAGTAGTGTGAGCAGTTTAATATGGGTAACAAGACAGCTGGATCTATGACACAGGAAAGTAAGAGGTCACATGTAAAGCCAGGGACCCAAGTGTCTGAACTTGGAGTGCAAGTTAATAAACATTTTAACTCTTTGATTGTCACAAAGATGAGCAATGCAACAAAACGATAAAGTTATGACTGCATGTGAACCAGGTGCTGCACGTCATGTTTAAACTATAAGCCTAAATGTCTGATTACGGAAAGTCTGCTGTGAGCATTGAATATCAATGTGTATTTTTACAGCAAAGTGGATTGTCAGCAATTCTCGAAGAATAATATATTACGATAGCAGAGCATATTAATATTAATATAAACATGCCCCCAAGTGATCCCCTCCTAGTCCCGTGGAACTTGGCCGGATGCAGTGTTTAGGTCAGGCGGTTTGGTTTGGCAGAAAGCCATCTCTGGATATATGAGGGGCCTGTCCTTATCAGAAAGGTTGTAGCCTTGTGGGAGTGAAATCATCCTTTGTTAACTCACTCGCTCTCTTTTTAATTTTTTTTGTTCTCTCTCTTCTGAAAAACGCTGCTGTTCTAAATAGAGTAGGCCTTTGGTCTTTAGAGTGTCAGAGCAGTAAATTATCTCATTGTCTCACACATTACAGAAAGATGGCATTTATTCATTCAATCAGAATTTGTGGAAAATTAAAAAAAGAAAGTGCATGTTTTGGGCTAGGATAGTTGAACTGGTAAAAACCTCTAGTTCAGCTGGGTTTGCAATTTCCTTGCATGATGCACTATAATTCATTCTGTTTAAGTTTTAAGAATGTGACACATACTGCCACTTATATGCCAATGTCATTTAGCAATGAAGAATGGTCAGTTTCGTTTGTGTGACAGAGAGGTATTTTAGCAGGGTAGACCCTTTGCAGATTTCTTACATTACCATCATCTTCAAGCAGGCATAGAATGGCATTTATATGTTATACTGGCAAAGAGTTAAAAGGTATACTTACTTGATGTTTGTTGTTACCTGCTTTAAAATTGTCTGACTTAAACACATTCACTAACTCACAAATGCTGATGATGGCATTCTACAATTCCAAGCTTGCCGCACGCAGCATGCGAACAATCATCACATCCTGCCATCCACATTGGGAGATCGAGGATGGCAACATATTTGGATTCTTACTCTGTCAGTGTTGCGGAATTAAAGGGACACTATAGTCACTAGTGCAACTACATGTATTCCTGACCCTATAGTGTCAACACAACCATCTAGCCCCCCTGTGCCCCTCATGCCTCCATAAATATATTAAAAATCTTACTGTATTCAAGCCAGAAGCTGTAACTCTGCATGCGGTTTGCCTAAAAAAAAACCAAAAAACAGTTTGCTGACATCATCAGAAGTGGTAGCCTGATCCAATAACAATGCTTCCTCATAGGATTGGCTGAGACTGACAAAGAGGCAGATCGGGGCAGAGCCAGCATGATTCAAACACAGCCCTGGCCAATCAGCAACTCCTCATAGATATGAATTGGATCAATGAATCTCTATGAGGATAGTTCAGTGTCTGCATGCAGAGGGAGGAGACACAGTGCTGCCCTGTGCTCTGCTGACAGCAGATCTGAGTGGATTGAGGAGTTTTATGCCTCAATCAACTCCGAAGTCCCTCTGGTTCACTGTGAGTGACTGCAACAGGAGGTGTTCCTAGCTTTCAATGTAAACACTGTATTTTCTCGGAAAATACAGTGTTTACATGAGAGAGGCTGCAGGGAGCTATAGTTCTCACCTGAACAACCTCATTAAGCTGAAGTTGTTCAGGTGACTATAGTGTCCCTTTAAGATTAAATAAATAATACGTGTTTTTTTTATCTGTACATTTGCTAGCAACTCCATAAGCATAAGGTGTAATAATTTAATGATTACAATTTTACAATTAAACTTGCTAACCTAGATATAACCTAAGATCATACTTTGAGGATACTGCAAGTATGGTACTTTTCTAGGAATAGCATGCTCTTCGTGACAATGTGTGTTTATTATATGCTATCCTAGCAACCTACTTTTCTACCCCCACCCTTACCTTTTGTGTCACTATACCCCACTGCCTCTAGCATGTAAGCTCATTGAGCAGGGCCCTCAGTCCCTTTGTTCCCGTGTGTCCAACTCGTCTGGTTACAAATACGTGTCTGTTAGTCCACCCATTGTACAGCGCTGTGAAACTTGTAAACGCTTTATAAATATTAATAATAATTATATTAAGCTTTATTAAACTGGCTTATATATATATATTTTTTGTATTTTGTGTAGATCTGCAGCCAGTGACATACTGTGAGCCAGCCTTCTGGTGCTCCATTTCCTACTATGAACTTAACCAGCGAGTAGGTGAGACCTTTCATGCCTCTCAGCCCTCCATGACAGTGGACGGATTTACAGACCCTTCAAACTCTGAGCGTTTCTGTCTGGGACTGCTCTCCAATGTCAATCGAAATGCTGCTGTGGAGCTGACCCGACGGCACATTGGTAAACTTATTTCTACTAGAGCTCTGTGTATCTCATAGCTGTAGTAATAACTTTTTGATAGCCGTTTCTTATCATTTTGGATGTTCTTTTGCTGTCATTGAACCTAAACCACAGTCATTTTTTGTCCGCTGTCCCTCTCCGTTATTTGTCTGAAATTCATGTAAGTAAGGAATTGCATTTTTTGCAGAAGAATTGCTAAGCTTTTGTGAAATAAAATAAAGATATATAAAAATAATTCTCCCTTCTTGCTAATTCTCTGGTTATGAAAACATTTCCATCCTGGACCCCTTAATGTTGGGGGAAAAATTTTAGTCAATGTAAGGAGTTTGTATATTCGGTAGGAAAAAAGAAAATCGTCAAAAGTTTCTTTACTCTTAACTTGCAGGTTGTGCAAATGCTTCTCAGCATCCAAACAGATGAAACCATTTGAAAAGTATTATATATTGCAACAATCTGTATCCCTTCTTTTTACAAATGCCTGTTCTAATCCTACTTTCAGGCAGAGGAGTGCGTCTATATTATATTGGAGGTGAAGTGTTTGCTGAATGCCTTAGTGACAGTGCAATATTTGTACAATCTCCAAACTGCAACCAGCGCTATGGCTGGCATCCAGCTACCGTCTGCAAGATACCACCAGGTAAGCTGATACTTTAAAGGAACACAAAGCACCATAACAACCAGAGCTCACTGTAGTGCCCTTGCACCCTCTCCTATCATATGGAGTTTTTGAAATGTTTAACGTCTTACCTGGGATCCACCAGACGCCGCTCACTTATCCACTACCATCAGAGACCTGGAAATTTCTAAGCAGGAACTTCTGTTAGCTCTGCTGAGATCAGCCATGCCAGGCAGGGATTAGCTCATTGGCCTAGAGTTGAACTGATGCTGTCAGTCAGTCAGATAAGCGATGCATTGCAGGACTAAGCAGAGGAGAGCTAATGGAAGTTCCTGATTAGGAGCTTCACTCTCTATTGTTGGTAGTGGTGGCACGGAGTGGCGCTTAGCACACCCATGTAAAAAGGCAAACGGCTCAAATCGGTTTGACTCTTTACAGTGGAGGGCACTCCTGAGACCATAACAACTTCAGTGAGCTATAGTAGTTATAATGCTTGCAGTGTTCCTTTAAGATCCTTGTTTACTACGAGAAATAATGTAAGTGGTCGCAGCTTAAGTGTAACATGTACTATGTCATTCAGATACCTTCACACCAACGAACAGTAAGACACATGTCACAAACACACTGCTCCATACACATTGCTACTTGTATGACACTTCCTAGACATACACTCACTACACCTCTCAAACTGTTTATATATTGTACTTCAAATCAGCAGCAATGGAAATATCTCTGTATGGACTATTTATGTCTTTGACAAGAGGAAAAAAAATAAAAGTAAGCTGGCATAGCTACATTAGGCACCTGGCATGCAAGCTGGGAAATGTACTGTACAGTGAAATAACCTTTTTATCTCATTGTCTCTAAAGTTTAGAAATAATGGTTTAGAGTCTAAACCAATAGAATCCATTTTTAATATAGGGACTACATAGCTTCTGCTATTAGATCATCTAATGCTGTGCCATATCACCAGGCTTGGCACATCAGATATTTACAGATTGTCTGGCTAATATACACCATAGAGTTACAGGAACAGACTGAAACACGGGTACAATGTTGGTAAAGGTAGCAATCAGTCAGACACTCAATGTTTGCAGCACTGGAAATGTCTTCAGCTGGAATCTATCCGCCATTTCTTCTGAAGGGGAATATAAAAAAACAAACCAAAAAAAAAAAAACACTTTTGTCATGTAATGTCTCAGGAAGACAGCAATTCCCTCCATATGACACATCTCAGACACATACATTACTACACAGAATGGATGCACATTGTAAAATGGTGCAGAGAAACAACTAGTAACATTTGGGGGCACATTTCCAAAGGTAGAGCAATCCGTAGGGACATTTTATAGGCTCTATGGCAACTCCTCCACTTTTAACATGCACAGTTTTTTTGGTATGACACATCAAGCATACACTGATTCCATCACTGAAACAGTGACATATAATATATATATACTGCCATGCACTGCCTTCTCAAAATGTGTATTTTCAATTGGTCCTTATGATTTCTTTTAATTATATCTGGGGGTTTTTTTTTTGTTTTTGTTTTTCAGGTTGTAACCTGAAGATATTCAATAACCAGGAGTTTGCAGCACTTCTTGCTCAATCTGTTAACCAGGGATTTGAGGCAGTTTATCAACTGACCAGGATGTGCACTATACGCATGAGTTTTGTCAAGGGATGGGGAGCGGAATACAGGTTTGTGTTAAAGAATGCTTATATAAAATCTTCTCTTAGAGCGGTCACTTGTGCTTTCCTAGCAGGATAGAGCTGTTACCAAAGACCGGATCTATATAAAATAAATTGTTAATAAGATTATTTTTGTTAACTTTGCTTTATTCTGACTATTTATCCAGACGTAATGATGATCTAGTTTATACATCAATTTATGTATGAAACACACATATATATATATATATATATATAATATTCCTTGAATAATTATTTAATAAGCAATGAGGATGACAATTTCAGCATGATAATCTTTGTGTGTCCGTTTGTCATCTGGAGTTTCCATTTCAGTACATCTATAAAAAGGAAGAGTGGCACTCTTACATTATCAGAGTCAGTCAACTGGGCACACAAATGCTTATTTGTTTCTGTCAGGATGATTTACAAAGGTGAGAATTGTCAGGGAATTAAATTGAATTTTTGAAATTCACTTAGATTTTGTTTGGAATTCCCAGCAATTCTACTTTTAGTAAATAACCATGTGTGTGTATTACTCATACTTTGTGTGTGTATTTTGGTTTGTCACTCTTGGTTTCTGTGGAACTTTGTTTGTATCAGACACAATCACAGAGTAAAAATAAATGACAAACTGACACATGAACATTTGTAGAAAAACAAACTTTAAGAGGGCACACAGAAACAAAAAAAAATCCAAGCTGACATGCATACACAATTGCACACAGAGCATGACAAATGATCAGTTTATGTTTGTATTGTATTATTACTTTTAGGTTTTAGGTGTTTTGTATTTTGTGATAGTTTGTTCTGAGTGAGTGTGTATTTGCCTCTGACAAAATTAACATTCAGTCATAGAAATATGAGCCAGTGACATGCCCATAAATGGACAATGACAAAGTTGTCACATTGTGTAGCAACTTGACAGTTCCTGTGTTTGCCTTTCTCGTTCTTTGTATTTGTCCATTTGTTGTGTGTTTATATAGTTGCTATTTGTAAGTTTGTATCAAACAAAATCACTGAGAAATAATGACAAAAACACAATGACAATCTAACAAAAACACATAAAAACAATGGCTGATGGATACTTGCACACTTACAAAAACTGAGAATGACAAACTGAAACAAGTACACAATAACCAAGAATGACATATTGACAAAGATATACAACACAGAAATTTAGGATCGCTAACTGACACAAGTACACACATACAATACACTAACTGATAAATCTAAACGTAAATAAATCATTTTCACCGAGATTCATGCTACGACAGATACAAACACAAACTGGTAGCATCAAACTAAGCAGTTTTGTAGCAAAGTGGTACTTTCCAATATATTCATTAAAAAGAAGTAGCCAACAGCCACAATGCACCAACATAGCTTGTGCGTGTTCATATGCAGTGGATGGGGCATTCATTTATATCTATAAGCTGACTGCATAGAGACTAAAAAATAAAAAAATCATAATGTGTAAAAAAAAAAAAAAGTATATTTAAGTAGCACAATGTATATGTAAAATGGGTCTGTACCCATTGTAATTATGTCTTCCTATGCAAGGAGCGCTTTAAGACAGGATTCTTGCTTACAAATCTGTCATTAGGTCATTCAGTGCTTCCCCTGCCACTTATATCCTCAGAGTTCTATTTATCATAATTATTTATATAAAGGAAGGACTACAGTTTTATGTATGTCTAGTAAATAGGATACAAATAAGCAGATTGTACAGGTATTTTCACAATACTGGGCAATGTTATAAATTGGTCGTTTGATTTGTCACAGATGTTTTCATTGGCCGATTTTCCTGTTAAATGTTCCATTTTGCATGATGCCTCGCTGGAATTTTTTTTCCTTTTCTATTTGAAGGAGTATGGATAATTATCTTTGGGGTCTGTTTTAAAAAAATATTGTGGCAATGGTAAGTATGCCCATAGTGACCAGAGAGGCGGTGACGCTGTGACAGATGTCATTTTGTGGTGGGTGTAACATACACTGACTGCCAGAGTGAAACATTTTGCTATTGTGGGAGCAATAGAGACACCCAAAGCAGATCCCAGCTCTGCCTGCTGACTTCCAGATGTTCAGTGACCATTATGCCATTAACCTCTTAGTGCCAGAATATAGTATATTGAAGCAAAAGCACAATGATCACATGCTGGTGTGGTCCTGGATGGGTTAAAGCTAATCTTCCACTCTTGACAGTCAGTTTCAGCTCTGGCCAGGAGCCAGGGGAACTAATGGAACCCAGATGTGCCTCTGTTTGGCAGCCTCATTATGGATCTTGAGGTTTCATTCTCACATTTCACTCACTATTTCCTTGCTTAACCCTTTTGGTACTAAATCATTGCACATTTCCTTAAAAACTAGCCTTATTAACATTTAGAACGACTGACAATCAAACCAGAAACAATATAAAAAATACAACTTGAAAGTCTAAATATATTGAGATCAAGTAGGAGAGTTTTCAACCTACCAAGAGCTACTCCCTAGACTAAGTTAAGATTTTGCTATTTGTTTTTTTTCCTTATTAATCTATTTTGAAATACATGTGTCAGTGGTAATGTTGTAATAAAAGAAAAACAAAGAGTGCCGGGTTGTCCCCTAGCACTCCATAATGTAAAGTTAAAATAATTTATAACTGCTCTGTACATTGCTTTTCCCCAGGCGTCAGACTGTCACAAGCACCCCCTGCTGGATTGAGTTGCACCTGAATGGTCCCCTGCAGTGGCTAGATAAAGTTCTAACACAAATGGGTTCGCCAAACATTCGCTGCTCCAGTGTCTCCTAGAGAGAAATATCCAGGTCTTGAGATCACTTCCTACCAATATTGAGTTTCTGAACTAAACCAGCCTAGCTCAGTCCGGTCTAAAGTTGGACACACTTTCCCTGAACAAATGTTGCAAATACTTCGTAGAGCACTTACATGATGCAGCAGAGGAGATCTTGATGGAACTACAAGTCAATAAAATGAAATGCTATCCAATAGAGATGGGAAAAAAAAAAGACGACTTTTGATCTGGAACCTCAGAGCATTTGCTCATCATGGTTGTCCCCAGTTGTTAATTGGATATGGCATACATCTACTAGGCAACCTTACCAAGGTTCTACCTAAAGCCAAGAAGTCCAGTAAACCGTATTCATTAGTGGGACATTGCAACGGTATGAAGCATCTCTGCCAATACAGGGATTCCATGTTTTTGTTTTTTACTACAGACTCTATGGATGTACTGATTAAATGCTAAAGACTGATGTGAGTGGACTTCTTGCATAGAAATACTTACATCTAGAAGTATTCAAGTTCTTACCTTTCAAATTGGGTGTATGACCATACATTCAAGACAAAGAGAGAGGCAGATTGCTCAGTGCTCTGTCTCGTAAAGGGTTATATTTTGCTGTATGGCATATGGATCCACTGTGGGGGTTGGCAGTTTCTATTTAGGTAACAACCCCACTGTATTCTCCAGATCTCTGTAAACACTGCCATAATGCACAGTATGGAAGTGAATTTTCTTTAGTTTATACGTTGTAGCCAAATCTGTCATGTAGCTGTCTCACATCTATTTTTATTCCAGGTTTACAGACTGGTATAATATAGGTAATCCCACAGGTGGAAGCCCCAACTTCATGGGATATAGATATGGGACCTCAAGCTAAATTGTCATACAGCATTATTGTATATGAAGATGGGCTGAGGTGGAGTAGCATCTACTTTGGTTCAGGTGCAGTTAAATCTGTTTTTTAATAGTACAAGAATTTCCAAAAGAACTGGAATAAGGACAAGTACATTTAACACAAGCACATTCTGTGTTCTCTCTTACTGTCCTTCACATGTACATCTCAGTAAGTTCAAATAAGCCGTTTCAGGGACATAAAGCCTCAAACTCTAGAAATGGCCGAGCACCAAATTACCTACATAGCTCTGCTTTATTTAACCACTTATGTGCAGTACTGGCTGGCAAGAGTACAAATCACACAACAGGAGAGAATTGAAACAACCTGGAATTTTTTTTATTTTAATCTTTCAGAGCGGCACAATAGTTTACCCATAGTGACTCCATCCCAAATCAGTTCTGCATCAGTTTTCTTTATAAATTGCAAACATAGATATTCTCTGCTGTGTACATATCTTCACAGAGATTATCTCTATAGATCTGCAATAATACAGGATAAAGATCTTTAAATAGCCCTTCAATGCCAGCTCTCATACACTAGGCTCTACAGTCTTATTATAGAGTTTAAAAGTCTTATGTACTCCATTGGATGTGTAGGCATCCTATCCTTTTGAGTATTAGTCACTAAATAGGGAAGTGACGACAATTTTTATGCCAAGTATCTGGGATGGAGAATATTGCAACTCTGATATGTATTCATCAATGAAAAAGCCTGTTCTGTAGCATAAATTGAACACCTTTAACCCCCCTCCCCCTCCATATCGAAACAAATTATAAGCTTATGCTTTTTTATTTTAGTTGCATTTCTTTTTTTATTATGTCTTTTATGTATCTTGTATGTTAGTATTTGTCTTTCTTAGTGATGCATCAGTCTTTGGTATTTGTGCCTGTGCTCGTGTTATGTTCTGATCTTGTGTGTTTGCCTTGTCCAGATTTATACACAGTTACACTCTTTGCTAACAGGTTGAAGCAGACACTCCTATCAAAGTACCAAATAAAACGGAGAAGTATAAAATACTGTTTCCAATAGTATTCAGGTTATACATAAAATAATTTACTCTTACTGTGTCAACTCCTATTTCTTGTTTATGATTGTGAATGTAAATAAATCTTTATCACTCCTTTTCAAACAGTTTACTTTAATCTTATGAGGTTGCAAATTCAAGCAAAATGGCCCTACCAGACGTATTTACCATTGTCGCTGTGCTGTTCATAAAGAGTATTTTTAAAACAAAAAATGTGTTTTAGCTACATTTTTGTAACCATTTCAAAACAGTTTAGATATGCTTTGAATATGAACCCTGAAATAAAACAGTTAATGTTTTTATTTTACAACATTCAAACACAATTACAATAGGAAAAAGAGGTTGAAAAAATTTTTTTTGTGTTATTTCTTTTAAATTCAATTAAATTTTATTGCAAATTACACTTGTAGTAAAACTAAGTAAGGTTTAAGTTTATGTGGGCCAAAAAAAAAAAAAAATACTGTATATTTTCATAGAAACGTAGGTTTATTTTAAAAAGTTCAGTATAACCCCACCCCCCCTCTACCAAACCACAGCCCCCCTCTACCACCCTGTGCCAAATCACATCCTCCCACTGACACACACATACTGACAGACAGACAGACTCACTGACATACTCACAGACACACACATACTTTTAGTTATTGCTCCTTACCTTATGCAGCTGATGTGGGGATCTCCCTGGGGTCCTTCCAGCTCCTCACGCGGTTTAGTGGTGCTGGAATATGACGTCATATTCCGGCGCCCGGCTTCACTTCAGTCAGCGTGTGCGAGGGAGCAGTGAGGAGCTGGAACACTGAGCTCCCTCGTGGCCTTTCTCCCGGCCGGGTAAATGTTAGCAGAGTAGGCACCTGCAGTGTGGGGAAAGCAGGTGCCTACTCTGCTATTACACCAGCATGTACTCGCGGCTCGCCGGGCCGCAAAAAATGGCATGCTTGCTTTATATGGAAACTATAGTGCCAGGAAAAAGTTGTATTTAGTTGTGTAGTGCCCCTAGACAGCCACTAGAGGTGGAGATAACCCTCAATGTAATTATTGCAGTTTATTAAAAACTGGAATAATTACCTTTGCGGGGTCAAGGGACTTGGGACTATGCACCCAGACCACTTCAATGAGCTGAAGTTGTCTTGGTACCTGTAATGTCCCTTTAATTTTAGACTCAATGGATTGAATAGCCATACATTGCCACAAGCAGTGTAGCAAGCTTTCAGTAAATCACTTCAGGGGCATTTGTCTTGCATAGATAATCCTTTTTGAGAACTGCAGCTCGTATAGTAATTTGAAAAACACTTCCTAGTAGGTGGCAGGAGGAATTATTTGAAGCGTTTTCTATAAATAAGTAGGAAAAACGGTCTGGAAAGCTGTGTCATTGAGGGGGCACTAAACATGGATCTCATTGACTACTAATCAAATAGGCAAAGGGAAAGGTTGGTGGTTAAACGGACATATCAGAATGTGTAGAAGGTTTGTCCATTATTGTTGGATAAGGTGAGGCAATTTTGAGCATATGTAACTGTACCTAAAGAATATGGAAACGTTTTATGTTTAGGTATTTTTTTGCTTTGCTGAGCATCTGCAATTTATTAAAGGACCATTATAGTGCCAGGAAAACAAACTAGTTTTCTTGGCACTATAGGGTCTTTGGGTACCCCCACCCTCAAGGTCCTACTCCCGCTTGGCTGAAGGTGGAGGAAAGGTTTAAATTCTTACCTTTCTCCAGTGCCGGGCCCTCTCTGCGCTGGGGAAATCACCGGAGAGAGCCGCACGCGCATTCAATCAGTCCATAGGAAAGCATTACCCAATGCTTTCCTATGGACGTCTGTGTCTTCTCACTGTGATTTTCATAGTGAGAAGCGCGGAAGCGCCTCTAGTGGCTGTCAATAAGACAGCCACTAGAGGCTGGATTAACCGTAATGTAAACCGCTATGTTTACAGCTGCAGGGTTAACCCTAGATGGACCTGGCACCCAGACCACTTCATTAAGCTGAAGTGGTCTGGGTGCCTATAGTGGTCCTTTAAGGAGTGGATATAACTGACTCATTGTAGTGCTTTAATGGATTTTATACAGGGCTATTCACTAAAGTGAGAATTCAAAGTGAATTTCAAACTTGAGGTCAACTTACCTGAATAGAAAGTATAACTGACTTAAGAGAATTTTTTTAGTTTGGCTATTATTACCTTTAATTTAAAATTCACATTGAATTCACCTCAAATAACCTTGACACAGTTGAGTTCCAATATGCAGCATTTTGTGTATGAGCAATTCTATAGATTTGGGGGGAGTGCTGTTATTTTGTATTCTGCATTACCCCCGCCCAAACTGGCAGAACAAAAATAACAACCTGCTGATCAAAGATTATAGAAGTCCCCTGCCCCCAGAACTCATAGTTTAACTGAAAGGAAAGCTAGCTGAACCCTTAAGGGAGGAAGCCTGATACTGCCATGGAGAAAAGAATTACATTAAATATGGAATACATTTTCATTTTTCCTGGTTAACCATAGCAGCATTACTAATGTGTAATAGCAAAGCAGTAAGGGGGGGAAAAAGGGAGGGACACAAACTTAAAGACCAACACTGCAAAATATTTTTTCATTGCTTAAGATAACATCCACTAGAACGCTTCATCCAAAACAAGATTCTGCAGATGATGCCATGTCCAGCATGTAGTGATAGGTTTAACGAGAGGACTAAGCTGCCAGCCTGTAAATATTCTATTATTAATATTCTGGGTCCTCTTAAAAGAAGCCACAATTCTTGTCATGGAGTGAGCCCTGATGCTTTCAAGAGCTTACAGGACTAAGGACCAAGATCTGCAGCTAATCTAAACTCCTAAAATGGACACTAAAGGCACTAGAACAACTTTAGCTTAATGGAGTGATTTTGGTGTACAGATCATGTCCATGTAGTCTCACTGCTCAATTATCTGCCATTTAAGAGTTAAATCACGTTGTTTATGCAGCCCTGGGAACACCTCTCTGCATGTGACTTACACAGCCTTCCTAAACATTTCCTGTAAAGAGTTGTCTAATGTTTATACTTACTTTATTGCACAGTCTGTTTATTTGACAATTGAGCTCCTGCTCTGTTAATAGCCTGCTAGACCCCACAGAAGTGTTCTGTGTGTGATTTAAAGTTCAATTTACAGAGCAAATAAGTTAACATCTAAATTAAAAACATTATACCTGGTTTTCTCTCATGCAAGCTATGTCATTTACAGCCATTAACTCATAAATGACAGAATTGTACATTACCAGGGGCATGATCTATACACCAAACCTGCTTTATTAAGGTAAATTTATTTTTATGCCTATAGTATCCCTTTTAAGGGCATGTACAAGATGAGCTCAGCTTATACCCTTCCATATTGTCTACTTGTAGCTGGAGACTGACCTAAGTAAAGTCTTACCTTGCTATAGGTTCATGCCTAAGGAATATCTTGCTTTCTTTTGGAAGCCTGGGTTTTCTGTTCTCATCACTCTTTGGAACTTAATTCCAGGCGTTACATTTCTTAGGGCAAAAAGGAAAGACCTTAGGAAATTTGGCCTGTAAAGACAGCCTCTTATCTGCTGACAATTAATGTTGATTCATGCATAGTGGATGACAAGTGGAAAGCTAATGAAAGTCTATTACAGTCAAACCAGTCCTTAGGATTCTAATTTTTCAGCCCAGCACTCATGGAAAGGTTCTTGATCAGTATTCAAAGTTCTCGGTCTCCTTAGACTCTTGTTTAAATGAAACACTATAGCGTTAGGAATAAAAACCTATCCGTGTTGCTTTTTATAGTGGTGTGTCCCAGCGGCCGCCCCTCATGTATTACTCCATACATCCTATATCGGTTCTGCTACCCTTCCTTCATTTAATCACTCTTATCTCATTAAATGTTCCAATATCTCAGCACCAGGTGCACCACTATTTCCATCTCTACACCTGCTCCCTTCACTTTCCACCCACTACCTACTCTCAATCTGCATACTTGTACACCTTGTGTGACCCTGTCCCTAACAACACCCTATTTTACATTGTGTTTTAGACTCTTCTTTTATTTAAGACCCTTCTATCATAGTTCCCCTTCATTTTATACCCTTCTTCATACCACCAAGTCGTTGGATTATAGATCCCTTCATTTAAATGCATTTTCTTATCGAATAAGATCCATTATCCTTTTATCTTTGTAAATCTAAAGCCACACTAACTGCTATACAAAATGGGTGTCAATCCCTAGCATTCAGTGGTCTATTAAGCCTCCAACCCCCATCCTGGAAAAAAAGTTAAATGCAATGTTTGTAATTGTATAAATGCATTCTTATCTAAGTCTACAACTGTGCTAAAGGTAAAAACAGGTGAGACCAAATAAAGATAATGTCTATAGAAAACCCAGTAGTGTATCAATGCAAGCTTGTGCTAAGATTCTGAAGGAAAACCATGAAGGATTCTAGAAAGTGATTAGCATTGTATTCTTGAACTTCTGTAATCCATGGATACATTCCTGTGCATGCACATACTTCACATGCCTCTCAAGAAAAGATTGAGATTATAACGGCCGTCAAGTGACAAATGGATGAATTACATAAAATGGCTAACAAAATTTGTCTGACCACCTGTTTAAAATAAAAAGTATAAATACTTGTCTTAAAGAACAACGGTCACCTTAAAGGACCACTATAGCCACCCAGACCACTTCAGCTTAATGAAGTGGTATGGGTGCCAGGTCCAGATAGGATTAACCCTTTTTCTTTTAATAAAAATAGCAGTTTCAGAGAAACTGCTATGTTTACACTGAGGGTCTCATTGACAGCCGCTAGAGGCACTTGCGTACTTCTCACTGTGAAAATCACAGTGAGAATCACAGTGAAAAGACGCCAGCGTCCATAGGAAAGCATTACAAATGCTTTCCTATGAGACTGGCTGAATGCGTGCGCGGCTCCTGCCGCGCATGTGCATTCAGCCGATGACGTCGCTAGGAAGAAGGAGAGGAGGAGGAAAGCTCCCCACCCGGCGCTGGAGAAAGGTAAGTGTTTAACCCCGTTCCTCTCCCCAGAGCCCGGTGGGAGGGGGTCCCTGAGGGTGGGGGCACCCTTAGGGCACTATAGTGCCAGGAAAACGAGTATGTTTTCCTGGCACTATAGTGGTCTTTTAAAGATAATTGTGATATAATAATCCTTTCATGAAATGAAGGTTTAAAACAAAATATTTCCTAGATGAGTAGGGAGTAAAGCAGGTAATGAGTTTCTCTATTTTTTACACACACAAAAGAAATTCGGTTTCCTTTTAAGATGAACGGATTATATACAATAGTTATAATGTGACAGTTGTCCTTAAAGTATAACATTGTAAATACATTTTTTTTTTGTTAAATTCACACACTCAAATTGGGAGTTATTATTGAAGAGTGTAAAACTTCTAAGGACCGTGTCCATGTCATACTGAAAATAAATGTCTGTAGTCCACTTCATCTTGAATATTGTACTTCTATTTTCCGAGCATATTTCATTTGTTGAAGTGAGAATCACACTATTACTAATTCTATTGTGTCCAAAATATTCTCTCACAATTTACTTTTTAATACTCCAAAAAAAAAAAAAAAAAAAAGTTTCCATTTCCAGTGTCCAAGTATATTGTAATAAAGAGCTGTATCCAGACCTGAGCAGCACACGTGCCAGGGGAAGATTGAGCTGGAAGCATTCTCCATCATTTATGAATGTTCCGTTTCCAGTGACATCATACTATGAGTAACACATTTTAAAATAAAACTACAAAGCCCCGTATTCGGATTCCAGTTGTGGAAAAAAAATCCCCCCCCCAAAAAAACAAAAAACTTACATTTCCCCTAAGAAGGATTATCAGACATAAATGTCTCCAGTGCATAGAAAGAGAAGGGGGAATTAAATAAGTTGTGCATTGATCTTTGTAGATTTATTAATAAAAAAATACACACCAGTAATATCATTTTTCCAGTTGCTCATTTTGGATGAAGAGATAACGGATTTTATTTATGTAGCTCTAACTGGCAAATGTTTGATTTAATCATTTTTAACACCGGGCACATTCACTCAAATATATAAATAATAATAATAATGATGGTATATATATGTTTTTATTGATTTCTCTATAGATGCTATTTACTTAAGGTAGCTATATAATATAAAAATATCTTAAGATATATCCATTCCTTCCAAGTTAGGCCCAGGGAAAATGTATCAATGGCCCTGCTCAAAGGATTGGCAGGTCTGCTAGGATGCCTGCCAGGCTGCCTGTCAATCATTCAGGTCAGCCCACTGAGGGCAGACCCTGTCTGGAGGACAGTTTCAGTGCTCCCTGCTGAGACCTAGTGCCCTGATTGTAGGAGTGCATCTAATGATACAGTGCTACACATTTTGAGGACAGTTCCCTGGTGTACCCAAAATCTGGACATCAGGGGATAGGAACCAAAATCCAAACTGTCCTGATGAAATCCAGGATGTTGGGAGCCCTCAAAAACAGATGTGAGAAAAGCTGAACTTGATGGACGCAAGTCTCTTTTCAGCTATTTCAAGAGAGTAGCGCTAGGGATAATTTATTCCAATACATAACCATTGAACAGAGGAGATGACAGCATTATTTTGAAATATAATGCTTCTTGACCAAAGAATGGCAGTCCGATATCTCCTTGGATCAAAAGCTATTACCCCACCAACAGTGGGAAGAATATTTTTGCCCCCCTCTCCTTCTTCCTATTGCAAGGGTGGCCAAAAAGAAGATTCCTAACTGTCATACATCTCCCACAATGCTAGGGCTGTTCCATTTTCCAATGCTTGTAGGGTTGTATTTAGCACTGACCAGTGTGTGTCTGAATGTAAAATTGTTATGTATGGAGTGTATGAATGTGGGGGGGTTTGTATGTGTGTTGGCATTTGAATGCGAGTATGGATTTCAGTATTGTTGGTTTTTGAATGGAGGGGTGTGTTTATATATAACTTTGGTGCATAATACAGAGGTGTGTTTATTTGTAGTGTTCACATTTAAATGCAAAGATGCATTTGTGTGTAGTGTTGGTGTTTGAATGCAAAGGTGTTTGCACATATACACTGCCACACAAACTGTGGTACACATACACACTGACCTACATGCAGATACAGACACACATACAGAAAGACACACCGATACACACATGTGGATGCACATACTGACAACATACAGATACACACAGATTCACAGACACACACTGACATATGGATATACACACACACTGACAAAGACACACATGCAGGTCACAATTTACACTTCTTAGCTACCCTTCAGTTTCCTACTATCTGGGTGCAGCAGGATGGCTTACCTAGTCCATGTCTGCTGGCTGATTATGTTGGGAGTTAGAGGATGGCTGGCCTGGTCCGCACCCCCTCCACTCTGCCTCCTGAGTGGCTCCAGTTTTTGTGGGAGGAAGTGACAGGCTCTCACTTCCTCCCGTGCTGCAAAACCAGGCCCATGCTACCACATGTCCAAAGGGTGGGCCGACCCATGGGACTCCGTTCAGTAGTTCGCCACTGCCCACTAATTAAAAATGATCCCTGTACAGATTTCCAGGCAATGATTTGCACTGGCCCAAATATATTTGTATAATGCCCCTCTGAGGCGCAGAGTATACCCAGTGCTGCTCAGTCAGTGAAAGAACATCAGATGTAATTCTATATCTCAACCTGAAAGTGAAAACCCAAATAATTAAGAGAAACCCACTGCTTTTCTCCAGTTTTTATTTAATCCTCCTATGGTAAACTGTGGAGGGACATTCCTTGATGTAATGAAAGGTTATAAACAATCTACAAGTAAATAGGACAAGTTGCACTGCAAGCAACATCACTGAAGGTGGAAGCTTCTGTAAGCCCCAAGTCAAACTACACACATTACCATGGGCTCATTTTTTACTTTGCTCTCTATTTAACACTTTACTGAAGCACAATTTTTGTGCTATAATTAATATAAAATGTATTTTACAATTATTATATTTGTTACCAATAAATACAAGATTTCAGTTTTGATGTTTAGGAGGAAGGAGGAAAAAACAATGATTACAAAATGACCCAGGAGGTTATCCACTAAACAGTAGCGTGTGCCAAAGATGACATGTAAATTGCAAAATGTATGCACAAATAGCAGACTAAGTGATTATCTGTTGCACGTCATTCATTTATTTTAAATGATCCAAAAAAACTACTTTGGGCTAAATTTCCAACTATGTTATCAATGCAGCACGGTTTGTGGTTTAGAGAATTTACCCCCATTTTGTGAACTTCACATATGTAGGGAGGAGTGTGGAAAGGGGATGTTCTAAAATCAATTTTCATCTTCAGACGAGAGGCCTTCAATCTCATCTTGATCACCTCCTATAGCCATCCAAAAAGCTTTGGCAACCTGGAAGAGAGACAATTTAAAGTTAAATTGTATTGATATTACAATGGTAGGAATGTGGCAAATTCACTTTAATACAGTAATGTTACTTTGAGGGGAAAAAATAAAATAAAAATACATAGATGCTTAAACTATTTCTTACCTTTTCAGCATGTAATTTACGTTGTTCATGTGGCAATGTGGCAGCTTTATCTAAAGAGAGGGAACAGGGAGAAGAGGAACTGTGAGTTTAATTATGCCATTCCATTTTTAGGAAATTAGAACTGTACAAACTACAGGATGAGTCAAACATCAGGAATCACGCCCCCCTCCTCCCCAAAAGAAAAAAAAAGAAAAATCATAGAAGCTTAATATTAGATAATTAGACTACTCTAACATTACAAATATTAGAGGGTTCAAGCACCATGACCACTGCAGTAATTTAAAGTGGTCATGGTGCGTGGAGTCTGTATTAGTAGTATTTCACTATGCAGTGTATAAGGGCATTAATAGCAAGCCTGGAACAAGAGCTACAGCATGTCTAAAGTCAATCCTGTGCATATTGGACATCTGTTTCCAGCATGCACACCATTTCTACCAACAGACTACCAATGGCGACACAGCTCCCCCCCCTGCATGCTGCCCCTGTCCTTCCTGATAACCAATTCTCCCAATTTCTAATTGGGTCAGTGTAGGAGACCAGTATATAAGGGTTACTATGACCAGAAAGAGAGTTTTATTAGAGTACCCTTTAAAGGATCCATTAATTAACTACATTGGATATAATATTTGACTTGACTGTTCAGCTCTGTGCAATAATCCTCCTAATTTGGATTAGATTGTATGAGATCTGTTATATTTGAAGCTATCTTGATTACGTTGGTAACTGTAATTGTAAAAACCAAAGTTACTGACAATTATAAGAAAGTATTAAAACAAAGGTAAAATAGACAAGCCTTGACAATGTTGCCGAATTCTTTGATCTATATTAAAGATCACTTAGGAGTGGAGTTTGTAGAATAGCAAGGAGATGAGACTGGAACAAACATGTGGAGGTGTACTATGGTTTGAAGAGAGATAGATTCATATAACTTACTTTTTCAGATGCACAATCAATTACCGGTACATACATTTATATTTACACACATCCCACATGGGGCTCTAGTAAATTGACATGCATATGTCTTAGAAAGAATTTGAGGGGTTAATTTTTCTTTGTGCATAGAGGCCTCAAGGAAGTCCCCAGTCAAAGTCCCAAGTTGAAATGCCATGAACAGAAATGGCAGAGACAGGTCTTATCATTCTCATTGGAGGTAAGGATTTGGAACTTCAAGTGCTTAGCTGGCAAGGTGTCAGTTTATATTAGATGGATAAAGTGTAGTCTGTTGATCTCTTGTCTCCATATTTGCAAACATTACTTGTGTTTTCCATACATAAGCAACAGTGAAGAAAACACTGTCTATTTTAGAAAACCATTTCGAATTAAGTCCATGCAGTATTTTTTTATTTCTTCTGCCAAGATCTTCCAGATCCTATATTTATTCTATATAGTAACTAGCCTTTCAATGATGGTCCCACTCTGCATTCACATACCCGCAAAGCACGATGAGATACCTTTCATCTCCTGCAGTTTTGTGAACAGACGACTAAAATTTTCTAGGTCTCCTTCCCCTGAAGTAAGGCTTGCAAGTTCTCTGATATCCAAGTCCATCATGGGATCTGGGAAGGAAAGTTTGTGACAAAGTATAAAACATCTGATCCTGGAGCAGTAAACAAATGCATTCCAGGCTTGGTGCTGTGGCAATAAAAATATGCATTTCAAGGTTAGCACTAGTTAGCATTAGTGCTGTGACACTAAACGATCAATTCTATGCTCGGTGTAGCAGCATTAAACAATGCATTTCATGTGTAGTGGCACTGGATAATGTAATAATGTGCTTAACCCCCTAAGGCAGTGTTTCCCAACCCAGTCCTCAAGGCACACCTACCAGTCCAGGATTTAGGGATTACCCAGTTGTGTCTAAGGTGTTTTTTTTCTTCTTTGTAAAAACACCTTAGACACAACTGGGTAATCCCTAAATCCTGGACTGGTAGGTGTGCCTTGAGGACTGGGTTAGGAAACACTGCCTTAAGGACACATGACATGTGTGACATGTCATGATTCCCTTTTATTTCAGAAGTTTGGTCCTTAAGGGGTTAAAGGGATGCCAGAACCACTACAGCATAATGTCTCTGCTGGCTCAGCAATGTGAAGGCTGTTTTGTTAGACTGCTTAGCAACACCTCTAGTGGCCGTCACTAAGACAGCCACTAAGAGGGACTTCCTGGGTCAAGTCCTGCAATGTTTGCAGGACCTATGTTTAGATTCCTCATGAATGCTCCCCATAGAGATGCAGTGATTTACTGAGGAGATGCCAATTGGAGAAGAGTGGAGATTTTCTGTGCATGTGCAACAGCCTCCCAATGCTTGGAAGCACTGGAATGGCTAAGATTATCAAGGTTGATGAGATCAGCCAAGGAAGCAGGGTCAGCAATGGAGAAAGCAGCACAGCGTGGAAAGAGGTAAACAAAAGTACCTTTTACTTCACACAGCAGGGGAACGGTAACCTAAACAGCTAGCATGTCACTTTAGCATTATGTATATATGTTTAGATTCTTAATGCTATGCTGTTCCTTTAATGATTGATGTGGCACTAAACAATGAGTTTTAGGTTCAATGTTGCAGCACTAAACAATGCAATCTAGGCTTAGAACAGCACTAAACTGTACAGTTCGAGCTTCGTGCATGCACAAAGACACAACTCTCTTTTAAATGGATCTGAAAACACTGGTTTCTGGAAGTAAGCAGTTTCCAGAAATGTTTTTCATCCTAAAACCTCCTACTTCTCCAGCTTTAGAGAAGACATACTTATGTCCCTTCCACACTCCCAATTTTGCTACTAATGTATTATCTTTATTCTACCTCTTTTGGGTGGTCTATTCATACTTGCACAAGTGATTAAATATATAAATATTTGAATCTGGAAAATCATTCTGGATCCAAATCCACATATGATTGAATCTCTGAAAGTACTATATTTGTTCAGCCTTTAACTGTATAATTGTACGGTTCTGTTATGTCATATTCTGTATTGTGTTTTTGTACAGAATTGCAATAATAATAAGCTTTCAAAAATGTTTTCTTTTAAAATAGCAGGAAAATGGTTTATGCTGGCGATGTCAGAGTAGATAAATCTGACCGTACGGCAGTTAAGTTACAACGTGTAATCATGGATTATATTAACTCCCTCACTACAGAATGCATACCTGTGGTCTGTCTAGGCTTCTAATTTGTGTATCCGCAAGTTATGTTAAAATGTGGATTAATAAAGCCATGAATGTCAAAGGGATCTGTCTTACCGACTATTGTGTCAACCTGGGAATTACAAACACTCCCAGACTCTCTTCCTTGCTCTGTCTGACTCCCAGCACCAAGCTCACTGGGCACCTGCAAGGCAAGAAAGGCAGCAAGGTTAAGTTTTATTTAACTTTGTTATACATTTGAAATTTAGCATTATAACACCAACATATGGGTTCAGTCATGTTTTTGCATAATAGACTTATTAAACAAAAAATGTATTACATTTTCCTTTGTGTATTCAAACTAATACCTTTTAAAAGGTGGTCACACTCAATTAACATTGGAACGATTTTAGCTTACTGTCTTTTTTTATGAAGGCCAACTAACACAGACAGCATGTTAATTAGTTTTCCATCTCCAGGACCTCATCACTACATCTATCCCTCAAATCGGTTTACAGGAGCCATTAGTCAATAAGACATAATTAGAAGCTAAATAAAAAAATCCTGAGCTAAATAAAATCCTGCGTGAAGTTAATTCCACCCCTAGTTATAAAATACACTGTTTAGTTAAAATCTAGCTGAATGTTGAGGTCTTATATCTACCATGCACTTTTTAGAAGTTATAGTTTTAAAAAAAAAAAAGGCAGGGATTACTTTGTTTTACATATAGCTATCAGAAGGACTAGGAAGAATTCGGACCTGAAGAATTCGGAATCAAACTTTTTGGGGCAGAAACTGTTAAAGGTGGTCAAATTCAGTTGTGAATATAGGCTAGAGTTCAATTTTATGAATTCCCCAAGGTGATAAGGGATGTGAAAACTTGAGTTTTATCAACTGTAAATTTATCCCCCCCACCAAGGATTAAAGGCAGTACAGACCATAGGGATCTTCAGCTGTCTTCTGCAGGAGTATCAACCTATTTTGAGAGAGAATTTAACATTTAAAACCCTCATGCCCAAAGTATGATTACAACTCACTCAGAATCTGCAAAAATATTTAGAAGGGAGCGAAGCCCATGAAGGTGATATTGATCTTGTAGAATGGGCTCAGATTAACTTTGGAGGAATTTTATTCTGGGAAATGTATGCCAGTGAGTTGGTTTTCTTGATCGACATGCAAGTATTGCTTTAGATGCCATATAAAGTTTTGATGAACCCTGGTAAAGGAGAAAAAGATGATTGGATTTTGGAAATCTTTGGTTCTTTTAAAGTATCACGAGATAGCTGTTTTTTAACATCTAGACTAGAGAATGTAGTTTAGATTTTTTTCATTTTTACGATCTTGGCAAAAGGTAGGCAGAATGATTCCTGTCAGCAGCTGTGGCTGGTGTTTAAATAGCAGTGAAAAAGCGTTTCAAGTTTCAAATTTGGCGCCAAGCACTCAAATCTCTTTGCGTATGTGTCTTGCACTCTGAGTTATGCAATGGAAAGCAACATCATTCAGATGTGCTTACAGTGTGATTCCATAACGTCCTGCACCTGGCAAGGATTGACGGCATCAATATAAGAGGAAAACACGTGCCCGGCTCTAACCTGGAATATAAAGAAACCGGGAGTCTGATTGCTAGCCAGCCACCTGTGGGAAACAACAAGCCATCCTGGAAACTCAGCCCTCAGCATTAACTGGACTAATTGCTCTGCTGGGGACAGGAAAAAAACAGCGGGGATGTTTTATAGATAAGGGGGAGGTGGTCTGGGAGGGATTTAAGTTCCCTCCAAAAATAGGCTTCCTGTCCTGCGGAAGATGGTTGAAGATCCCCATGGTCTGTACTTCCTCTAACTACAGGGGAAAAAAAAAATGTGTTTCTAGAGTATCTAAGACAGAAAGAGAAAATAATTAATGTTGTGTTGTCCCACAGATACAAATTATAAGTGTGGGTCCCAAACATGGTCTCAGCTTCCTTATTATTAATCTGACAGACAGATTCGGAGTACCCGCTCACATCACCCTGCAGGTCATCACTGTTCTCTGGAGCGTGATTCATCGAGGCCAATGAGTTGAAGATCCCAAATGCTTGTTCTGGAATCACACAGACAAAGTCAATGCTTATTGGTAAATAGTAAGAAGTGTCAGTGCAATAGTATAAACAATTGGTGAATTGTGTAAGAAGTCTGTACTTATGCAGTGTTGTAACATGTTCCACTAATCACAATGGGTATTTTTCATGGTTTATCCTTAAAGGCAAGGCTAGTGCTACACGAATACATTAAAAATATATATAACTTGTCTGTGTGCAAGGAATTTGAAAACAAATTGGCAAGTTGCCAATTGCAAAGCGATAGACTAGATGATAATCTGTATTAAATAATTGCGAACTGAATGCTCTCTGTTTACAATTTCTGCTTGTAATTAAGTATAGAGTTCCTCAATTATGTTTCATGACATGAACAAGTGAAAATACCAGTAGATCTTAGAGTGATATAACTTATAAATCACAAACAAAGGCAACAACTATAATTATACTTCCTACACATCTTGGGGAAGAAAAACCTCATAATAGTTAGTTTAGAAATCCGTTTTTTGATTATTTTTTTTTTTAAAGTCTCACACATCTATATTTTAAATCATTTTTTGGAAGTTACATGGCAAATATTGCAAGGAATGAATTACCCAGGAAGGATATCTAACAGCCATCTGAGGAGTGGTCAGTGAAGTTATCACTAGGCTGTAATGTAAACACTGCATTTTCTCTGAAAAGACAGTGTTTGCAGCAAAAAGCCTGAAGGTAATGATTCTGCTCTCCAGATCAAATTCAGTAAGCTGTAGTTCTGGTGACTATAGTGTCCCTTTAAATTTGTGTGTTCTCCACATATTTAATTTTCATGGGGAATTTCAAATACAGTAATACTCCTATACAGACCGTTGCCAGATTTTTTAGGGGTTTCAAATTTCCAATCTTTACCCATTGATTTACTGAACCCATGTAGCCCACGACTGCACATTATCCCCATTACAGCACGCTATAGTAAAATAATATATAGAATACGATTTGCCAATCAATGACTATTGCTGGACTTCCTCACTAGGGAGGAAACCAGCAATAAAACAGACAGCTAGTTACAGCATGCAAAGCTGCAGTCAGGTATCAGCTACTAATCATACCATAGGACCACTGTCATTGGCTATCACAGTGGTCCTACGGCATGAGACCCATTCTGGCTGTACAAGTAAGGCTGTTTTGTAACAGCGAGTACACCCAACAATTGTGTGGAGTATGGTTATAAATGGAGGTCCCCACAGCTGGCTGTGCATGATTGGCAAGACAAGCACAGGGATGGCTCAGCAATTCCTTGCCTTAGCAATTCCTTGCCTTGGGTAACCTGCATATCAATATTTCTATGATGCCTTACTACCGATCATGGCGAGAATGGATTTCTAAAAACACTTGTAATGACTGCTGTCATGAAAGGGTAATATGGTAACCTTTATTAATGCATAATCTCTATAACGCTTTAAATAGATATGTTACATTAATCCTGCAGTGTCATCAAGTGGAACAAAGACAAGAATGACTTCGAAATTAATAATAAAAAAAAAAAGAGATTAATTATCTCAGAAAGCATTTGAATATATCCAGCGTGTCAAAGAGAAATTCAATTTAAATGATCAAATGTCAATTAAAATAGTTACTCACCACTCTTCATTTCTACATTAGTCCATACATTGGCGTTTAAGGCCTGGATTATACGTGTGACGCCCGTGGATTCTGGGAAATCATCTGTGTATGAACAGAGCAGTATCATTTAGACAGCATCGGAATACTTTGATATTTTCTAAATAAATATACAGGAATTAAAGGGATACTACAGACATCAAAACAACTTTAGCTCAATGAAGCAGTTTGGGATCATGACCCTGAAGTCTCATTGCTCAATCCTCTACTATTTAGGAGTTAAATCACCTTTGCATATTTTTATGCAGCCTTACCCACTTCTCCCCTGGCTGTGACTGACGCAGCCTGCATGAAAACAAAATGTTTCAGAAGTGTTTTTTTTTTAGAAGTTTTTATCTCCTCCTCTGTACATTGAACCTTAATCACACACAGGAGTCTCATGCAGGGTCTAATAGGTTATTAACATAGCAGAAGAGAAGAAAGTCTAAATTAAACAGAATTGGCAATACATGAATGTGTAAACATTAGATGACGTTTTACAGTAACTGTTAAGGAAGGCTGTGCAAGTTACCTGCAAGCCCTGTGACTAGGGCTATATAAACAAAGTAATTTAACTCCTAAATGGCAGTGAATTTAGCAGTGCGACTGCAGGGGCATAATTTATACACCAAATCTACTTCATTAAAGGGACTCCCCAGTGCCAGGAAAACATATCCGTCCCACCCCCCATCCCATGTTGCTGAAGGTTTTTTTTGTCCATCGGTGCTGGGTCAGGCTCCGCCCACGCTCCTCCCCCACCAACTTCAGCCGGCAGAGGAGACCTAATGTGCATGCGCGACAATGGCTGCGCGCACACATTAGAACTTCCCATAGGAAAGCATTATTCAATGCTTTCCTATGGGGATTTCGGCAACGATGGAGGTCCTCATGCGTAGCGTGAGGACGTCCAGCGTAGTTTAAAACACTTTTCGTGTTCTAAGAACATGGAAGTCCCTCTAGTGGCTGTCTCATAGACAGCCACTATAGGAGGACATAAACCCTGCAAGGTAATTATTGCAGTTTATAAAAACTACAATAATTACACTTGTAGGGTTAAGGGTGGTCGGAGCTGGCACCCAGACCACTTCAATGGACAGAAGTGGTGGGTGCCTGGAGTGTCCCTTTAAGCTAACGTTGTTTTGGTGACTATAGTGTCCCTTTCAGTGTCCAAGCTGTAGTTACCATCTTCATCTGGCAGTTCCTCTGGATTCAGCTCCACTAACTCAAATCCATGCTTGATACACCACTCCTGAGCGGTCTGCCGGGTAACGCCTATCAAAGTAGGAGTCTGTTAGGTCTCATCTCACACAATGAAACATGTCTATTAACCCTTGCCATACGAGACATTTAACAATGCACCTTTCTGGCCATTTTTCACACATACACAGCATAATATATCTATTAACTCCTTCTCTGTTGAACTGTTAAACAATGCATAGCGTTCTCCATTACAACTAATGCAGATGCCCTAGCCAACATTTAAGCAAGAAGCGCTATGCTTAAGTACTTATCTTATTTTAGAATATTCTATTAGAACATATAATTTTTGATCTATTTCCATAGTGGAGGTGAAGACAACTTGATGCTGGTTACAAAACAAGAATATTACTGCAGGATACATATGCTGGCCTATACAGTTTAGCCAATACCCTGCAAAATGTAAGATTAATTCATTTTAATAATTATTTAGAACATCAAATCCATCATAAACAAAATTAACTATTTATATTTGGAAAGAAAAACTGTTGAGAATTAACTAAATGAATCCTGAATTGTCTGAAATACACTCCTAATTTATCCTTTTGGATGACTAGTCTGAAACTAGAGGCAATATAACTTGTCAGGTGTTCTAGTAGAGGAAAGGCCACAAACACATACAGAGCACATACTAATCACATGCACACTGTAGCTACACAGAATAGAGCACATTCTTACCAGTTTCCAATGCCCTGTCACATACAAGGATCATGACATCTAGCAGCCAATCTTCCAGGAAGGGGAGCCATGCTGATACCTTCTCCAGACCAGATTTCTAAGAATGAATGAGGATTTTAGCTTGATTTACAAAAAAAAAAAAATTAAAAATTAAAAAAAACTACCTCTGCCTGGATTATAAATAAATCACGGAGCCTAGTAATACAGAATATTTTCTTCACATCTGATCTATTTTGTCTTATGTATTTTTCCGATGCCTGACAAATGTGACAAAAGGATGGAGCTTAAGGAAAGTTACACTTCCTTTGTCAGGCTAACAGAGGATGAAGCTTGCCTTAAGCTTCACCTTTTGTCAAAGGAAAACACACTACCTTGTCTTTTGTTTTAAATAGAAATAGATCAGAAATGAAAGCACAGATTCTGAAAGAGGAATCAACAGGAGAAAGGCAAGTACGAGGTGACCGAGCCACTTTAACTAAAACGTTAACATTTGACTAGATTGTTTTTAAATTTGTTTTCTCAAAATTGCAAGTAAAATAATTTATCTTACATATAGAATAAAGAAGGGAAATAGAGCAGTGGAGAACACAAAGGGAATCAGCATTAAAAACAGTCCATGCTAGGTTTTACTTACCACGGTGCTGTCAAAATATATGATGAAGGCCTGAATGGTTTCTGCTAGTTGTGCAGTAATGTGTCCAGTGCTGGGAACCACACAAATATTGACATCAGCTGAATAGTACTTGTTATCTATCCTCCATGGATACTGCCTCACCTCATTCATTTCTTCTGTAGGTGATGACATCTGATCTGTCCCAATGATATCTGCAGAAAACAAAACACCACATGAAAACTACTCAAACTGACATCTCAGTGTTTCTATCTCATTATAGAAGACAAAAGCCCCTTGCATGGAAGTTGACATTATGGGTATTTAAGTATTATTATTTTATTATATAGCATCCTTTAACTGACACTTCAGGATGGAACTTATGAGAATATATGCAAATACAACCAATCCGATATAATAATGGAAATATACTTTTTAAGTTATCGCATTTGCAATATATTGCCAGATTTTAAACATTGCGCAAACAGGTTATTAGTAAACCAGTATGCTCCCATTTGGTTCTGCATAACTGGGCATTATTGGTAGAGCAGGGGTGCTAATGAGTTGTTGTCCAGTTATCAACATTCAATTTAAAGAAATAGCTGAAGTACATATCACAGAAACATTGTCACTTGATTAACAAGGCCAACAGTGTTGGTTTGGAGGGAGGAACAAAAAAAGGAGGGATTATTTAAAAAGAACCCTCTTACACTCACAAAAGGAAACAAACTCAATAATAGAGGGGGAAGGTTGAAATCGGCACTGGAGGCAACTTTGGGGTTAACACAAATATACATATATATAACAGAAGCTTATATCACACACAAAAATTTCTAATATAAAACATAAATAAATAGTATTTAAATGATGTACCACACCAAAAACACAAAGTGCAAGTGCAGCGCTAACATTTGTGTAGGATAACACTTACCTTAAAGGGACACTGTATCTGCTTCATCTCATTAAACTGGTTACAGGGTCTAGAATCCTCTGGTGCCGTTATTTTATTCAGCATTAAACAGTTTTTTAAATGTCTTTATGTTTTAATGTGAAATGAGAGTCCCCTGCAGTCCCTACCCTCTGTATTGATTTGGCTATTAGAAAGTATTAGCCTGAGCAGCAATGGGCAGCTGTGATTGGCTGAGAGTGTCAGCTGACTGTTTTTAGCATATCAGAACTTTAATTGAAGGGCATGACTACAAGGAAGTGTGTAATCTCTGCCTCCAGAAGGGGACGGACTGTGAGTGGCCAGGGACCCATATTCAGTGTTAAACTGTTTGAACACAGTGCAACCCTGAAAAGAGGAACAGTGCCGGGGGACTCCAGGTGCTATTAGCAATTCAAAGAGGTCAAATAGTAATAGTGACTACAGTGTCCGTTTAAGGCAGATACGGGGGCAGAATATAGATCTATAGATAAGGAAAAACAAAAACAGAAAATAGTGCAATTCTATGTGGGAAATACAAATTCGTATCAAAAGAGAGTGAATAAAAACTCAAATTTAGAGGTGCCTTTTATACAGATAAAGACTCCAAATATGCAGGCTTCTGTGCCCTTGAGGTGGCAGCAAAACCTTCTTACCATCATTAAAGAACGTTTTGCAGCCACCTCTAGGGCACAGAAGTCTGCATGCTTGAAGCCTTTATCTTTTTAAAAGGTTCTCTTAAATATGAGTTTTTATTCATTCACCTTTGATACTAATTTGTACCTCCCCACACAGAATTGCACTGTGCTTTGTTTATTTTGTTTTTCCTTATACATGATTACATGCTGCCCCAGTATACGCAGGGCTTGACAAATTTGTTTAGAATCGAAGAGCCAGCTAAAAAAAGTTAGGAGCCAGTTTTTCAAAAAGGAATTTTAATTTTCAACAAGAAACATGCAATTCTTAAGGTACACTATAGACACCAAAAGCACTACAGCTTATGGTCGTTGTTCTGGTGTCTATAGCCTGTACCCACAGACCTTTCAATGTAAACCGTGCCTTTTCAGCAAAAGGCAGTGTTTACATTGCTGCCTAGTAGCACCTCTAGTGAGTCAGTCAGTCAGATGGCCACTAGAGATTCATTGGCCTACATTCAGCGTCTTCACACGCTGTATGATGACGCTGAATGTTACTCATAGAGATACGTTGATTCAATGCATCTCTATGAGGAGATGCTGATTGGCACATTGTTTTGCTGCGCACGTGCAATATCCTTCCTTAGCGGAGATCTTAAAGATGGATGATTTCAGCCACAGAGGCAGGACCAGCCACGGCGAGGGGAAAAGGGTGTGTAAAACACCTCTCGTGCGATTGAGGGGAGCAGGTACCTAAACAGATACAAACACTCTCTGACAGACACTCACAAACTGACCTTTTTATTTTAATTGAAATCCACTCAGACTACCAGTGGGGCAGCTTTCTCTTCATGTATGCAAGGGAGCAGTAATCTACCTGCAGCTCCTCTCTGCTCCCTTGCGCTCTCTGTAGTGATGCAAGGGCCGGAGTGACATTATATTCTGGCTCCCGGCATCATTAAACAGCACAAAGGGAGCAGAGAGGAGCTGCAGGTAGAATACTGCTTCTTCCCTCGCTGCTTCCTTGCTGCCTTAGCCAGCTGCCTCCATACTCACCATGATTGGCAGCCGGCCCCAATGTTCCCCACTGCGGCTGACTTCAATGCTAACCCGGGGCCGCAGCCTAGAAGGGCTGACATCCCAGGTGCCAGGATGAAATTTCTAGATGCCATGGCAAACTGAATTTTGTCGCAGTCGCACTTTGTGTTTTTGGTGGGGTACATCACCTAAACACAGAGTTTTTTTTTTTTTATATATTTAAACTTTGGGATTAAACCATTCAACACCTTTAGTTAAGAGAGTGCCCGGGGGTCTCCTGGCACCCTAAGAACTTCATTAAAGTAAAGTTGTTATGATGCCTAAACTCTCCAATTAACAGGCTCCAGTAAAGAACTTCAGTGAATCCACAGGGATTCACTGAAGCCCTTCCCTGGAGCCTGTTAATTGGAGAAGCGGACAGTTCAGTTGGTCTCTGCGTGTGTGAGCTGTGTCGGCCGCCTGGAACCCCAGCTGCCATGGGGCACTATGCGGCCGCAAAGCTCACACATCCCCCTCCAGCCCCCAGACCAAGGTCATGGCACCCCCCTATCTGGTGGCAGAGAATATTAGCTGATGCTCTTAGCAAGTAAAGTTTTTATATTGACAAGATTAATATTGTTAACTGTGTGTGTGAGATTGTCTGCCTGTAACTGTGTGTGTATGACTGCCTGTGGTTATGTGTGTGTGTGAGAGACTGTCTGCCTGGCTCTAACTGTGTGTGTGTGTGTGTGTGTGTGTGACTGTCTGCCTGTAATGATGTGCGTGTGTTTGTGACTGTCTGTATATGTGTGTGTGAGACTGCCTGCCTGTAACTGTGTGTATATGTGTGTGAGACTGTCTGCCTGCCTGTTACTTTGTGTGTTTGTGACTATCTGCCTGTGGCTATGTGTGTGTGAGACTGCCTACCTGGAACTGTGTGTGTGAGAGAGAGAGACTGTCTGCCTGCCTGTAAGTGGTGTGTGTGACTGTCTGCCTGTAACTGTGTGTGACTGCCTGTGACTGTGTGATGCTGCCTATACCTGTGGAGGGGGGGGCAGAGATTTTGTAGAAGGGGGCTGGGGTTTTGTATTGGGACAAGGGTCTTGTATAAGGGGGGCTGAGCAGGCGATATGTGGAAGGGGAGTGCAGGGGTTTTGTAGAAGGGGGTAGTACAGGGTTTTGTAGAAGGGGGCCAGGTGAAGGGTTTTACAAAGTTTAGTAATTTGTGTAATACATAAAAAAAATAATTTGCAGTTTAAAAAAAATAAATAAATTTGGAGGGGGGGGAATGGGGGTTGGGAGCCAAACAGAGGATCCGTCCAGGGTGCCAAATTTTCTAGGTATGCCAATGACTGAGGTCCAAAGTTCCTCAGAATTTGATATTGAATTTCCACTTCAGTGATATCTGTGAAATGTGACCATATAACAGGTGCCCAAGTGAGACAGAGTTACACTGTTAAATAGTTTGACTTTTTATTATGCAAAGTCTTCAGGGGACTCTTGGAACCATTACCATATGGCACCATACTATCTTTAAATCACATTACTATCAGTACCATGAGTGCCTAAATTGTGAGATCAGGTACTACAGCATAGGGACCAGGGCAAATGATGTATTTATTTAATTAAAAATGGGGAGGCGGTTTTAAATCCAGAACACTGCAAGATGTCTTGGTAGTCCAAGAGCCCCTTTAACAGTAATTAAGAGTTAAGACAGTACCACATTTAACTAGACATACTAATACAAAAGTATTAGAGAACCTTGCTACAATCTACAAAGAGCTTAGTGAGATGGCCTGTGATAAAGTAATTTGAAACAAGTTATGCATGCTGGATAATGTATAGGGCATCCAGGACAACACTGTTAAGGTTGAGAACAACAAAGTAGTTAGGGAGATGATGAGGTAATAATAATAATGCTTCATAAAGAGGTGTGGAGGAAAAGGTTGGGTTAGTTATCTCACAGCTGCAGTACGTGCAAGGTTCACAGGAAGCAGAAGAAGTGGCGATGCATTGTGTGATGAAGAGCTTTAGTTTGGAAGCCCTACTAGAAATGTTCTATTAATTCCTTAAACATAATACATAAGTGAACCAGTAGGCAGATATCACATGACTTGATTTGATTCTAAGACCTTAATAATTTAGCTCACCAGCACAGTTTGAGAAAAAAGTTTAAGTTTAAGAAAAAAAATAATTCAATGGGAAATAACCATAAAATATAATATCTGTGCAGAAACTAGTATTTTGATTGGAGAACATCCCAGACTGACATCCTGGAGTCAAATCTGTGTATATAGTTTGAGGATAAATGTAATAATAGAAAGTGGGATTGCAGAATGGTAATGACAGATTACAGTTAATTTAATATCTGCTGCTACAAGGTCAGCTCTGCAGGTACGCACACACTTTGCATAATGGTGCATAAGAAACATTGGTTTCTAGTAGGGCTTCCAAACTAAAGATCTGTGCACTCTACTCAGACAGTCATAAAACACACGGTTGCCTTCTCAGACAGGCTGCTCCTCCAAAACAAATGTTATCCCAGGAATGTGCTTTGAACAGTTGCCTTCTAGGTCTAGTTTGCGAGAGGAACCCAAGGAGTGTGATAAATAAGCACTGCACATCACACAAAATGAGCCCTGTCGGTAATTTCTTATGAGAATTCATCTATTAAACTTTATATTTACAGAAGATCTAGACTCTCGGGAATAAATGGGCTTAAGGATCCCTAAATAGGCTCAGGACGAAGACCTTCTGTTTATTAAACGGGCAAGGGGGAAAAAAAATGAGTGAGCTACAACTGCAAAACCACTACTTTCAGAAATGTTACACTCATCTGGAGTACAGTTCTTGATACAGAGATTGATGCATATATTCCCATTAGGAAAGCATTTTGTGTGATTTAACACAAAATAAGGAGATCAGAGCCATATTATGACACATAACCTGAGAAAATAGGGCAGACTAGATGGGCCGAATGGTTTTTATCTGCCGTCACATTCTATGTTTCTAACTTGCACTTAGTTCTCATTTATTATATGCAGTCCATGTTTTCATCTTGTGCTAGCATGTTCCTACACTCATGTATACGTCAGTGACCATATTGCCTAAGCTTTCTACCCTAGAGATACCATCCAGGATGTGTTTACTTTCCTACTAATGGGGATTAACAGAATATTCTTGTTTATAACGGTTCAGACCCATCACTCTGAGGTCACCAATGTTCTCTTGTTAACCAAAAATAAAAAAGGTGCATATATTCAGATATGTATGACTAGTTTGATAATCTCTGTTTATTGTACACATATCTACTGTCAACTATGTAATTTCAACGCCTTGCCAAAATAAAGAATAAAAAAATAAAAATTATGAAAAAACATGCCACAGAAATGAAAAAAGTTTGGACTCAAACCCTAGAAATGGGTATTGTGAAAAAGTATCAGGTGCTATTGGCAAAAGCCCCCCCATCCTGGCTACCGCTTTTCACAGGGGATATCAAGAAGGATTGCTAAGAGTAAATGCTGCAATTCCTCCATTGTAACAATAACGCACTGTGTCCCCCTGGAAACGACCCATTGTTTCACAGGCGCTACAAAATTTGCCCCCTTATCTAACTCTTGTCTGACAAATTTTTCACAAATTATATCCCAGCCCAAAACATTTGTATTGATGATCCCTTTCTTTTCAAACAATTTATCCAATCGAAGTGGTCACAACATGGCATCAAATTTGATAAATTATCATATAGCATACACAGGCATTGATAGCTCACAGACGCTCAACATCAGCACGTTTACCCACGTTATTGCAGGCCAGATAGGTAGGCACCAGGGGCTAGCAGGGTTCCTTACTTCCCAAAGCTGAGGATGCATTGGGCATGTCACTAGGAGCCGGCCAAGAGCACCACGTTACAGACGACACTCTGCATTCGGCTCGGCGGGCCCTTTACCCCTGCACAGCCGGGCCGAACAGCTCCAATGCTCCACTGCAAGATGCACACGATCATACCCCTACGCAGCATCCCTTAGCATGAAGTAGGGTAGGCACCACCAGATATCTATAAAGGCCTTACACCTTCCTGGCCACTTCTGCCCGAGATAGTGCACAGTAAAACTTTAACTTGATTGTTTATTTTATGATGTATGTGCCCCCACTGGAGAGCGTTATCTATCAGCTATGTACTGTGATTTATTCTCTTGTGTTATATATTGCACTTCCACAATGTATGCTTTTAATGCTGCCAGGCTCTCTCCGCCTGACCACAGTTATATGTTATGAAACGGGCGCATCTTGTTTTGTTTTCTGCTGATATGTCAAACAAAAATAAAGAATTAAAAAAAAAAAAAAAAATTTGATAAATTATGTGAATCCACTAATGGCTACACATGGGCGTTTTAGATTTATCAAGGGAAGGATAGCCATCTTGACCCAACAGGATTTCCTGGTGTGTCCTGGATGTCCTCTTCAACTCTATGCCAGGTGCTGGCCCTTTGGTTCACAGATAATAAAAAGATGCATAGATGCTGTCTGCAATGCATGACGAAAGTACAGTGCCAGTGTCTGTCAGGGGAAGAACTGAGCAGCGAGAAGAAAATAAAGAATTACATGGTAGACTACAGCAAGTATGCATGGGAGTTGACATGGCTGATAAATGTAAAGAGCTTTATCTGGTCAACTGAAAAAGTATGTCCTGGTACAAAAAAATTGCCAGATAGCAATTTTCAATTCCTACATATTGTAAAACATATTGTTGAAACTTTTGCCTGATATTTTATTTACCCCCCACCCCCAATTTCCCCCCTCTTTGGAATCAGAAGATGTCAAAAGACTTTGTGGCAAGAACTTTCCTTCCCAAATCCCCGCACACCCAGTAAAAAAAAGTCACCCAGAGTCGTGTTTGCTACAAGAAAGGAATCCGAAAGGATTTCAGTTATTAGTGCCCTTCCTCCCATCTGCATAACAGACTGTTTCAGAGTCTACCATACAGAGCTGAATTATTGAATCACTTTGTCAGTTTGTTTTATTTTCTGGATTTCTGACCTCGACTTGTCCTGATTGCACTTTGTTAGCTGCATGTACTAACAAATTGGCTTGTTTCACTGACTTCAGTATTCCCCTGACCTTGGCCTGTCCCTGTTTTACTGTAAACCAAGCCATTAGAATGTGGCTACACTAAACAGCTCAAAGTACTACATTTAGAATACGTGTTAAATGGTATGCCAACAGGGGGTATTTTTCTTTCCTAATAAGTTTGACAGATTTCAAAGCTGAAAAGGGCATCTAATCAAAAGAAACGACACTCTTCCTCTGATGTGACTACTGACAATCCTGATCACACTATGCCCTTCATCACTAGAAGTGAATGAAGATCCGATGTGGTGACAGACTACATACTGACTTAAGCAATTTAATGTCTTTATACTATGCTTTTTAATAATTTAGATTATCAGTTCACTTTGCTTAGCCTTGTCCACTTATTTGTTCATTATCACTCAGCCGTAAAGTCTGGTTTCTTAATTCAAATCCCCCCCCAAGAGCCCCTTGGTTAGTGGTCGTTGAATATTTAATACTTTTTCCAACCTCCCTGGCATAAGCAAAGTGATGCATGGTAGCAGACACTGCATATCATGCCCCAATTACACTATGCTAACCATCTAGCCTGTCTCTTGCCACGCATAACTCCTATTACTAACTTATGACATTATCAGGGACTTTGTGGTAATTCGGATTTTTTACCACGTGGTATATTTTTTCCAGACTGCCGTTAGGGAGCAGGCTCGTATCTATGTATCTAATTTTAAACTTGGCCTTTTTTTGTTATTGCAGTAATTTACCATCTCGCTACAAACTATGTATTGAATATTCATATCACATTTTCTGATTCTCTGTCATTCAACTTCCTCAAATAATAAAAAAGATTGACAAAAAAGAAAAGGGCATCTAATATATGAGGCCCTATGACTTTCCAAAAAGACCTTGGAAAACTGGTACATGAGGTTACCGTTATAGTCATGAGACAATATTAAATCAAAATACTGAAGCTTTATTGCACTCTCATATATCAAGGAAATGAACCGTCCTGTGAAAATGGAGTGTGTGTGTGTGAAAAGCACAAATAAAAGACTAACCAGTAAATTAGGCCTGCATTTATAATAAAGTGGTTCGATCAGACACCTCAAAATGTATCATTTGGAATATATGGGTTGGTTCCCAATCACAAAACAATAATTAAACAGCACACAGTTTTTCTTACAAATCAGGCTCAGTTTCACACTCTCTGTCTGTGATAAGCAACCTAGTGAGAAAATCTCAGCAGACTAAACTAAGACTGGACAGTGTTAATTAAAAAGGCACTCCAGGTTCCAAAACAACTTTATCTAAATTAAGTTTTTACGGTGCCAGGAGGCACCCAGGAGCACCCTCGAATGGTTTAACCCCAAAAGTTGGATTCCAGCGCCGGTCTCCACTCCTCCACAAATGGCATCCAGCTTCTGAAATTCCACTTTCAGGAAGCGAAGAGTGCTGCCAGGCAGGGGTGCCGCTGACTGGCTGAGAGCAATCAGCTGACTCTCCAGTCAATCAGTGACTCCCAATTGACTGGAGAAAAAGGTACGTTTCTTTCCAAGACAGTTTTGTGAATGGGGAGTAGCCGATTGGCTGCAAGCGTCAGCTGCAGTGGAGTGGAGACCTGTGCTGGAGGCAACTTTTGGGATAAACCATTCAAGAACTGTTTAACCCCTGAAGGTCAAAGTGCATCTGGGGATGTGCTGGCACCATAACAACTTAGTTTAGATGAAGTTGTTATGCTGCCATAACCAGCCTAAAATGTTCCTTTAAGTAGCAGTTGAAGCTGCTGCAGATATTAAACCTAAAAGCAGGGATAAAGTGTGCTCTCTTATGTGCCTGCCCTTATTAACCTGTCCCTAGTGACCCTGTCACAGTCCATACTTCCTTAAAGAGGCATTGTCACTTCTGAAAATAGTTGGCTACAGGTTGTGCAATATGTTTTTTTAATTCGTCATGGAATAATTTTTAATTTAAAATGCTTTGCCAGTCACACTATTCAGATTAGTTAACTCCTGCAGTTCCATAAACATATCATACACTGGAGAAAACAGAGCATGCAAATATTGCATATACAAATTCCCAATAGATACCCATGAGTGCGCCCGAGGCATCATGAGACAACTTTATTACACAGAATGTAGCAGTGAAACAGAGGCAGGTAGATTTTTTTGTTTACTTTCCTCCATTGCTTTATTCGCCCCAGCAAATGTTGCAATTGCGTTCAATGGGGGGAAAGAACAAAGAACTGTAACTCTCCTATAAGGAGCTATGAATCACCAACTTTAGCGTAGCTAAAATAACTTGGGTATAATTAACCAGCAAATAACTAAGCTTTCTCAATTAAAATCTCCATCCTTTTTGTTATTTTAGTGTCATGCCAAAATACTTGGAATTGTAAATGTGGCAAGTATGAGGTAAGAGAACTAGGAGACAATGTAACCACAGTATCCTTTTCTTCTTGGAAATATTGTTTTAGATGTGTGTGGTGCATGTGGGTGACAAAACCAAATTCTCCATTTATACCCAGGGAGCAGAAGTTGAAAGTGGAATTTCAGAAGCTGGATGCAATTCGTAGAGGCGTGGAGATCGGCGCTCAAATCAACTTTTGGGGTTAAACCATTCGAGGGTGCTCCTGGGTGCCTCCTGGCACTGTAAAATCTTAATTTAGATAAAGTTGTTTTGGAGCCTGGAGTGCCTATTTAATTAACACTGTCCAGTCCCAGTTTAATCTGCTGCAATTTTCTCACTAGGTTGCTTATCACAGACACAGAGAAAGTGTTAAACAAGAGAGCATGTTGCCATTGGAAACATGTAGATTTGCTGTAAAGTAATGTTAATTAACGAACATTAAGATCAGGCTTCCCCAAATTCTGGCCCTCCAGATGTTGCTGAACTACAACTCCCATGATTCTATGAATGAAATAGATAGGCTGAGAATCATGGGAGTTGTAGTTCAGCAACATCTGTAGGGCAGGAGTTTGGGGAAGCCTGATTTAGATAAATCAACAACAGAAATACACAAATGGAACACCATAACCTGTCCCTGTACACAAAAGATTTACAAATATTTTATGCACATATGACACATAATAGTAACTAAAGAAATCATGATAAATGCAATATATAATAAAGCATGAGAGAAGGTAACGTGGTTAGAAATGTCTCCTGACCTCTTCAGTGGCAGGCATTATTTTCCCCTAATGTGCTGTTCTGTATATTTTATATCACATAAATTAGGTTTATACTTAGTGCGTAAAGTGGTTCTATCAACTTTTGGGGTCCCTATTTTGTGTTAGGATATCTGTTGACTGTGTTGGTATTTCAATTAAATTCCAACACAGTCTTTCTAGGCATTTCATATAGATTCTATTTTTTTTAAATGCTCATTTTTTTGGAGTGTGATGGAACTTATTTTGCACTTAGTAATAGTTTTTGTAGTATAGCGGTTAAGCGTAAGACTTTGCTGTAAGTGCAGCACATGAATATAAATGCTCCAGGGTGCTGCCTGATATTAGTGGAAGTTATAGTCGCAGGCAGCAGCTGCCTCTCAGGAGTATAACTTCTATGAGCTTAGTGATCTCAGAACGGCACAAAGGTTATTTGTGCATTATTCCCAGTATGGGAAAGAACACAAATGACGTTACCATTTGTGCTGTATAAGATTCTCTAAAAATTTACTTTTGCCTTGAATGTGATAATGAGTTATTATTGTAGTCTGATTTTGTAACATGTACAATTGAGTTTCATTGCTCTGACTGACCTTTTTTAAATGAGGCTAGATTTAAAAAGGTAAATAATATAATATACACGTTTTATTTGTCATAACTCACTTTCCCATGCAACTGTGCAAACAGGGTCAGGAAGTGACTCTCAATATCACACATATTGTCAAAAATAGTGCAAAATCACCACTACATGTTAAATAAAGAAAGCTTTGACAGCCACCTGGTGGAATAAAGTAAAAACAAAAAAAGATGTTGGCAAACTTTTGTACCTGGATATTTAAAGTGTGCATGCTATGTTAAAGAGTCATATTGGGAATGTTTAAAATACTCATTTCTATTCATACATTATGATTGATGTGGTGTATATTTTACGTCAAGTATAGACATACAGACTACATTTCTTCAGGTATACATGGTCTGCACACAAGCATTAAGCAGTCAGCACTTTTTTTCCCCATCACAACTCTTATGGTATGTACTTTACAAGTAACACCAAGCTTCCATAGCAAGCCAGTAACCAACCTCATGCTGATGAGTTGCAGTACTCCTAGCACTGTAACCACTACAGTGGGCTGAAGTGTTTATGATACCGAACCGAGTCTTTAAAGCAAAACTATAGATTCAGGAAAACACATGTATTCCTGACCCTATAGTGTTAAAAACACCACCTGCCCCCCCTTTGCCCCACTAAATACTGCAAAATATTACCTTTATTCCAGTCTGCTGCTCTGCCCCGATCTACCTGCTTGGCTAAAATCATCAGACGTGGTGTTCAAAAGCGTTGGATTGGCTGAGACTGTGAAGGAGGCAGATCAGGGGCAGAGCCAACCCAAGCCAAACCAGAATAAATACAATAAGTTGTAGTTGTACTAGTGGCTACAGTGTCCCTTTAAGTGACACTTTAACCTGAAGGTAGTCAGCTTTTAATGCATCATGAAGATGATGGGACTACTTTTAAACATGCATTTGAATGTCTATTTTGGCTTCAAATATATAGCTTCTAGAGAGACTAGAACTTGATTCTGCTCTGCAAATCCTGATTAATCATTTTTTTTTCAATTGGAGTGCTGTGTTAATCCAGGGGTGTGTGTTTTGTGCACCCCTAATTCAGCTGTTATGTTTCATGGGAAACATTAATGAAAATATATGACAAGTTAATAACATATGTATGGCGTTGATTTGCTTTCAAAGTAATATCCTTCATGGTTTTTCATAAATTACACTACTGGGAGCTGCACATGCATATCTCCTACAGAAAGCAATGACAGAGCCTGCACATGTTACTTAGGTCTCACACGCAGTTTATAACATCACAGAATGGGGAGTTGAACACAGAGGTCCAGATTCCAATGATGAAGGCAGCTCAGTGGCTCACTACACTATAAACTTGTGCAAAATAAAATATTTGAAACAGTGTTGCAGAATAGGATTTGAGATTACCCAGTTGACTTTACTTCAAGATTTGAATGTGTGTATTTGAAGTTGGTCAAGAAAAAAAAAAAAAAAAAAAGCGCATCAATATTTAGTTGCTTATTGAAGTGTTGCAATAATAAAAAGCTACAAATTGCTTTCTTATTCGTGCATTAGTTATTTTGTTATATTAGGCATACACAGTTATGGTAATATAGCTCTGTCATACAGATATACATTTAAGGGGTTAAAAAGAGGGTATAACTGGAACCAGCGACTTATGGAACTCCAGGTGCTTTTACACGTGGAGTGCCAAACAGTCTGAGGATATCTTAGGATCTCCCCTGTAGCAAGCCTAAAAGTGGTCCCAGTTGTATGTGTTCATATATGTGCTAGTGCCAAACTAACATTTGGGACTAAAGGTGATAGCAGCAGATCTCAATTTACTCATTGCAGCACTTGGAGGAAGTTATATCCACACTGGAGAGACGCCCACAGTATCATTATGTGATACACAGCCCACATACATGTGTATCAAACTCAAATCGAATACAGCTCAAACATGCAAAAATACAACCGTGTAAAGCACTTGCAGCACACATACACAACACAAGCAGCAAAATACACTTTAAAAAAAAAAAAAAAAAAAGACCTGCACTCCAAAGGATTTCAAAGCCTTGCTTTGGTACAGTGATGCACAAATGTTGCCTATCCCTGGTGTATAACACTCAAATTCCTACATAGGGTATTTTCTAATGTAATGCAAAAAAAAAAAAAAATCAGACAGGAAATGATGCTGGGAACAGAGTGACATCATAGTCCAGCTCCCAACATCACTGAAAGGTGCATGAGGGAGCAGAGCAAGAAGAGCAGTAAGATTACAGTTACCTCACTGCCCCACAGCATTCTTTCTGTGACTCTCGCCTCAGTGGGTGCAGGGTGGGGATGCTAAACAGGCTGACAAATTCCCAGTCGCCAGGACAACATTCCTACTTTCATAGTCACCATAGTACCTGTGATTTGTCGAACATCTGACATACCGCTATATACAGCATTATAACTGGGCTCGTCTGGGATTTGTGAGACTGTTCAGCCCCCGAGGTGACCAGCTGCCTGAGAGCAGAGACGGGCAGTCGGATCACGGAGGGCTGAGGCAGGCTGCTGACTGACGTCACTTCGGCCCCAGCTCACTAATCAGTGCGCGAGAGGGAGATGGCACCAATCCCACTGGAACCCAGGGAAAGCCTATCTACTCCAGCTCTCCAGACGTAAGGAGGCTGGGTGGATTTAAATTAAAAAGTAATCACTTGAGAGTGAGGGAGTGTGTGTTTGTGTATTTGTCCAGCCCTGCATTATAAAATAAGAAGTGGTCTAAAACATTTTGAAGTATCCTTTTAACATCTCAGTTACTCCAAACACTTTTGTAGAAATCCCATTGTCAAATCATTTACATACAGTTGTGGGTGTGTATGTGTACTTGTTCATTTATAAATATATATTTTACTTTGTCTTGCCCTGCATGCTAAAGCTAGTTGTTCCAAGCCCCACTCAACATTGTTCGCTTGTTAACTTAAAGGGACACTAGAGTCACCAGAACAACTACAGCTTAATTCAGAGAAAAGGCAGTGCTTACATTGCCCCTAGGGACACCTCCAAGTGGCCACTCCTTAGATTGCCACTGGAGGAGCTTCCTGGCTCAGGGCTGTACAGTAAGCAGCTCTGCATGGGGACGCGGAATTTTCCTCATAGAGATGCACTGATTCAGCAACTCATACAGCAGGACACCCTGACCTCATGTTCACCAATCTCTGTACCACCTCTAAAATCGCTCCAATGTTCCATTTCCTTTATCTGACCACCATCTGCTGACCTTTGACATTGGCATACCCCGTACCCAAATTTCCCCATCCTCAACTCTCCAATCTGACAGAAACCTCCACTGCCTTATTCTCCAGCATCTCTCCACCAAATTCTCCTTTTACCCATTTCAAATCTCACTCAACCTAACTCTGCAACCTCACTCTACAACTCCACTCTCTCCTCTCAACTTGACATCATGGCACCTCCTACATTTAAAATGCAGCAAGTGTTCCCAATTACAACCCTGGCACACCAAGCTGACCTGATATCACAAAAAAATGTTCCAGAGCTGCGGAACGCTGTTGGAGAAAGTCTCACACTGCACCGGACTTCCTCCACTATAAATTTATGCTGCGTTCCTACACTTTGGCTCTTTCCTCTGCAAAAGTAAATTACTTCAACTTCCTCATAAGCACACTGTCCCACCAACTCAAATGCCTATTTCACAAATTTAATGCTCTCGTTCGCCCTGTTGGTCCCCCTCCCCCTACCAATCTGTCCGCTTCAAACTTTGCAACTCATTTTACAGAGAGGATTTCGACAATAAGGGAAGAGATCTCTAACCTCTCTCCCTCCCTTTCCACCCAACCCCACTGTTCTATGCTCATTCGTACCTAATACAAAAGAAGAGGTTTCTGCTCTGCTCCGGTCCTCCCGCCCCACCCCCTGTTCCCTTGATCCTATTTCCTCATATCCCATCTGCACTGTCTCCTTCTCTTGCTCTTCCTCTCACTTTCCTCCAGCACATTTCCTTCACCCTTCAAGCATGCAACTATAATGCCGATTCTGAAAAAGCCCAACTCCCCATATCGCTACTGCCATTTGCCTCCGAGATCCTTTAGAGAGTTGTGTATGCAAGATTGACAGACTTCCTCGAATCCAACTCTCTGCTTGACCCGCTTCAGTCTGGATCCCGCACTCGTTACTCTGTTGAAACAGCTGTGACCAAAGTATCCAACAATTTAATCATTGCTAAGTCTTGCGGCCATTACTCTTTCCAAATTCTTCTTGATCTTTCTGCTGCCTTTGACACTGTTAATCATCAACAGGTTCTTCTCATTCTCTGTAATCTCGGTCTACAAGATACTGCTCTCTCCTGGTGCTCCTCCTACCTCTCCCAGCGCTTTTTGAGTTTCAACCACTCTCTGTTGGCATTCCCCAAGGTTTTGTCCTTGGTCCCCTATTGTTCTCAGTCTACACTGCTGCCCTTGGTAAGCTCATCAGCTCATTTGGCTTCCATTATCATTTATATGCTGATGACACACAAATCCACCTGTCCTCTCCTGATCTCTCTCCACCCATCTTGACTCATGTCTCTTACTGCCTCTCTGCGATTTCCAACTGGATGGCTTCTTACTTCCTTAAATTCAACCTGTCCAAAACAGAACTTCTGGTCTTTCCTCCCTCAAGTGTTGCTACTCCCGTGTTTCTCCCTCCAAGTCAATGGCGCCACCATCACCTCTACCCCGCAGGCTCGCTGCCTGGGTGTTCTCTTTGACTCCGACCTCTCCTTCACCCATCACGTCCAGTCGATCGCCAAATCCTGCCACTTTCATCTCAAAAACATAGCTCACATCCGCCCCTATTTAACACCAGAGGCAGATAAGGTGCTTGTCCATGCAGTTATTTCTCACCTTGACTACTGCAATGCCCTTCTCAGTGGTCTTACATGTTCCCAGATTGCACCGCTGCAATCTATAATGAATGAGGCGGCAAGGCTCATTTTCCTGTCTGCCCGCCCGCACCTCCCACGCCTTCCCCCTCTGCCATTCCCTACATTGGCTTGCAGTTAGATATAGGGCTCAATTTAAGATTCTGGTGCTTGCTTACAAGTCCCTACATAATGCTGCTCCAACCTACTTATCATCCCTAATTCACAAGTATGTCCCGTTGAGGCCCCTGCGTTCTGCCGAAGACCTACGTCTATCCTCTGTCCGTACTCCCACATCGATGCTCGCCTCCAAGACTTCTCCAGGGCTGCACCTTTTCTGTGGAACTCCCTTCCCTGTTAGACTTTAACCCATTCTCGACTCCTTCAAAAAAATCTTTGAAAACACACTTCTTCAGGAGAGCATATCATTTAAATTGTTAGCAGGTTTTCATTCACCCTTCCCCCCACCCCCCCATGGACGCAACTGTCAAAAATAACCTAAGTTCTCAGTGAATACTTTTCTAGCAACCTATTTAAATTACCCCTACCCCTCCTGCAACTGTCAAAAATAAGTTCTTTGTGAATACTTTTCTAGCAACCTATTTTATTACCCCTACTTATACTCTTTGTGTCACTATACCCCACTCCCTCTAGCATGTAAGCTCATTGAGCAGGGCTCTCAACCCCTCTGTTCCTGTACGTCTATTTGTCTGGTTACAATTATGTGTCTGTTAGTCCACCCATTGTATAGTGCTACGGAATTTGCTGGCGCTATATAAATAAATAATAATAATAATAATAATTTACATACAGGGTTCATAACATCTATCACAATAAAAGAAAAACAAAACCACTATGTTACCAATTATTACACATATGTGAAATAGAACCATCTAACCTAAGTGGCAAATGACAGGTGTATACCAAATTAAAACACATACTCAAGGTCATTCACAAAAGTGTGAAATTCAAGTGAATTTCTAATTGTAGGACAAAAAAGACAAACTGAAAAATATAGCCCAGCAAAAATGGGAAAAAAAAATTTATGAAAATACTGAAATTGACACTTCGAGGCAAATGGTCTCCTCTATGGAATTTACACAACTGAATAAAACATTGAAAATTAATTTATTTATAAAAAAAAAAAAAAATTACCAGGAAAGATACATTGAGATTTCTCTCGTTTTCAAGTATGTCCTGGGACCACATATCATTGCATTGTTACATCAGAGTACAATAAAATACAAAAACAATATTAATACACAATATATACAACATTTAACATAGAACAGGTAGGAAATATATAATCAACCATGACACGTGCATTCTGTTTCGAGGTATGTAGAGAGGGATCTCTTAACCCCTTAAGGACACATGACATGTCATGATTCCCTTTTATTCCAGAATAGTGATGCCGCGAACGGTTCGCCGCGAACTCCGGTCAGCTGACACATCCCTGCCAATCTCCGGCAGACCCTCCCTCCCAGACCCTCCTACTTCCTGGACAGCATCCATGTTGAAGGACTTTAGGCTTAGGGAAGATTTTAAATAAACTATAACTTGTGTTAATCCTTTTTGTTTCAATTATATTCTCTATATCCTTTTAAGTATATAGAAATTTTTAAAACAATAACATCATGGGGGGCAAGGCGGACTGGTTGCATAGAAGAAAAGATTTTCAGGTGCAGTGGGACCTCGGTTTTACGAATTTAATGTGTTCCCCCGGGACGTTTCTTACTGCGAAAAATTTGTAAACCGAAATGCGTTTTCCCATAGGAATGCATTGAAAACCAATTAATCCATTCTGGAGGTCAGAAAAAAAACCAAAATGGGCTGGCACGGAAACCAACTCACAATGCAGAGCACACAATAAAAGGCATGCAAGCGACAAAGCTCAGCTCCCCACCTTTCCACAGCTTGAGAAAGGTACCAAAAAGTCCCAAAACAACTGAAAGCTATTTCCAGAATAACTCCAAAACTCGATGCAAAAGCCGCTCCTACACCTCCACACTCGACGCCACGTGCTACCCACAGGCTCCAGCATGCAGGGGGCGGTGCTATAAACCTCCCAGGTGCAATGCATCCGGGGGAAACTTGCTTTGTATTGCGAAAAAAATGTTGTAAACCGAGGCATTATTTTCAATGGATTTTCATTTGTAAACCGAGGTCCCACTGTATTTCGGTCCCAAAATTCAGTTTGGTTCATTACCTAGCGCCGAGAAACAGCAGATAACACTAACAGGTGCCGCTCTGAAATTCTGCCCAAAAATTTTCTATTGGCACCTCTGGGGGAGAAACAAAATCTCTGTGATTTAGGCTCACTCGGTCAGTGAGTGGGGTTGAAGGCTGCTGCCCTGTAATCTTGCCTCTCTGCTACAAGGTAGACCCTTCATGCTGCGAGGTGCTGGCCCTGCGGGGGTCATTCCACACCCCGGCCCACACTGCGGTCCTAATGTCGGCTACTCTGGTTTGAATTCCCTTCACTTCTCACATTAGTGAATCGCCCGGAGTGTGTGATTCGCCTCAGTCATTATGTGATAAGCAAGGAGTTATTTATTATTATTATGATATTATTTATATAGCGCCATCAAATTCCGCAGTGCTTTACAATGAGTGGACGAACAGACATGTAGTTATAACCAGACAAGGAAATGTAACGCCTGCCACCATTTAATTTTTAAAAACAAACTAAAATGTAACCGAGCATTCGGGCAGCTCGTTCTGTATCAGTTTGAGCAACACGGTCTGGTATTTCATCATGTTCTATATTGAGTCACACGGGCCGCTGGTTGGGGAGTGGAGTCACACGGGCTGCTGGTTGGGGAGTGGAGTCACACGGGCTGCTGGTTGGGAGTCACAGCAGGGCTGGACTGGCCCACCGGGATACCGGGAAATTTCCCGGTGAGCAGTCGGCACCTGGGGCCGAACAGACACCTGGGTCTGCTGGCGGAGGTTTTCTGGCGGCCGCTGGGGGAGCTGTTCTGTCTCTGCTCCCCAGCGCGCAGCTTAATGAGACCGGGGCCTGAATATGATGTCATATTCCGGCCGCGGTCTCATGCAGCAGCGCGTAAGGGCTGGAGAGCAGAGCCAGCGCAGCTCCCGCAGAGGCCGCCAGCACAGACAACCGTCTGCACTACACGACCCCCTGGCAAGTAGTAGTAATGTGTTATGGTCTGTCTGTCTGTTTCGTGGTGTGTGTGTATGTCTGTCTGTTTCGTGGTGTGTGTGTATGTCTGTCTGTTTCGTGGTGTGTGTGTATGTCTGTCTGTGTTGAGGTGTGTGTGTCGTGGTGTGTGTGTGTCTGTCTGTCTGTGTCGTGGTGTGTGTGTGTCTGTGTGTCTGTGTCATGGTGTGTGTGTGTCTGTGTCATGGTGTGTGTGTGTCTGTTTCATGGTATGCGTGTGGGTCTGTCTGTGTCATGGTGTGTGTGTGTGTGTCATGGTATATGTGTCTGTCTATGTCATGTGTGCGTGTGGGTCTGTCTGTGTCATGGTGTGTGTGTGTCATGGTATATGTGTGTGTGTGTAATGGTGTGTGTGTCTGTCTGTGTCATGGTGTATGGGTGTGTGTCTGTCTGTGTCATGGTGTGTGTGTGGGTCTGTCTGTGTCATGGTCTGTCATGGTGTATATGTGTGTTTCTGTGTCTGTCATGGTGTATATGTGTGTTTAAAAATAGTGTTTTTCCCCACCTTTCCGATTACCAACGGTACGAGACAGGGGTGCCCCCTATCCCCACTTTTATACGTCCTTGCATTAGAACCCCTCTTACACCGCATACGCTTGAATGAGAATATAAAGGGAATACACCTAGGGCACAAACAGGTTAAGATTAGCGCATTCGAAGATGATGTACTGCTATACATAACAAACCCACAAGACTCCCTACCTACACTGATGCAGATAATACACACCTATGGACAGTTCTCATACTATTTAGTGAATGCAGCCAAAACACAGGCCCTGCCTATAGGCATCCCTGCCCAGGTTCTACGCACCCTCACACGCACATACGACTTTGACTGGAGGACAGAATCCATACGTTACCTAGGCCTGACGATCACTAAAAACCCTGCGAACCTTATGTCAGCAAATTATGTTGCAGTTTGGAACAAATGCAGTCAACTACTGAAACAATGGTCGCCACTGTACCTGTCCTGGTCAGACCGCATCGTGACACTCAAAATGTCAATACTACCGAGGCTGCTGTACCTCTTTCGCACCATCCCTCTCCGTCTCCCTCCCTCCTACTTTAAGACCATTCAGGCTGATATGGGGAAGTTTGTATGGGCAGGAGGCAAAGCCAGAGTAGCCACCACGGTCTTACAGGCCCCCAAGAAACAAGGTGGTTTAGCACTACCCAATGTCCAAGGCTACTATCATGCGGCAGTACTAGCTACAGCTATCCCCCACATAATCTCTGCACCCAAACCACAGTGGGTCTCCCTGGAGAGGGACCAATTAGATAACCACGACATCCTGCACCTACTTTGGACACCGTCGCATCTTAGGCCTGACTTGCCGACAGCTCCCCCCAGATACTGCTTTTGTTTCACATCTGGGATAGGTACAGGCCTAGGTTGGGAAGTACACCCGACCTCTCCCTGTCAACCCCCCTAAAGGCCATACCCTACATTATCCCCACATTCAATGCCCTACCGTGGCACCGAAGTGGCACGACGCACCTTTACCATCTATTTGATGCCCATAAACTACTAGACTACACGACCCTAGCCAGCAAATACACGCTACCACAGTCCTCGCAGTACTTGTACCTCCAATTACACTCCTACATCTCTAATGAAGCGAAACGTTTCTTAGACACCTCTAGAGATGCTAACAGGTTAACTGCATGGGAACAAATGTGTATAACTGCAAGATTGCTACCTCAATGTAAACCGATCTCCATGTGTCTCAGCTCCATATCGAAACACAACCACTTTTCCACCACAAAATATGCTCAACAATGGGAGAGCGATCTAGACTGCGCAGTGCCACCCATATCCTGGGACTCCCTCATATCCGACCCACTAAAGCTACTAAAATCCACCTCCCACATTGAACAGCATCGCAAAATTCTATACCGGTGGTACTTAGTGCCGACCAGACTGCACAAGATTTTCCCCTCCACCTCACCACTTTGTTGGAGATGCCAAGCAGCGGAGGGCACAATGCACCATATATGGTGGAGCTGCCCAAGGCTAGTCCCATACTGGACGGATGTCCACACACTGATCCGAGAAGCCACACAGAGCTCTCCCCCATTTACCCCGCAGGCGTGTCTATTGCTGGACCTCCCTAGAGAAATGCCCCCACACGTCAGAAAGTTGACCTTACACATAGCTTTGACGGCGCAGCAATTGATAGCAAGGAGATGGAAGTCCACGATCCTTCCCAAGAAGGAAAATCTCTTAGAGGAATTGCAAAAGCAGTGGATTTACGAAACCTCCTACACGTCCCTCTTCCCCCCCTCTACGCTCTATAGGAAAACGTGGGAGCTTTGGCAAACATAGAGATCTGGTAAGGTACCGGGTAAAGCACCAGGGGCTGTACCTAGCAAATGAGTTGTCAAGTCCTCAACATCTCCAAGTTGCGTATGCTTACTCACACTCCCACAGCCACCCGTGGGATGCTGATATGTTGTTAGATATAGGGTGACATGCTACAGTGGGGACATATTACGTACTGAAAATAATGTGGATTTACTGTTACGGTAACAAAAAAGCTTGTCTGTATCAACCTGTGATGCACCCTCCCCCCCTCTCTCTGTTATGTACCCTCCCCTGGTATAAGGAGCAACTGTACAAATCTACTCTTATTAATTATTATCCCATTCCTTTCTGTACCCTGAATATGTTGCTTACTGACAAAATAAATAAAAATTGTCAAATTTAAAAAAAATAGTGTTTTTGCTCACCTTTTTTTTCCCCCACGCAACGTGCTGGTCTCCCCTCGACTGTCCCTGCCTCTTTAAATAAGATCATCAAGCTTGATGATCTCAGCCAGTCCAATGCTTTGCCATAGGATTGGCTGCAAAATGCTACACCAATCAGCATCTACTCATAGAGATGCATTGAATCAATGTATCTCTAGTGGGAACGTTCAGCGCTTCCAGAGTGTGGAGGCCCTGAATGTAGGTGCACTAACACAGGAAACACCTCTAGTGACCGTCTGAGTGACTGTCACTAGCGGTGTCACTTTGAAGCAATGTAAACACTGCCTTTTCTCTGAAAAGTCAGTGTTTACGTTGAAAAGCCTGTAGGGACATGCTATAGACACCAGTACCACTACACTAAACTGCGTGTGCGTGCGTCTGCTAGTGAGTGAGCTTGTGTTTTTATGTCAATGAGCTGATGTATATCAGTGAGATTGTTTGTCTATGAGGCTGTGTATCAATGAGCTTGTGTGTGTCACTGAAATTGCCTGTGTCTGCATGTGAGTATGCTTACTGTATAACTAAACTTTTTACTCTGAAAGGACCAATATTTTATATTAGAAAAAGATATATTACTCAATCTGTCCTGGCAAGACATAACCTTACATATTACATGCGACAATATATGGCGCAGTGACTTATGGGGCTGGCATAACATTTTTTTCCAGGGCTGTTTTGTATCCCCAGTCCGGCCCTGAGTCACAGTGTATCCTGTATGGCTGTGACAGGCAGTGTGTAATAACCTGAATAATGATATGGGCGGTCCGCCTCCCCGTGCCCAGCATGCACACCCTCTGCCATGTACCTACCTGCCACCAGAGACTCCTCGCTGAATCCCGCAGCGCAGCTGGTCAGCAGCACACAGGGCACAGGAGCCATGGTTGCTCCCACAGCCTCTTCCGCGATACACTCTGACCTACTTCCGCATGGCAACCGACCAACTTCCGCGTGGCAACAGCTACACTTCCGGTCACCCCTCCCAGCGTGCGGCTGGATGGAATCTCCCGCCCCCGCCTGGCGCAGTGGTACAATCCCCGCGTCCAGTTGCCATGGCAGCAGAGCCCGGAGCTGTCCAGTGACGGCCCGCAGCATGGCCCGGGTCTCTCAGGGCACTGACCCTGTTGGCAGCCTCCTGGTGCAGGTAACACAGACTGGGCAGCCGGGGTATTCACTGGATATCCGGTACCTGGGCAAGGCCCCCCCTGACAGTATTATTTATATATTAATAATTATTATTATTATAGAATCAGTGTATTAGTAGGTGCTGTATGAGTATAGTCTCCCAGTACCATGGGTATTAGCTATACATTGTATGATATTTTATGATATTTCCTATTTTAGGACAATCTAATATGTCTGTGTCTTGTTACTAGTCAGTTCCATGTATTTCTTTAGGAGTGAATAGGGGATTTCAGCCAAGCTCATTGAGGGAAAGGATTACATTGGACAGCTTACATAGTGTGGGGGGTGTGTATGACCTCCTGGTAACAATCTAGTTAAGTGCTGGCAACCATCGGAAACATTGAAACACACAAGTAGATACTGTATGAATTGTATTTACCCACCTTGGTGTGCATTTTTAAATGATTTACTTATTGTAAATGCTAGGTTTTAATACCAGGAAAATATTACTCTGCACTAATACTAGTAATACAATTGTGATTTTTCCACATTGTCCAGCTTTTGATGAGAGATCAATCATCTCATTTATCTATGTGTGTTTTGTTTCTGTTACGTACAGGTCCAGAACGACTTGGAGCATTTGAGAAAGAGACTGACACACACCAGCATCAAGGAACATGGGGAGACTGTGGATATCCAATCTCTGGAGAAAGCAATTCAAAGGACAGAACTTGGCCTTAAGGTAAGAACACTGTAGCTGGTGCCTGGTACGGTACATTTATTCTTCTGTTATGTTTCTTTTTGTTAAATTATATGGCTTGTAATTTTGATTCAAGCTATAGATAGCGTTTCATAACCTATTTGTAGCACAGAACAGGCTTTGAGGATCTATGCAGCATATCATCAATGCTAAAGCCTTTTCAGAATTACATTTTTTGAAAAGTTATACACCTGGAATCTTTACACTATTAATTAGTGATTATTGAAGAACAAGTTTATATGTGCACTTTGTTAAAACAAAATATTACCGGTATATATTGCATAGAAAACAATTGAAAAATACAAGTGTAAATTTCTACATGATGAAAGCAAAACATTTGTCAATGAATTGTCAAATTAATTTACTGTTTCTTGCTGATGTTTGACCCATTTATTTGGCAGAAACATACCGAGGACTACCTGAGTTACATCAGCTGCAATCCAATGACATTACTTCATGATGGAAGCAAGGACAAGTACATCCCGCATGTGATAAAATGGTGAGGGGAGAATAGGATCCTAAGTAGTCAAAGTACTGGAAAAGAAATAGATTCTTGTTATGAATTAATAAAGTAGTCCTGTCTTTCATGCAGTATGGAACATTTAAAATGAGACAAAAAAGTTGAACTTTTTGATAAAAACCCATCAGATCTGCAAACTGTTATAAATAACTGATTGCTAGCCAGTATATTACATATGTAATAATATAGGGGACTTAAACGGCTGATGGCTAAGGTGGTTTTATTTGGGCACATACACATTTACATATTTTAATTTACCCTTTGGTAAAAGTTCATAATATTTAATACATACAGGTGATACTCGAAAAATTAGAATATCGTGCAAAAGTTCATTTATTTCAGTAATGCAACGTAAAAGAGGAAACTAATATATGAGATAGACGCATTACATGCAAAGCAAGATAGTTCAAACTGTGATTTGTCATAAGTGCGATGATTATGGCTTACAGCTCATGAAAACCCCAAATCCACAATCTCAGTAAATTAGAATATTACATGCAATCAATAAAACAAGGATTGTACATAGAACAATATCGGACCTCTGAAAAGTTTATGCATGCCTATGGACTCAGTACTTGGTTTAGGCTCCTTTTGCAGCAATTACTGCCTCAGTGCGGCGTGGCATGGAAGCTATCAGCCTGTGGCACTGCTGAGGTGTTATGGAAGACCAGGATGCTTCAATATTGGCCTTCAGTTCTTCTGCATTGTTCAGTGTCATGTCTCTCATCTTTCTCTTGGCAATGCCCCATAGATTCTCTATGGGGTTTAGGTCAGGCAAGTTTGCTGGCCAATCAAGCACAGTAATCCCATGGTCATTGAACCAGGCTTTGGTACTTTTAGCAGTGTGGGTAAGTGCCAGGTCCTACTGGAAAATGAAGTCAGCATCCTCATAAAGCTCGTCTGTGGACGGAAGCATGAAGTGCTCCAAAATCTCCTGGTAGACGGCTGCGTTGACCCTAGACTTAATGAAGCACAGTGGACCAACACCAGCAGATGACATGGCTCCCCAAATCAAAACAGACTGTGGAAACTTCACATCTTGCAGTGTTCCTCTCCATTCTTCCTCCAGGCTCTGGGTCCTTGGTTTCCAAATGAGATGCAAAAGTTGCTCTCTTCAGAAAAGAGGACTTTGGACCACTGAGCAACAGACCAGGTCTGTTTTTCTTTAGCCCAGGTAAGACGCTTCTGATGTTGTTTGTTGTTCAGGAGCAGCTTGACAAGAGGAATATGACATCTGAAGCCCATGTCCAGGATCCTTCTGTGTGTGGTGGCTCTTCATGCACTGACTCCAGCCTCAGTCCACTCCTTGTGAAAGTCCCCAACACATTTGAATGGCTTTTTCCTGACAATCCTCTCCAGGCTGCGGTCATCCCTGCTGCTTGTGCACCTTTTTCTTCCACACTTCTCCCTTCCACATAACTTTCTATTAATGTGCTTTGATACAGCACTTTGGGAACATCCAACTTCCTTCACAATTACCTTTTGAGGCTTTCCCTCCTTATGGAGGGTGTCAATGATGGTTTTCTGCACAACTGTCAGGTCAGCAGTCTTCCCCATGATTGTGATTCCTACTGAACCAGACTGAGAGACCATTTAAAGGCTCAGAAACCCTTTGCAGGTGTTATGGCTTACTTAGCTGATTAGAGTGGGACACTGTGAGCCTAGAATATTGCACCTTTTCACAATATTCTAATTTACTGAGATTGTAGATTTGGGGTTTTCATGAGCTGTAAGCCATAATCATCGCAATTATGACAAATCACAGCTTGAACTATCTTGCTTTGCATTTAATGCGTCTATCTCATATATTAGTTTACGTTGCATTACTGAAATAAATGAACTTTTGCACTATATTCTAATTTTTCGATTATCACCTGTATGTTGAATGTTAAAAGGAAATCTGTCAATTGTTTCATTTTGTTCAAGCCTGTTTTGCTCTGGAAACCTGTAGTAAAATAATGAAAAATCAAAAAGGAAACAAGGGTGTGGGCTGGAGGAGAGACTAGGACAGATAATTCAGGTTTTTTTCTGTTGACACTGTTGGAAGCTTATCTACCTTAAAAACATTAGACAGAGGATAATGAAAAGGTCACCAAATTAAATGAGCGTATATCTCTGAAACTATTACAATGATAAAAAAACTAAACGCAAACAACCAATTATGCACTGTTTGTGTATGAATAAAGATTTTATCAGGAAATCATGCCAAGCCTGCCTGGTCTTTTTAAAGAACCGTCAGACTGCCTTTTGCCATCAATGGAGTTCAGTATGCATGAATAGAATTTAGCAATTAACTTTAAACCTATGAGTTAGCTAATTTCTATCTAATAGCATTACATTGCCAATCTCCACTCTTCAAAAGATTTTACCAAGGTGACTTACTGCATTATGAGCAAACCATCTATCTCGTGCAATGTGAATGTGTTGACTTCTGTACAATAAGTGTACTGGTTATGCTGCTCCTCCTTATTGTCATTTATTTTTGAGTTTTACAAAAATCAGGTCCCCTACCTACATAGTTACATAGCTGAAAAGAGACTTGTGTCCATCAAGTTCAGCCTTCCTCACATATGTTTTTGCTGTTGATCCAAAAGAAGGCAAAAAACCCAGTCTGAAGCGCTTCCAATTTTGCAACAAACTAGAAAAAAATTCCTTCTTGACCCCAAAATAGCAGTCAGATGTCTCCTTGGATCAAGCAGCTAACGCCCCACTAATTATATAAATTATATCCCTGTATGTTATGTTTTTGCAAGTATTTATCCAATTGCAGTTTAGACATCTGTATGGACTCTGATAAAACCACCTCTTCAGGCAGAGAATTCTATATCCTTATTGCTCTTACTGTAAAAAACCTTTTCTTTGCCTTAGATTAAATCTCCTTTCTTCCAGCCTAAATGTGTGACCTCGTGTCCTATGTATAGCTCTGTTTATGAATAGATTTCCAGATAATGGTTTGTACTGGCCCCGAATATATTTCTATAATGTTATCATATTCACTCTGAGGTACCGTTTTCCCAAACTAAACAGATTTAAATTTTTTAACCTTTCTAAAATGCTCCCTTACTTTTATCAATTTTGTAGCTCGTCTCTGCACTTTTTCTAGTGCAATGCTATCCTTCTTTAGAACAGGTGCCCAAAATTGCACAGCATATTCAAGGTTTGATCTTGCCAGCTATTTATAAAGAGGCAAAATTATATTTTCATCCCAAGAATTTATGCCCCTATTTATACATGATAAAACCTTACTGGCCTTAGCAACTGCAGATTGACATTGCATATTGTAACGGCACCCCCAGGCATAAAAGGGGTTAAACCGCCGTTTAGAAGATCTTCCCCTTCCAGAGACACAGGCACAGCTACCGCAGAACCCCAAACTACCGAACAGGATACAAAGTAGCACTCCAAACTCCTGAACTGGAACCTCACGAATAGCTGCTAGCAGCTGAACAGGAAAAGCACCCAAGCGGCTTACACTCCTGGCAATCAGTATCTAACAGCATACAGTAAATCCCCCCCAAAACGAGACAAGGTTCTGTGTTAAGGGTCAAGCAGTGAACAGACAGAGCTGTGGGTTTATTGTTCATATATACACATTCTTACACATTAGTACCACCCACAGGGTTTTGTAAAACAACCAATAAACATGTATAATAAACTCAGACACTCCCACACTAAATCCTCCCCTCTGCCTGTGATACAATTACCTTACACGATGGGTTAATGTAAGTATCACAGACAGAGAAATACAGTTTCTCCACATTATACATCACATTCACATAAAACTTAAATTTTTCAGAATCAGCATACTCCATATACAAACATATATGTCAAAATCATCCAAATTGGTCCAGTGGTTCAAAAGATAGATCGAAGTCCTTTGTGACCAAATGAAGCATGGATTTTCTGCCCAAAACCAGTTCCACAGAGTCTTCTATCCTGGAGATAATTGGGAAGTAATCCAATTATCTCCAAGGAGAGAGGCAAAACTCAATTGAACATATGGTAGCCAAAGACAATAAAATACATAAAAATATATAACTGTGCAGCTATTGCATAAAACAGGTACATTCTGATTTTAGCGCACATTATTACTGAATGGCGCTCAGATCACATACATACAGTTCAATTGCCATGGAGCCAAAGTCTTTCACATAGTCTTTCATTATACGAATGGGCTCCATGGCATAGCTATCTGGGGTATCACTGTTCAAATAGGGCAAGTACCAAATGACCCGGCTTTCGTGTCTTTGCAGGGGAAAATCAAGCGTTTCAACATGGGGCCATAGTCTAAAGGCAGCAGGCGGGCAACCAGGCTCCTCCAATGCACAATGGCACACATATTGCTGCCTAATTTGTTGTCTATAACAATTTCCAAATACCTGGCATACAGGAGACACATGCTCTTCATTCAACCTGATAATCAATGGCAAAGGTTGTCTGACAGTGCTGGAAGTGTATTTTCTGAGTGCTGGCTGTCTATTACAGCTCTCCAGGTTGGATAGGATTGAAGCTGACAGTGACATCCAGCAAACTAGAACCATATGTAAAAACAGGAGAAGTATGATTGGTTGTATTGTAGATATAATTAATAATATCAATAGTCAGTGAGTGTTGGAATTTGTGGAATAATTATTTTTTTTAATATGTTTTGAAGAGATTTGTTTCCTACACTGCATTTCATGCAAGTTATTCATTTTGCATTCTTCAATCTGAATTCTAATTCAGGAGCAATCCGGTGGATCCTACAAAGCAGACACAAAGAGCACGTCCTTTAAATTTCCCAGATGCCAGACCTCATGCACCTGGAATGTCCATTTACCTGTCACCTGGACAGCAGGTCAGAATCACTTTGCCATTTTTCTGTTGTGTTTGCTTACCAATCTCTATGCACCATCATTGCCTAATGAAAGCCTTCTCCTTCCGTGTGAGACATTCAAACCATTCATGGACTAATGGCCTATTGTAGTAGATTGACTGTTCATAAGTTACAAACATCTCACCAAGTCCTCAGAATCTGCAACCTTCTTAATGGAGGAATTTGGCATATAATATCATTTAAACAAACACCTGTTTATATATTTGTTTTTAATGAATCATACATTAATAAGGATAGTATAGTCTGAGTTATACATAAAAAAAGTAATTACATTCAAGAGCTTATCCAATATATTTGATATTAAGACATGACAACTGTATATTTAAAGGATAAATGTTCATTGCTTGCTCATCCAAATAATCAACTCAAACATTACCCATTACAACACAGCTGGCATTGAATTGTTGAATGCTTCCACTTTACTATAACCACACAGCATGTTCTCTTCTGTGCTGCCGAAGATAATGACACTTTCACTGAAAGGTACCAGCAAGGTTGGCAGTGGCAGTGGCATTCCTGTAGAGACCAACTGATTGTGAAGGCTAAATCCAGACTACAGCTTATTGCTTTTACCACCTTGGTCCTGTGCCAACCTATGGGTAGTTAGTGATTCTATATTGGCATCAGTGGTTTGCCGTCTTTCTAATCTCTATGCTGTCCCTGATGTTTGCACTTGACTTCTCCACTGCATGTAGGCATGTAGGTGTTGCTCAGCTGCATTCTGTAGTAAAGCATCAGATGTACGATAATTCCCATCATCCCCCTCATAAATTGTAGATCGCAAACATCTGCATAGATGTAGTTGCTTGATTCTGTGATAAATGATCATCAAGTGTGGCCCAGGGTAGTATTTTGGGTAGCAGAAAGCCAGTGCAAAGTAACCTAGAACAAAAATAGTAGAATAATCAAAGCAGCGACACACAGGATGTGTATCACCTTTATATTTGTAGTAAAAAAACAAACAAACTAAAACCTGTTTGTGTTGCAAATAATATATACATCTTTTTGCATGAAAGCTTGTGGGATTATGAGAAAATGCAACATAAAGATAATAGTTATATTAATTATTAATCATTTCTGTATTACTTTGCATAAGATGCAGTATACATTCTGTAATAATAAATGAAGCATGATGAAAAAAATGAACTATGATACTCTCCATAAAGAACAAAAAAAGAAGAATTACTAGAACAAAACATGATGGGTCACACTTTCAAAATGTGAAAAAACTATCGCTAAATACTGTAAAACATTTATTTCCCTTTGATTGGATTAGATAACCCCTTCAGTAAGGAAACAGGTGACTGTAGATGAATCAGTAAAGGAATGCGATAACATTTTCCTAACCAGTGGGTTGGGAAGGACAAATATCTGTGTGGTTTTCCTGGTTACATTATTTTATTGCATGACTAGACTTCATCACTAAGATGTTAGCGTAAATCCAGTTGCTACATCCAAATGGCCCCGGTCTAGATAGGATACTCGGAGCAAAACGTGACCCTTCATTCACTGTTCTATCCCCAACATTTTTCTGCATGCATTAAAGTGATGTCTCCGACTCCACACCTGCAACCCAGTACGTCAGTGGTCCCCAACCCAGTCCTCTTGGACCACCAACAGTCCAGGTTTTGTCACTATCCCCATTTGCATAAGGGAAAACCATAAATCCTGGACTGTTGGTGGTCCATGAGGACTACGTTGGAGACCACTGATGTACGGTGACATAAATGTGTATAAGTACAACTTAGATATACAGCGTCAGCACCTTTCCATCACTCTGTATATTTAAGAGTTATATGGTTTGGTTGTCCTTATTAACTATTGTGATGTACTGTCTGCTCATAATGATATACATCAAGCAGTAATAATAGAGAATAAATGTGACATTTTTATTTTGTGTTTGCTTTATTCTTATTTTCAGAAAATGGTGCGTGTGTGCCACCGAGCAATAAAACTGTTAAAAATAGGGAAGCTGTGAAAAATGCAATTTGCTGTGTTCTTTAATTAGTGTGTTTTTGAGGCTGGCTAAGCACCATGGGAAATGTAGTCCACAACAATCTGGGATATCAGTGTTAGCCATCGCTGCCTGAGTGGAAAAAATGTCTCTCAGAAATACATCTGTTCGGATTGTTTGTTAATGCTACATTGATTGCCCCTATAACACCTCAGCTGTTTGCCCATTCTGTGTGTATAGCCCTGCCAGTGCATATTCACATGCAAGCTACGCATGTAGAAGACATTTATCTGTCCTACCAATCCACCTCAGGCATATTAATTGTCCCCTCAGTTTTCCAAATGAAAACCTTTGATACCTGCTTAAAAATACATATCCTGTGACAGAGCTCAAGCACCTCATTTCGTATCTGAAAGTAAGTGCTGATTTGCCAGCTGTTCTGTTCGCATGGCACGCTGGCAGGAACAGTGATATTATTAACTAGTTGTTGGTTCCAGCTGGGAAATTGCCACCTATAATTTGCCACCTTCCTTCCTCCCAACAAGGTAAGCCTCAGTCAGCACAATAAAATTTAACCATGATTATAAAATGGCGAGACTGGCTTAAGCTGAGCCAATTACTGCAGCTGGTCTCAGGATGCCATGTCCTTTTTTTTTGCTGGTTTATCTTTCAGTGTTAACTATCTATTTAGAAAATATCTAGCCATTACTCAATGATAAATGTTGTTATTTCCTTTAGAATTAGGGTTTTTAATTGGTTGAAATTCCAAAAGAGGATATTGAGAGAAGTGACATTTTAGATCTGATTTGTTATTTCTCTGGGCCAAACCCATATTCTCTCCAGGTTACTGTCAAACATTGAAATTCCTAGGGATGGTCCCTTCGGCAAACCACACCGTGACCTCCATGAATTTCCAAAAATGAATATAGCATTGTCATTGTGCACTTTTTTTAAAATCACTCCTTTTTGTTCTCCCTATTTCCCTTCTTTAGTTTTGTTTATATATACAGTGGTACCTCGGTTTACAAACGCCTCTGTTAACATAATTTTCGGTTTACAAATGATCTTTGGCGATGGGCGCCGTGGTGCTTAAGTTTAGTTCTGCTTCAGTTGCTTAGATAATTTACCCACAATCCATCAGTCAATAGTACCCCACAGAAGAGAAAACTGCTGAAATCACAGACAGAAGAAAACAAAATCCAACAAATGGGACTGCGCCCACTAAGCAGAGGAATATTCCAATGATGCCTCACAGACGTGGGCGGCTACGTACACCCATACATGCAGTGTATAGAATTGAATGCTGTCCGTGTACTCAAAGCGTTAGATTCAACGGCAGATTTTTATTGGAAACAGAGGTAATATTTTGACCCCAGTCAGAGCCTTTCTGTGGCTTGAGAAAAACTCTGACTCGGGCCAAAGTGATAACCTCTGTTTTCAAGAAGAAAACAAAGTGGCAATGCCAACATCTTGAGATTTTGCACAAGGAAGAAACGATAATAAATATAGATAAGATAAAGTAGCAGGGGTGAAGTAAAATTGTTAAGGTATAAGGGGTATAAGAAAAGTAAAAAGAAAATGACAGTGCCACTTTAAGACAATATAAAACTATGCCTTAAAATAATAAACAAAAATAAATAAATAAATAAAATAAAAACCAGATATAGATAGAACAGATAACATATAAATGCTGGTCTCAATAAGCATCCAAAGTTGTTTATATTGGAACCACCAATTTTCAATTTATAAATGCAGAAAGAGAACAAAAAAAAAGGCACGCATGCATTAATGTTAAAATACAGTTATCAGAAATAAAACTATAGAGCTAACTCAAAATATGGGGCTGTTATAACATCATAAAAATGGTGAATTAAAGGGACACTGTAGTCACTATAACCACTTTGTCTCTTTGAATTGGTTATAGTGCCTGGAGTGCCCTGGCACTGTCCCTCCATTCAGTGTTGCACAATGTTTGTGCAGTATGCCACAAAATAAGAGTCCCTGGCCACCCACAGTCCGGCCCCTTCTGTATGTGTAGCTAAGGCAGAGATTACACACTTCCTTGTTGTCATACCCATTCATACCGTCAGTTGGAGTTCTGACAGGCTAAAAGCAGTCAGCTGACACTCTCAGCCAATCACAGCTGCCCATTGCTGCTCAGGCTAATACTTCCTTATTAGCCAAAGCAGCACAGAGGGGATGGACTGCCGGGGTCTCTTGTTTAGCATTAACACATTACAACATTAAAAACTGTTTAATGCTGAAAGAAATGATGGCACCAGGGGACTCCAGGCACTATAACCAGTTTAATGAGATGAAGCAGATACAGTGCCCTACGGTGTCCCTTTAAGGAATCCACGGTTAGCTTTTTTTTGGCTTTCCATTCAAATGTTTTCTTTAGGTTTGGAAAACCCAGCCAAATGTGCCAGATAATAAGTCACAGCAAACCAGGGATTAGTGCTAATTTCTAATTTGACCTGATGGCAAAGAGCTTGCCTATATTTGAGAGTGCAGATGATGGGGTTCTCTCAGCAGAAATCACTCATACGTAAAGCTTCTTCTGAAAATCCCATGATCTAGCCTCTTAGATATCAGCAATTCCTTTATCTTCAATAAAAAAGTTAATGCTAATCCTGGGATTTAAATCAGTAATGCCACGGAATACATCCTGCTACCTTTAGACCTAGAAATAAGGGAAACCTTTGAGGACCGTGTATCACACCTCAGTAGAGTTGGTCTGTGCTGCCTGCAGTTTAGGACTTTCTCCAGGGAGGAGAAAGAGCTCAGCCCAAGTGATGTATGGAGTGTAGACAAAATTGAGGCAGTTGGCACTAAGCATTATCAGCTCAGCCTGATTGATAGTACATTTTTAAAGAGTGGAGCACAGGGTAGTCTTCATCAACTTAAACTTTGCAATCTTAATTTATTATGGTACTTATAATGACCCTTTAAAGAAACACTGTTAATGACTTAAATAAACTTAATGACTAAACCCGCTGCAGAGGTTATACCAGGAGTACCCTGGTGTGATCCCACAGTATGTGGTCAAAACTTTTTAGTACTGTTTTACAACTTACCTGGGACCCACTAGACACCCACTTTGCAAACCGTGCATCTGGGCTTCTCCAGCAGAAGAATCTAGGTAGCTCTACAGAGCTAAGCAGGGTCATGCAGGGCCACACTCGTTCACTGAGAGTGGCAGCTAAGCATTCTCAGCCAATGACGTGGTCCTGGATTGGCTATTCTCTATTTCAAAGAGACATCACATTTCTTCTGCTGAAGAAGACCAGATGTAACGTTGTTGCCCGACTTGACCCAGGTAAGTTGGCAAATCATAGTAAAATGGTTTGACAACATACTTTTCGAGGTACCTACTTACTGAGGTACAGAACCAGAGTACTTATGGCACCAGAACTGCTACAGTGGGCTATAATTGCTATGACGCTTGAAGTATTCCTTTAAAGTTGGTTTGGGTGTTCTAGCCAAAGATGGAGATGGGAGAAGCAAAGTTAAAAGTACCATAATAACTGGCGTGTAGTTTCCCCACTAATGTGATGTATTGGCATCAGCTGATTTTTTGCTTCATCAAGCATATCATGTTTTCGAATCCCATAGAGCACCTTGAGTGACATCACATTAAGTATTGAAAAAAATGCATGACGTGACTGACACCATGTAGTGCGTGTACATAAATGTCCTAGCCTGCCTGAGCCTAGTGGGAGTTACACTCCCAGAGAACACCTACTGTTTTCAGTATTATTTTAGTCTCTTCCCAATATGGATTTGCCAAGTGAAGAGCTAAAGAGACAGAGACTGCGTAATTCTGTCTCCCCAACTCACCTCGCATTTCATTATTTGAGAGAGAAAGTAAATTAAGGACAGCCAGCACGCGTTACAGCTGCTTGCAGTGTAACTCCCAGCAGTCTCTGACATACGACATAAAAAGTGTGTAGCATTGAATTATGTATTATGATGATACCTAAGGAGCCATTTCAGGATATCTTAGGTATTTATAAATTATTTGACCTCGGCCTCGTGGTTTATTAGATTGTCTCTAAAACTTCTCTAGAATTCGTTTCCCATAATACTCGCCTCAGCATTGTGTTTCAGCTATCTCTCTGTGTATATATGTATATGCTCGCACACAGAGTTAATATTAAGATTAACTTAGCACACAGTGAAAATGCTATTGCCACCAGCCAGTACACATTGTATAATGACCTTAATGCCTAGATTATTTGTTTTGTTCTGCTTTTTCTTTAAATGAGCAATAGAAGGTCAAACTGCACACAGTTTAAGAAATCTTGCATTGCATCAGTAAATGTATTCAGATTTTATCCTGTCAGATCCTCGGTAAAACATGTTTTCATTGTAGACTCTGGCACATAGCTTTGTGTAGCTGGAGGGTCTGTCATTCTACAAAGCGGTAACATGTGGTTGTGTAGAGTGCATGCTGTGTGCTGCCTGTGTCTGAGTGCTTTGTTTGCATGCCCTATATGTGGGGGTTCGCCAATGCTTGTGTTTAATTTGGGTTTCTGGGGGGCTGCTGGAGTCATGGAATCTGTCTTTGTTGCAGCACAAGTTGTCCTTGAACAATCGTATCGTGTACAATCCTGAGAGTGTTGCAAACCGTGACCTACTCAATCAAAGCCATGGGATCAGTTTGCCGCTAATCAACTGCAAACAGAAAACCTCTGTAAGTTTACTCATTTATGTTGGCATATTTTCTACACTTTTCGTTCACATTTGCCACAATTCTTACACATTTTCCAATAGACTGTCCAAAAAGCCTTACAGTGTGGCAGCAACACTTATGTGTTATTCGTTAAACCAGAAACTATGGAGAGCCAAAATGGAATTGCAAAATAAAAATTTTTATTTTGGGGGGGGGGGGAGATCAGTTTTTTGCAACCAAAATTTGAAATTCTCTGCTCTCAAGTTGTCAGTTTAGGGTATAAACCCAGCGTTACAACTATTGTGAGACTATTTTTTTTTTTTTACAAGATATAATTCATTCAGTATGATTTCCTTCCTTATCACATAGTCCAGTAATACACATATCCTATGTTACCTAGCCATTCATGTGGGAAGTAGAACACAGCCCAAATATGCCGCAGGGCCAAATGTTTGCCATTACAGGAATAAGGTCAAAGAATGTATGTAATACATTTTCCAAAAATATCTAACACTATCCTATGCGGCTGCTTAGTTCAGTAACAGCTAGGTTAGGATTGACTACAATATCACTAATGCTACTTTAACAAGAACATAGTTGTAAATGTCCCTCTCTTCTCTGACGTATCTCTGAATTATTTAAAAATATTGGAAAAAAGTGCAGCTCTTACCAGCGCAATATGGTGAGACGGTTAAACTATAAGCTCTGCAGGGCATATGTTATTATTGTGCCTTTATTCTGTGCACAGCACTGAATACAAGGCTGGCGCTGTATAACATGTAACTAGTAGAACTAATTACTCTTTCTTGTTTGTGGTTGTCAAGGGGATCTGAATTCATTATGATCAAACTGATGTTTTCCTTGAAATGTATTTACTAAAATGGTAATGGGAAGTGTGACAATCACCCAAATCAGATGAGGAGGCAGTGAGGGGCTGCCGGGGGGTAGGGAGGGGGTATTCAATGGAGGAGTGAAGTTTTTTCCAGAACTAATTGCTGGAGAGATGTAAAGTTGAATGTGATTGCAGTCAGCGTTCCTTACACCTAGAATCTAGGGACATTCTGATATGCTCCATCTGGGATGACAAGGAGAGGAGCATTTTGCTAGTAAACAAATTAATCTTTGCAAAGGTCACCATTTGTTGTAAGTTTTTATCCAGTGCTTGTCATGTGGAAGGGGAGATTGGCTGTCATCTTGCTATGCAGGGGCGCATGCCGAGCCTCCGACTCTGCTTCTCCACCGCTCAGAAATCCCTGGAAACAGCTCAATGCCTGCTTGCAATGCCATGGACGGCTGCGTTACATCTGTCTCTGGACAGGAAGCGAGGGCCACCTCTGAATTCCAATAAGATGGGCCCGCTCTTCTCTGCCTGGCCCTCTGCCCACGTGAAAAGCGTTAGGCAGATTGAGCCAGCACATATCTCCCCCTACCCCCTCTGCTCACTCTATTCCACCATACTCCTCTCCCCTCCTTTCTGCACTGCTGCTGTCATCCGCTTTGCGAAACAGATGTGGTGTTTGCAAAAGTTCTGCATGCGTTCACTCTCCCACACCTGCCGCTTACATCTCTGTCAAGGTCCAGGAACTAACATATAAGGGATTCTTGGCGTGTCACAAGCACAAGTGCTACTTCCTTATTCTTCTTCCATTAGCAAGACAGAGACTTAAGTGACATTAAGTAATGCAAACATGTCTTTTGCTCAGAAAACACTCTTTAATTATTATAAATGTTATTATTATTGCCATTTAAATAGCGCCAACAGATTCCGTAGCGCTTTACAATAGTATAAGAGGGGGGATTTAAGTATAAATAAGACAATTACAAGAACACTTACAGGAACAATAAGTTGAAGAGGACCCTGCTCAAACGAGCTTACAGTCTATAGGAGGTGGGGTATAAAACACATCAGGACAGGAATGAGAGGTATGTTAACTCATTGTGTTAATCGAATAAGTTTTCTGGTGAGTCATCAACCGGTTGCTTTATACCCCTCTGGGAATGAAACTGTTAAAGATGGCAACTCTTCATTTTAACTTCTTCAGTCTCAATGTAATGTCAGGACTGCCACAAAAAAAACCATATTTGCCAATTCCTGGGCCTGAGGGGTTAAACGATGGGGCATTAATATATAGCAATTGTTGTATTGTTAAAGGGATCCTATAGTGCCAGGAAGACAAACACGTTTTCCTGGCACTATAGAAACATAGAAACATAGAATGTAACGGCAGATAAGAACCATTCGGCCCATCTAGTCTGCCCAATTTTCTAAATACTTTCATTAGTCCCTAGCCTTATCTTATAGTTAGGATAGCCTTATGCCTAACCCACGCGTGCTTAAACTCCTTTGCTGTGTTAACCTCTACCACTTCAGCTGGAAGGCTATTCCATGCATCCACTACCCTCTCAGTAAAGTAATACTTCCTGATATTATTTTTAAACCTTTGTCCCTCTAATTTAAGACTATGTCCTCTTGTTGTGGTAGTTTTTCTTCTTTTAAATATAGTCTCCTCCTTTACTGTGTTGATTCCCTTTATATATTTAAATGTTTCTATCATATCCCCCCTGTCTCGTCTTTCCTCCAAGCTATACATGTTAAGATCCTTTAACCTTTCCTGGTAAGTTTTATCCCGCAATCCATGAACCAGTTTAGTAGCCCTTCTCTGAACCCTCTCTAAGGTATCAATATCCTTCTGAAGATACGGTCTCCAGTACTGTGTACAATACTCCAAGTGAGGTCTCACCAGTGTTCTGTACAATGGCATGAGCACTTCCCTCTTTCTACTGCTAATACCTCTCCCTATACAACCAAGCATTCTGCTAGCATTTCCTGCTGCTCTATTACATTGTCTGCCTACCTTTAAGTCATCAGAAATAATCACCCCTAAATCCCTTTCCTCAATTGTTGAGGTTAGGACTCTATCAAATATTCTGTACTCGCCCTTGGGTTTTTACGTCCAAGATGCATTATCTTGCCCTTATCCACATTAAATGTCAGTTGCCACAATTGTGACCATTTTTCTAGTTTACCTAAATCATTTGCCATTTGGCTTATCCCTCCTGGAACATCAACCCTGTTACATATCTTAGTAACATCAGCAAAAAGACATACCTTACCATCAAGACCTTCTGCAATATCACTAATAAAAATATTAAAGAGAATGGGTCCAAGTACAGATGCCTGAGGTACCCCACTGGTGACAAGTCCAAGCTTTGAATATATTCCATTAACTACAACCCTCTGTTGCCTGTCACTCAGCCACTGCCTTACCCATTCAACAATATTGGAATCCAAATTTAAAGATTGCAGTTTATTGATAAGCCTTCTATGTGCAACAGTGTCAAAAGCCTTACTGAAATCTAGGTAAGCAATGTTTACTGCACCACCCTGATCTATAATTTTAGTTACCCAATCAAAAAAATCAATAAGATTAGTTTGGCATGATCTCCCTGAAGTAAATCCATGTTGTCTCTGATCTTGAAATCCATGTGTTTTTAGATGTTCAACAATCCTATCCTTTAACATGGTTTCCATCACTTTCCCCACTACTGAAGTAAGGCTTACTGGCCTATAGTTGCCCGACTCCTCCCTATTACCTTTCTTGTAAATGGGCACAACATTCGCTAACTTCCAATCTTCTGGGACTACTCCTGTTAACAATGATTGGTTAAATAAATCTGTTAATGGTTTTGCTAGTACACCACTAAGCTCTTTTAATAGCTTTGGGTGTATTCCATCAGGTCCCATTGACTTATTTGTCTTTACTTTTGACAGTTGAAATAGAACCTCTTCCTCTGTAAACTCACGTGTAATAAATGACTCATTTATCCTTTTTCTCAACTGAGGTCCTTTTCCTTCATTTTCATCTGTAAATACAGAACAAAAATATTCATTGAGGCAGTCAGCTAGACCTTTATCCTCTTCTACATACCTTCCTTCTTTTGTTTTTAATCTAACTAATCCTTGTTTTACTTTTCTTTTCTCATTTATGTATCTAAAAAATGTTTTGTCCCCCTTTTTTACTGACTGTGCTATTTTCTCTTCTGTGTGTGATTTGGAAGCTCTTATAACTTGCTTAGCCTCTTTCTGCCTAATCTTATAGATCATTTTGTCTTCCTCACTCTGGTTTTTTTTATAATTCCTAAATGCTAACTTTTTGTTTTTAACTATTTTGGCCACATCTGCGGAGTACCACAGTGGTTTCTTGAATTTTTTGCTTTTACTGACAAGCCTAATGCAATTTTCTGTTGCCTTCAATAGTGCAACTTTTAAATAATTCCATTTCTCTTGGACTCCATTTAAGTTGCTCCAGTCTGATAATGACTCCTCTACACATAGTCCAATTCCCTTTCCTGGTTTGCTTGCTTAACAATATTACAGATACGTCTCCTGTCTCTGTGAGCAGTAGTTCCGGGAAGACACCTCACAAGACCACCATTGTCCATCTCCACACCTCTTATGATCGAATCCCCCAACAACAACTGCTTTCTATTAGGCCTCACCATAGTCTCCAAGCCTCTCTCCACAACACCACTAGCCTCAGTGCCTCTCTCCACAAAACCACTAGCCTCAGTGCCTCTCTCCACAAAACCACTAGCCTCAGTGCCTCTCTCCACAAAACCACTAGTGCCTCAGTGCCTCTCTCCACAACACCACTAGCCTCAGTGCCTCTCTCCACAACACCACTAGCCTCAGTGCTTCTCTCCACAAAACCACTAGCTTCAGAGCCTCTCTCCACAACACCACTAGCCTCAGTGCCTCTCTCCACAACACCACTAGCCTCAGTGCCTCTCTCCACAACACCATTACACTCTGAAAGTGCAGAAAATGAATTATGTAGAGCAACAGACTGTGCAAAATGCCTTTTATCCACAACTCTAAGTCTACCAGATCCTACAGTAATCCATCTGCCATTCCTAGTATGTCTCTGCGGCAGTGGCTTTGCAGCAGTTCCAGTCTGAGTTTGTTCACCAGATAATTTACAAATCTCAGACTTCAAAAATACAATCTCCTGCCGCAAGATAGAGAACTGTCTACAGATTAGACAACAACCAAATCTCCAAAAAGTAGAACGTGAAACAAATGCATAGCAACTATTACACTGAACTAAGTCTGCCATTCCAATGAGGAAAATAATTTAACTCAAACTAATCTTAACTTTTTTTCTTTATCCTCCTGAATACCTCAGATTACCTCCAGTTTATCTCCAGAATATCTCCAACTACACACTTAGAAGCAACACTCTCCAGAATATCTCCAACTACACACTTAGAAGCAACACTCTCCAGAATATCTCCTACTACACACTTAGAAGCAACACTTAGGTGAAGCAACCAAACTATATTAGGCTCCTGGTGTGCCCCCCTCCTGCAGGGTTGAAGGGGTTAAAACCCCTTCAGTCACTTACCTGAATCCAGCGCCGATGTCCCTCGGCGCTGGGTCAGGCTCCTCCCCAGCCGACGTCAGCTGGCAGGGGAGACCTAATACGCACGCGTCTATGGCCACGCACGCATTAGCCCTTCCCATAGGAAAGCATTATTCAATGCTTTCCTATGGGGAAAATCTAACACTGGAGGTCCGTGAGGAAGTCCAGCGTTAGATAACGGACCACAAGTCCGTTTGGATTCCGGAAGCCCTCTATTGGCGATCTGTTAGTCAGCCACAGAGGGCAGACTTAGAGCTGCAATGTAAACATTGCAGTTCTCTGGAACTGCAATGTTTTACATTGCAGCACTAAGTGCAAAAGGGTCACAGCACCCAGACCACTTCAATAAGCTGAAGTGGTCTGGATGCCTACAGTGTCCATTTAACCGAAACACTTGTATGTATCCAAAGTGTTTACTCGTCAGTATTTAGGAAGACCTGGGTTATGGCAGCCGTACAAATTCATATATCTGGATTAACCAATGTTGAAGTCATTTCAAGATGTGCAGTAGCAATACTGTACTGATATTGCTAAATTTGGATGATTTAAGTGTCCTTTATCACATAGGTGCCCCTTGAGAAGATTGCCAGAGGTACCACTGTCAGCAATCTGCTTGTTTTACCAGCCACACACCGGATAGATGCCTCCCTGCCCCCACCACCTGTACAGGATAAAGACATGCAGCGAGGTATGAATATTATTGCAGGATGGTGTGTTAATTCTTTGCACTTCTTGTGGCTTTTACAAAGTTAAGAAAAAACATCGACCGCTGTCTTAAATCACCATCTGTTTTGGGCATTTATAGGAGGGACAAGATGTCTAAAATAAATAAGAGATGTTGAATAATAAGGCTGGCTTCTTTGAAGTTATTTAGATAAGGATGAGGGGGGTTATATTAAGATGCTTGAGACTGGTAGGAGGGTAGGAATTGCCAGAATTTTTACAGATGGCAGTCTTGGTTGGTCATGAGGGTGTCTTTGGCTTATACCAGTTGTGTACACAACAGTTGATTGCTAGTGTAGAATGTAAACTCACAAGTAACAGTGACTGTGTTTTCTTCAGGTATTCTGAGCCTGCTGCAAAGAGGTCTCATTCCTCCGTCTGCTCATCTCACACTTGTTCCACCTCCCATTTTACCCCGTACTGTGCCCATGCACAGTGCTAGAGCCAGGCGGATAACTGCCCTTAAACAAGTTACAGGTAAGAATGTTTATCATGTACAATAGCACCAATGTCTGCTGTTTATTGTACCATAATCTTCCAAGGCGGGTTGTGTAATTCAGATTTGTAAATTAATACTCATGATATTACCATGTGTGTTCAAGTAACCCTTATTTTGCTTATTGATGGCCCCAGGGTATCTATTCGTGCTAGTGGATGTGTATACATTGTGTGTAGAGTCCACTACTCTCTGTGGTTTCAGGCCTGGGCTTTACTCTGTATTGTTTTCTCAGAGAAGTTAATGGCTTCTTTGAAATTTTATTTGAAAGATTTTGATAGGAAGGCAGTATTTTCTTTAAAAATGGATATTGGATATTATTTTTTGCAGTCTATGTTTTCAAAAGTTATATTACTATAACATGAAAACAAAAGATATAGTAAAATAGATAAAATAGCAATGATTTAGAATTCTATGGTAGGGCTCCGTAAAATAAACAGAAAAGGGGACAAGATACAGCCGAGTAGCCAAAAAATTAATAAAACTGCCAACAACAGTCATATATGAGCACAACAAAATTTTGTTTTTTTTAAATTCTTTATTTAAAGAAGGCATATATAAGTGAAAGGTTTGTTAGAATCAAATCTATTGTAGTACAAAAAGTGAAAAATACTGGACGGGTTAAAAAATGGGGTTAGATGTCTTAACCAAAACCCTGAAGGGAGATGAGCGTAGTCTTAGTACATCCTTTCTTGAGTGTGATATAGTCTCCCTCTTGAAGAGCAGAAATCGTCATTTAGAAGAATTTCAGTCTTATCCGGTACTACTTAGGACAGGTGTAGCCATCCTTCGGCACTCCAGATGTTGTGGACTATATCTCCACAATGCTTTCTTTGTCAGCATTATGAATGATGTAATCAACAACATCTGAAGTGCTGAAGTGCTGAGGGTTGCCTATCTCTGACCTAAAAGGTGAAGTCATCCCAAGGTCATGGAGCTATGTCTCCACCCATAAATAAGCTACAAGTACCCCACTCTCACAGTGATAACAGTCTAAATCAATGTTTACTATAAAAGCTCCCGTGCCACTCCTCTCGTCCACTTAGAGAAGATACATAGGACTGTAATAAAACAAAAAAGTCACCTGCACTCAATGCCAAACTCTAATGTACATTAAAAAAGCAAAAACCGTTATTTTGTACCACTGTAATGGTACTCAACGTGTAAGCTTACCAGCTGATGCCTTCTTTTATACATTTTCTAATAAAACCCAGAAGCTAATTAACCCTAATTAGGAAACATATTGGGCACTTGGTTGCAACAAGACTTGAATAATACAAAAGCAGTTAAAGATACACATATCGTCACTGTGCTCTATTATTATTATTATTGGTATTTATATAGTGACAGTTTATTCCACAACACTTTACAATATTATGAAAGGGGGAAATTTATCAATAAATGAGACTATCATAAAATGTCACAGGAATAATCAGCAGATAGCGACTCTGCTTAAACCAGCTTGCAGTATACAGGAGTGGATTATAAAGACACAATAGGAAGGGCATCAAGGGGCACAGCAAACAAAAAGGTGGGGAGGTAGCAGAACTGGAGGTGAGAGTGGAGTGTGGTCCTATAGGAGAGAGCAAGAGACAGATTTGTAAAATAGAAGGTACTCTGGGAGGCCGCGTTTGAAAAGATGGGTTTTGAGGGACTTCTTAACTGATTGGAGACTAGGGGGAGAGTCTGATCGGGTAGGCAGGCTGTTCCAAAGTAAAGGAGCCGCTTGTGAGAAGTCCTGCAAGTGCAGTAGGGTGCAAGCAGCGGACAGTAGAAGGTAACTGACAGAGCAGAGATATCAGAAGGGGGGGGTTATCAATAAATCAGTGAAGAAAAATAGCACTTTTCTCCCTGTGGGACCCAAAGCGCTTTTCAGCGCTCGCTCTCGGAATTAACCAAATCCGCAGCTGAATAATAATAACCAAAGAAAAAAAGTCACCTGCGCTCTTTCCACATCCCTATGTATTTTGAGTAATAGATGTTATTATTACCCAATTGATGGTACTCATTTTATCGACCTCAGAAGGATGAAGGGCTGAGTTGACCCTGCCAGGATTTAAACCTGTTACCTTGCATTTTTGAACAGGCTTTGTAGTCAGGGAACCAGCTACCTCACCGGTAAGGGTTGTTATTTTCAATTGATACCTATATGATACATAAAGCCAATGTAGGGATCAGAGGAGCGGGGTGTGACAGGAGCGACAGGAGAGGAAGATCTCACCTACCAATGTCAAGGCTATCCTCTTAGGTGCATCCTATGCTATACTAACTAATTTAAGCTCAAAGGAAAATTTCGAATGTGACAGAAGTTGACTTTCTAAAAACTAATTAAGGTGTCTCCAAGTGCTCCTTATAACCTTCCATTTTTTAAGGTTCATTGAGAAGCATTGCTTTGGCCAATCACGATAACATATACCATCGGTCCTCAATGCTTCTCTATGAAATCTGATTAGACCAGAGACATTAACAATTGATTATCTCACTGTGGGCGGATCAGACTGCAGTTAAGAGAATGTCTCTGAACTGGATTACAGGTACATTTAATTGATTTTTTAATGTTTTTTTAAACAGGGATATTCTACCCTAAAAAACAAAACAAAAAAGGAATGCTACATATTTTTAACACTAGACTGTTCCTTTAAAAGGAAACTGTAGTGCCCACCTCTCTTACTTCCCCCGCGGTGCAGAAGGGGTTAAAAACCCCTTCTGTCACTTACTTGAGTCCAGCACCGATGTCCCTCAGTGCTTGCTCGGGTCCTCCTCCGCTCTTTCCCTGCTGACATCAGCCGGCTGGGAGACCTGATGCGCATGTGCGGCAATGGCTGTGCTCGCATTATGATTTCCACATAGGAAAGCATTATACAATGCTTTCCTTTGAGGATTCCGGTGACACTGGATGTCTTCATGCATAGTGCAAGGACGTCCAGCAAAAGTTGCCTAACAGCCCAGAAGTCCCACTAGTGCCTGTCTGGTAGACAGCTAATAGAGGTGGAGTTACCCCACAAAGATAATTATTGCCGCTTATAAAAAACTGCAATAATAAGCTTTGCAGGGTTAAGGGAACTGGGAATATGCACCCAGACCAATTCAATGAGCTGAAGTGATCTGGGTGCATATAGTGTCCCTTTAACTATATATAGGAAACACATGGAAGATAGGTGACTGCAGTGAAACATGTAAATAATACCTTAACCCAGATACCTAGTAACCTATTCCAAAAAATGTTTACCCTATTCTAGAGATTTAATAACTGTTTAAAAATTTCCAGCGCTTTCCTGTTATTACAAATATCTGGCATATCTGTATGTTCCTACAGTGCAGGTATGTACATTAAACATAATTAGTACCTTGTTTCCATTATTTAGCACCCCATTTTAGATGTGTAGTACCCTGTTTCAGAAATCTAGTACCATATTCTGGATGGATTTAATTCTAGATACCTAATTATAGTAATGCAGATACTATGGAACATATTCGTCCCCATTCACATAGCCATTACCTGTGTTTCTCCTTGCAATTTGAAATGATGTCCTCTTGTGATAGAATCTCTTTTTATGTTACATATTATGCACATTAATAGTTGGGAAATATATTAGTATTTGTCTACAAATTAAGGAATACAAGGATGTAGATGAGATGCATTACATAAACAGCATGATCGTTCTTCCTGCCGATATAAATAGACCTTGCTGTGCAACATATATCAAAGAAACAAGAACAGGTTGTAGTCCTTCTACGTACCCGCAGGCCACTGTGTCTGGAAGCTGTGAAACTAAAAAAAGCACTTCTGTGTGTTAACCCTTGGATCTTGGACATCCTATATTGCGCATTGCATTTATCTTATAATAATTGTGAAGATGTTTAGTTACCTATAGCTTTATATGTTTGATATTTTGTATTTTGTTTTGTTTTCCATATATATTTAGATCATGGACATATCAGTTTATGGATAGCATATGCGATGCTAAAACTCTTTTTATTACTTTAAAAATAAGGGGTACGAGGGGAATTAATTATGGTACCCCACTAGTAATGTAGAAGTTCATGGGCTTCCTTCTACTCTTATATATATATATATATCCTTCTCCTGGTTATCACCAATAAAGTCCGGTGCAGGTTTGGCAAAAATTGTACAAAAAAACTTCGAAAAACCGCACTCCAGGTACTTAATATTACAAAACATAAAACTTTGCTTTTATATACTTGATCTAATAAAATGTTGACGTTTCAGCTCCCAACTGAGAGCTTTCATCAGAGCAACATATATATATTTGTTTGTGTTTGCTTCAGTGATGTAAATACAAATCCAAGCTCATGTATAATCAGGCTAGAAAAAAGACCTATGTTGTCTGTTTTTATTTTAAATCTGTGTTTAGGATGTAGGCCTCAATTTGATATTGTTGTATAAGCTTTTTAAATGGTTTAATATTTGTATTATACTTTTAAAATATATTAATATTATGATACATATTTTTACTTTGCAATACTTAGTTTTTTTATATATATTGACATATTGTTTGCATGTGATATTGTTTTTGCTATTTTATTTTTTGAAAACATCATTTTAAAAGTTTTTCCAAGGTCTGTATGTTATGCTTCTTCTTGACCAGATTAAATGTAGGTCTATATGTTATGCTTCTTGACCAGTTGATGGCTGTAGAGCTGATTCACTAATCAATGAATTATTGTGTGTTCGACAATACAAAAAAATTGAATTCAGCATTTTTCATACTCAAATTTTGCAGTTTCTGTGTCAGTTTAAAACAATTCCATGTGTGTAAACTCCATTTACAATTTCAGTCATTACCCATCAAATGTTTTATAAATGTTGAAGGGCTGGTCCTATCACCATAACAACTGCACCTTATTTTAATGGTGGTAGGCAGTGGGTCCAGTATTCCCTTCAGTTTTGTCACACTGTTTTCAAGGTCAATGTTTCATTGAATTGGTCCGCTATCATTTAATAATCACCAGTGATTTTAAAGACAAGTTATGAGGTCTTTACAAAATAAACTAAGTTACCTCAAATATAAAAACATAGTATATTTAATGAATACAATTTATGTAGCTCATTATCAAATGTAATAATAAATGCTAGGGTGCAAATGTCACATTTCACTAGTTGAATATGTTATAGATAGTACCATTACTTGACATGATCACAATAATTTTAATTTTCTTAACACACCAAAGCTTATTATATAGGTTATGGTGCATAGAGTTCTCTAGTTCAAGTCTCCCTGCATAGTGAAACTGCAGTGATTTATGACAGTCTACTCCTTGGGTCATCCATTGTACAGCGCTATGGAATTTGTTGGCGCTATATAAATAATAAAATAATAATAATAATCAAAAGAGTCTTTTTACTCCCTTCTTTGCTGTTGATTATCTGTCCAACTTGTACATGCATCATGCTATGCACACACTGGGTATGTCCCTGTGTCCCTTCCACGACTGATTCTGTAGTTGATAGTGTATTAGTAGATTTTGTTGGAACGTTCACTACCTTTTTTATTTGTTTTTAATAATTTGTTTGCATATTTTATAGACAAAGATCCTACCAAGATAATAGAAATATCCCCCAAAGCAGATTTTGACCAGGACTATGCAAAAAGTGTTTCCCTGCTGTCTTATTCCCAACTACGGGAAGATGGACTTGATACGCCATATCCTTCTCAACACTCTGCAACAGGTAGAAGAACATGGACATCTGAAAATGCAGTCCGTAAGGACCCTCAGAGCAGGTCTTCTCCTACATCACAGGTATGATGAGCTTTATGAGCTTTAACCTCATGCACCTCTAGAACCGTAGGACAGATCATTATAACCCAGCAAAGTAAAGTATATGAATCAATCTATCAAAGCCTACCCTACCCAGTGCCAAATTTGATATATATTCTTAGTGTTCTAAAAAGGGCCAGCGAACATACAGGTCTGCAGCTGTTGTTGGTGTACATCTCCATACATTACAAGCCTGTAGGCTGTAAAGCATTATAGACTTTTTAAAGAACTACATTGGCTATCTCGCACTAAGGTGTAAAGATCTGATTCAGGTTCTTCATTTTACTAAGGTTTAATGATCTGAACTGTGCTATATAGAGTAAGTTGTAGCATTGACAAGCTTACACGAAAAAAAAAAATGGTTTTGATCTTCTTATTTTTGTGTTGTTTATTGCTACTTGTGATTTCTCTATTTCCATGCAGAAGTGTTGGGAGCTGACCCCGCTCATGGAACCAACTGGGCACAGCTTTACTATCTACAATGGTTCAATAGACCTCACAGCTGCAGACTTCTTGGCCTTCCATCAGCACTTTTGTCTCTATGGGGGCAGTTACTTGACAGTCCTACAAAGGCTGCAAAACCTGTTACAGGAATATGCTATTCCTGTTGCTGTGGTGAATGGAGATAACCTACGAGCAATTTTACTGCATCAAGAACTGGGCATGAGCACTTCAGTCTCCCAATTACTGTCTTTATTGGAAAACCGGTCCTCGGTGAGGAAAATGCTGAGTATTCCCGGACAGCGCTATAAAGGAAAAGATGGCAGGACGGCAGCCGCGGTGAGTATCCAGGCTGCTTGGAGAGGATATAGAGATCGTAAAGCATACCTTGCTTACAGTCGGGAGAGATGGGCTGCAGGAGTAATATCAATTGCCTGGATGCTGTATGTGCAGAAGTCCCGTGTTCGCAAAATGCTGCAGAAATCCAGAGAACAACAGCTACAAAACTTCAGAACTCGATCCAAGGTGAGGAATGCTTTTTACTGCCTGCATTCTTGGTAAAGATAGATTGTCATTTATATTGTATACTGGTTCATGAGTCACACCAAAGATGATCTTTTGAACACAGGGCACTACTTGTCTATTAGGACAAACAACAGAGTGCCAGACAGAGTGAACAATTGTTCTTCTCTTTCTGACACGTGAAGAACATAAAAAAACGTGTGTGATGTTTGGGCCTCAATAGTTGAAAGAATTAGGATACGACATTATTGGCTAGTAGCTAACAAATATAATCTATCTTCTCTACTAAACAATACCAGGGATCAGTCCCCCACCTAGAAGTAAAGTTACACCAGGTGGAGGACCCTTAGAATTTAAAAAAATGGGGGGAAAATCAGGAAGAGTCAGCCTAGAGTAAATGCAGAGATAAAACCCGAGGGATTGGAACTAATGGGGAACCTATATGTGTGGAACAAGAGAAGTGAGAGCACCTCCTTCCACATAAAACTACGATAGATTTAATTTTTGTCACTAGTGTTGCACAGTCCCAATGTCATTGTGTCACTTAGAAGTTAACTCTTTTTGTCACTCCATTGATATGTTGTAGCTATTACAGGGTTTTTCACTAAAGTCTGAATCGCTCTGTACCAAATGGTGCAAAGCCATCCAACTGGTTTAAAGCCTCCCTAAAGGGAAACTAAAGGCGTGTAATAAATAACTGTATTCCTAGTACTATAACCCCTCCCACGCAGAGCAGAAAGATAACCCTTTTGTCACTTACCTAAATCCAGCACCGATATCCCTTAATGTTGGGTAAGGCTCCGCCTCTGATCCTCCTCCACCGACATCAGCCGATGTCAAGGACCTAATGTGCATGCTCGGCGATCGCCATGATCGCATTTGGACTACCACATAGGCAAGCATTGAATCAATGCTTTACAATGGGGTTTTAGCTAACGCTGGATGTCCTCATGCATGAGAGCGTGAGGACGTCTAGCGTCAGTTAGACAATCAAAAGTTGCCTAACGACCTGGAATCTTTATCAATAACTGCAATAATTACAATTGCATGGTTAAACTGACAGGGGCACTGGGCCCAGACCATGTCAAAGGCCAGAAGTGGCCTGGGTGCCTATAGTGTCCATTTAAAGTAATATGGTGTCTAAATAACCCCCTTATGTTCTTTTATTTAGTTAGTTATATGTTTACACCTTTTTAAATTTGCCGGCTTGCTAGAAAGCGCTCGCCAGCTGCCACATTGTTAGCCCTCGCAATGCCAAGAAAGAGGGAAAATAGTATTTGAAACCATCATTCACTTCAAAAGTAAGTTAACAATAATTTGCAAATATGCATTCTGCCGTATGCATTCGGTTCTGATTTTGGTTAAAATCGGTGATTCCAAATCCTATATTGCCTATAGAGTCTTGATGCCCAAGCACTGATTTTCTCACATCGTTGAGGTTTCCCTTGATATGCCCCTGACTGTGTCATATGGCTTGGTATGTAACGTTTTGCGCAAGTGCTCCGTCCATACGATCTGTCATTTATTTACTCTGTTATACAGATCTGGAGAGCCTGATTGGTATTTTAATAGAGAGAACTAAATGTCACTACACACCTTAATGAATCCAGCATTAAAAACACACAATTAAAGAGCCTGATGTAAGGCGATACATTTTCGGCTGTGCTATAAATGTTATAGGAAATTCTGTTTTATTGTGATTGTTTAGTGCTTTTATTTGTTTATGCCTGATTAACTACTGGTACATACTCTGCATAATAAGCAAACGCAGATCTCCATGTCTGTCTATCTGCACATACTGGCCCTGAAGTCATGCAGAAAGATACCAGCCTTGACCTGTGTTACTATATGTGTCTCCTTCATTGCTACCATACTGCTAATGGTTATAATTTACAGGAATAAAGGAACAATACGCCACTAGTACCAATGCTGTTTGTGTCCTGGCATCTATTTGCTGCTTTAATACATTTAAATAGACCCTATCTTCCTGCTGAACCACCAATGCTGTCAGAGTGGTTAGACTGACAGGGTTATTCACTACATTAAAAATTGTAATTGAAATTTAAGGCCAAACCAGCCATACTGAAAACAGAATTAACTTGGACAGTTTTTATAATTTAGTACTGGCCTACATTTTTTTAAATTTACTTAAATTCCCCAGCAATTTTAACTTTAGTAAATATTCCTGTAAGTGTCATAAAGCATTGGGTCTGCTGTCAGCACTGTAGACCTCCCATTTGCAGATCTATGATGACATCTATGATTGATTGATCCTTTGAATTAAATCGTATACATGAACATGCCACATGGTAACACCAGGCTGTATCTCACTGTGCAACAAAAACAATTTTATATAAATGTGAAAATAGGAGTTACACATTTTCACTCTTTTCAATACACTTAAATGTCACTAACTGCCACTCTGCGATGGGAGCTACATATGGTCTTTCTCTATGCCACTGTTATTGGAGCTACACAGTGTCTCTCACTGTGCCACTCTGCAATCAAAGCTTCACACTGATACTGATACTGGTGAGCTGGGGCTATAGGAGGGAATATATTTGTGTGCATCTAGTTACCTCTGTGTGTGTTTGATTGATTGTGTAAGTGAGAATGTTTGTGGGAGGGTTTGCAGACAAAAACAGCAAATACATCAAAGGTTACACGGAGAAGTTAGTAGTGGCAAGTAACTTTCAAGTCCAGCTAATAATCTTTCGATACCTGTGGGTCCCCGCTGTCAGCTGTGGCCACTGTATGCCACTCTGCCCAGTGATCGGTGCTGTTCTTTGCAGCTGCCCAGGGGTAAATATTGGTGAAGGAGCCACATTTGGTTAAAATAATAATCTGTCCTCAGAACTGCACAATCCTTATGAAAAACCTGAGAGGGGGCCTGCCAGAAAGAAATCCAATTAATGCCTTGGTTCCTATTGCAGCACCAGGTTCAGAAAATAAGGAGGCCTCACCCTAAGGTTGTTCCATGCCAGAGCACAGATTTTTTTATCTGAGAATCATTTGATTGGCAGAGTATGGGAATTTCCACACATGAGCTTCTATATAAGTAGGGGGTCAGGATTAATTAAGGAAAATTGTCTGCACTGGATTACATTTAATGGGTTACTCCAACCACTATGACCACTTCTGCTTTTAGAAGTGGCCATGATTGTAGGAATCTATATGTTCAGTGTCTCTGCTTAAAATGCTGCACATGCAGAGATATTTGCACTAGCTAGTTGCACTCCTGTCATACATGACTTGGGTAACCCATAACTCCGGTTCAGGGCTTCCTAATATCAAATCTGTGCAAAAATTACATGTTATCTGCGTGACAAACATTGTAAACTGCTACCCTTGCGAGCAGTCTTGGGAGCACACCTGCAAGGGGAAGCTTCAAAGATCACTCCTAGCCCTCATGATGCGCTTGTGCTATGTTTGTTGGGGACAGTTCCCTTGTGTCCCTAAAAGCCGGACACCATGGAACTATGACCTTGATTTAATAAGATTTCCAAAAGATTCTGATACTGTTAGAAAAGATTCCAAGTGTGTCATTATTTGCCTTATGTTTCGTTTCATCAAGTTTTATTTAAAGTTATACAATAATTGAAAAATTTAACAAATACTAGGTTATATGTGATGACACCAACCTTATTTAAAGGTTGTTATGATTGCCACTAAAATTAAAATAAAAAAGAAATTAAAGTTTCCAAGTGATTTGTGCTCCTTAGATCCAGCCTGACACCCTAATTATCGTGACAGGATGCATGCCTGTCGTCATGAAAGAGGCAGTATATAATATTTCTATAACAACCACTTTGTTACCCCTTAGAGATAATAGAGGGTCAATCAAAACTTCTTTTTTTTTTTTATAATTGTATTTAGACTTACTTTATAACTAGGTTATTAATTGCACACAAACACTGTTATCATGTCAGACTGTGGGGAGAAGTCCATAATTTTAGCACTTTACCCAGTGAAGGGATGAGCAAACTGTACGGCCTGTTTATGTCTCCTCTGAATCACATATCTCCTCTCCTACAGGGGGATTAAACACCTCTCTCCTGTCATTGCTCCGTCAGGAAGTATTTAACACGGCCTTTTAATTAGTGCGCACCATTTCATTTATATTTGCATTACCTCTCACCCGCCCCCACCACACACTTTCCGTGTTAATTCATATTCTTTTAATTAAAGCAAGTACGGCCTTAATCTCCCCTCACCAGCCGCATCATGCAGCCTCCTAATTAAATTAATTGGGGTGGGGGGTGGCGGAGATGTTTTTAAAGCATATAATTAAATCAATTAATATAATTTAAGCTTGGATTAACCGTACGGCGGGATGAAGGAAGGAAGCTTAAGACCCCCCTCGCCCTCTCAGATAAGTGTGTTCCAGACTGCCTCTCTCACTCATTGCTCTTCTTCTTGATTTTTTAGCATCTGGCATCCAACTGGAATCACATCAGGACGTGCAGGAGGAGCATTATCCATATCCCATCATTAGGTAAAGAGCTCTTAGCCTCCAGATCTATCAGCCACCTCTATTACCCAGCACATTACGCTTCTCTGATTGAGTTCAGCGCGGGGACCTTCCCTTATTCAGATGGGTCTCTGCAGGAAAATGTTCTCAACATGATGAGAGTGATATTACCAGGCCCGCACTGGAAGCAGCGTTTAATTCGGGGAGTTAAACAAATAAACTCATTACGGGAAGTGGGGATAAGGAGGGAGATGAGCAGCCGAGGGGCCATTTTCTATAATTCGCTTTTTATCTGTGTGAAATGAGTTAAGAAACTTCTGTATATATGTCTGTGTGTGTGAAAGTGTGTTTGTATCTGTGTGTATCTTTGTGTTTATATTCGTGTGTATGCATGTTTGTGTGTTGCAGGTGTCTGTGTATTTGCATCTATCTATGCACGCATATTTGTATGCATGTGTGTATGCAGGCTTGTATCTCTGATAAGCGTGTTTAAATGTATGTTTTTATCTTTTTGGTGTTCCTCGGTGTGTTGCATATTTGCACTTGTGTGTCTGTAGGATTGTGCTTGTGTGCTTACGTCCGTGTGTGTTTGTATGTATGTATGTTTATGTGTATATGTGTAGGTATATTTTCATCTGTGTGCAAGTAACCGTATGTGTTTCTTTGTGATTGCATTTAATTTATATAAAACAAATGCTTTTCAATATAACTATGCATTTTATCAGTCTGTTTGCGGTTCTTTTGGGATATAATTGAGTTTTTATGTCTGCGTGCGCTCATTGCTTGAAATATTTTCTATTTATAAGTGTATGTGCGCATGATACCTGTCTGTATGTCATTTCATGTACCTGTCCTACAATGTGTGCAATATTTATAGAGGTCACTGTAGATGCATTTGTGTATTACCCTGTCTGTACTATCACCTGTTATGGCCTCTGGGTCATGCCTCTTCTTACCTCAGCCTTGTGTCGATGCTGTTGCTCTGGGATATTGCTTATACACTGTTTTTAATCAAATGTGCAGTCAAAATGATAAGCTACGTTGTCGGAAATTATTTAGTTCTAATTACCAGCAGATGGGCTGCTTTATCTGCACCTAGGGCGCGCAAGCAAAAGGAAATGCTGTGTGAACAAGAATAATTAAGAAGTTGAATAGTGTTTTTTGCGCTTAAATAATCTGCAGTTTCATGTTAATTAGCACTAATGCAATTATTTAATTACATTTATGAATTAGGGGAACTTAAAAAGAGGTTTCTTTACAAAGTGCAAGCAAATAGGTGTGCGAGGCCTCTTGAGACACCCCCCTTCACTGCTCAGTGCTACAGCAGGTTGTGGTATAAGGAGGGGGGTGTATTGCCATTCTGCTCAGGAATGGGAGTGCTTTGCTTCAGGAGCCTGGAATGATGCAATATGGATTCCACTAAGTAGGCCAGAATTTACTGCTCACACACACCCCTTTATTAATGTTTAAAGAAATATGCATATATATATTTGCTTGTTTTTTAACTATAGAGCAAAAACATTAATATGGTGCAATTATCCAGAATTCTGCATCGGCCACACCTCCCATTTTGCTACTTATTTTTAATGGTAAAGCATTGTTTGTGACCTCTCTAATGACAATTAGTAAAAAAAAAAATGTAAATAGTGGCTTCAAACTTGCTACATTGGATTGAATTAGCAGTCTGTTCTCAACCTATTGAATTTAAAATGGGGATTCAGGGGGTGTGGTCTAATATAAAACATATGGCAGCTTGTGTCTGAACAGTTTATTTATTGAGGTTATCATTAATAAAGGGCTTACAATTTCAAGTTGTGCACTACTAGCCAGGCCTTGAAAGTTAGTCACCATTGTAAGCCTCTTGGGGGCCCAAAGGGGTCACACTGACCAAGAATTCATGCAAAGACTAAATATTTACTGGCTGATAGCTAGTGGACAGAGGAAATTTTGATTCCTAATTAATATGTTCCTAAGGAACGCCTTCTCTGTTAGACTTTCACCCAGTCTTCACACCTTCAAAAAAATCTTTGAAAATGAACTTCTTTAGTAAAGCATACCAGTTAAACTGTGAACAGCTTTCTCTCCCCGCACCCTGATTTCTCTCCTACAACTGTCATCAAAACAACACCTAGCGCTCAGTGAATACTATCCTAGCAACCTACTTTTCTACCCTATACTTACCTTTTGTGTCACTATACCCCACTCCCTCTAGCATGTAAGCTCATTGAGCAGGGCCCTCAATCTGTTCCTGTGTGTCCAACTCGTCTGGTTACAGTTACGTATCTGTTAGTCCTCCTATTATACAGCGCTGCGGAACTTGTTGGCGCTACATAAATATTAATAATATATGTGTTCTACGATTTGTTTGCTAATATTTTGGTACCCTGTGAATAAAATGTTATTTTAGTTGTAAATTGCAAATCCATAATTGAATTCAGTTTTAATGCTGAAGTGCAAACTTAGAAACTCAGAAAATTTTTGATGTAACACCTGACAGAAACCCAACCATAGCACGTGTTTACATTGCCTTTTGGAAATCCAGCCTTCCACTAACCTTTCTGGCAACAAATGACCTGTAATTGTTTCAAATAACCAAAATGTCTAAATAGCAATAAGAACTGAAGCACTCTGGACTTTGTATATTGCATGTGTCAATAGCGGTTAACCCTTATTGCCTCCTTTCGTACATTGTGCAAGGATCTATCTTGTTTGTGGTTGTTTTGGTGGATGCTGGGTATAGTTGAGCGGAAGAAAGATAACATGTTTGTTTCTTGCAGGCTACACGGAAAGACAAAGAGCTCAGACCGCTGACCTGCACATCCAACAGAATCTGCAAATAGGCCGCTTGTGTGACATCGCAGGTTAATTCACAGGGATAGAGACAGTTGAAAGGGGGAGGAGGGTTGTTTATTTAACATTTTCCTGAACAATATTGGGTTTATTCACTAAGAACCTCATTGTAGTGATTTCAAACCCAGGTTGCCAAAATTAGCTGATTTAGGAAAAAGCTTTAACTCGGCTATAGTCACAGCTTAGCGCACTACATTAATTAATACATTTTGACTTCACTACAATTTGGCTTATAGTAATAACCCCCTATAAAGGAATAAAGCGTTTGCTGGGAGGCAAAATTAATAGCTGCATATGAAATAGTTAAGTGCAATTATATGATGACATAAGAGGAGTAAAAGGTAGAGTAATAGAGAAGTAAGACTAGTTAAATGGGAGACGTTATTGATCTGTAAGTAGGAGCCCAGGATATTAAGAAAAAGGACGAATTAGAAGGAGAGTGTGTTGACAGGACAGTATACTGAGAAACGGGAGGCATCATATGGTGATACTGTTAGTGGGAGGGGTTATCAGTAAAGTAAGATATAGGAAAAGTTTATTGATTAATTTAACCCCTTAAGGATACATGACATGTGTGACATGTCATGATTCCCTTTTATTCCAGAAGTTTGGTCCTTAAGGGGTTAAAGGAGGAATAAACTAGATATACAGATAAATGAGAAGAGCTCTTTATTGAGATGTACAAAGAAATAGGGATTATTTGATTATAAAAATGATTTATTCACTGAACTGCAGGGAACTGAAAACCGAATCGCAAAATTAAAGCTATAGACATAGCTTGACAATTCATGTCTAAATTTTGCAAATTGTTTTTTTTTTTTTGCAATTCAGTGCAATTCAGAGTTCAGTGAATTAACCCCTTTGAATGAACTTGAAAATAAAAATTACATAAATACTGGAAATGATGCTACCACCTAAAATACTTTAAATAAATCAATATAAAACACATAAAATGCCAAAAATGAAATTGTCTTTATATATTCATAGACAAGCGGTGTGCCAGCTGTGCCAGGCTCACTGTCAAGCAGGGCTCAATTTGCAAGCTCTGTGCCCCACACAGAACCCCACCTATGCTTCTGAACCGATTTTTTAAGTAGATCAAAGATGATTTGGAATTCTATTTTTTTCTAATAATTACATTAGTTCAAAAATATTCTTAACGTTTGTGTGATAAGTGGTCCGATGTTAATTAAATTAAAAAAATGTAACTAGGGTTTAGCTTGTTTGGTAAATACAGTGACTGTTGTGATGGTTGCAGTTTAAATAAATATTCTCCTTTTATCAAAAGTAAATGTTTGCTGCTGACGCCTAGGAGACATACTGGGTTTTCAATTATTTAAACTATTGAGAAGTTGTATATGGCAAACAATAGTATATATTTCAACTGGTCATTGAAATTATTGTTTTATAGTTATGTTAGTACATTTAGTAGAATCTTTCTTTTAATAAGAGTTTTCATTCAAGTTTTAAATTCTGCAACCACTATGAAAATAAATGTTAAAACTAGATATGGCCTGTGATTTATACCCCACTTGATTAATTTAACACATTTTAGTTGGTAGGTTTATTACGTTAAATGATTTTAGTTAATAAGCATTATTTTTACTGTGTCAGGAATATTTATCCATAAACATGTCACCCTCTTCTTCAGATCCCAACGTGAACGTCATCTATGTGTCCCCAGTGGAAATAGATGAAGAGACACAGCAATATTATCGCAGACTGCTGGGTCTGGGGGCAGCAGTGATATCTGGGAATTCCCAGGATGCATGTGAACTGCATGGTAGATTTACCATTCTCGTCCCTGAAGCCATTGGCAGCTTTCCCGTAAGTCCAGATTCTTTACAAAATATCCATTTAGTATGGAACCCAATATAAGCTGCACTTCACTACCTCCTTGCAAAACATGTGTTTATTAATCATACAGAAGGTACTCAATGCACTGCGCACAAACAAATAGACCCGGCACTAGCAATTCACGGATGACTGAATGGTCCTCTTCGAATCGACGAACGAACAACATAATGACTCAATGCACTTACTGTGTGCTCGTTTACATTTGTTAATAGTCACGAGGTACAGAGCACTTTCTGAATTTACAAATATAACCATGAAAAATGAAATTTAGAGTCTTGGACACATGTTACATGTTCCGTATGGAGACTAGGCATTCGATCTGTTTCTCATTGAAACTATTTTCCGTCTCTTTATGTCATCAATTAAATTTCTCATAGTTTTACCGGTAATGTCTGAGCCAGGAGGGCGGCACGGGATGAGTTAGCGTTACACAAAAGGCTGGCAGCTTCCTCTGCGAGTGACAGAAGGATAATTCTGCGTGGATCAAATAAATACAGATGTGTAGTAATTAGTTCTATTCCCTCAGAGGCTATTTCTGAGGCACTAAAGATGTGAGCGATTATAGGATCACCTCAACAGCTTTTATCAATTTAAACAGCTCAACTACAACAGAGGTCATAACCCAGCCACATATTAATCACGGAATTCTATTTTTCTTTTAGGAGAGAGACGAATATTATAATGGATTAGGTACAATGAATTGGAGGAAATAGAGCCATTTAAAAATATATAATAGTTATTTTTTATCAATCTTATTTTTTTCTTGAGGTAACCTAAGTACTCTAGTTGCATGAATGTGGAATATATTTTGCATGCTGTACCAATATACATCATAGATAAAGTGAAGTGATAAATGTCATTAGTATTGCATGTACATGTGGTAGATTAATGCACCTCAGTTTTAGAGATATAGACATTACATATCGAAAAGCGTGCTTTTCATGAGCAAAGAAAATAATAAAACCTCTGTAAAACTATTGCACATAAGAAATCTAAAATAAAATTACAGAGTGGCCCCTAACAGTTTGTCAAAGCCCATGTATAAACCAGTTGTGAAACTGTCATAATTGATAGAAAAATCAGCCTACTTCTTGGCATGGCAAATTGTATTCACTCAGATTCGCAACGATAGCAGCTCGTGCCGTCTGCCAACCCCAAGACTCAGTTTGAGTAAATAAATCCTTCCCACCGATCGGGCATCTCACAGAATCCAGATGGAGACCCCAGGGGAAACTTGTAGGATGTCTGCAATGCCTTCTACCGGTGGCTCTCTAACTGTGTGGGCCATGTGAAAGGGACCTGTCCCTGGTGGCTACAGGCCCAGGTAAGGAGTGATGAGCTTTGGATCTCTCTCTCGCTGGATCTGTCTCAGCTTGATCACGCTTAAGGTGAAGAGCTCTTTTTTCAATTTTCTCTCTTTGTAGTAGCCAACTCTGAGAGTTAATACTATGTGTAGCCACATTCTTGTGTATCGGCCATCTTAGCTGCTTGACCTCCCAGCTGAATCTAGCTACAGGAATATCTCTGATAAGTGATGCAGACCACTCCAGCGGGGACCAGATATCCTCCACGGTTGGGGGCAACAGAGCAGTAGGAGCACTACAAAGTGGGGAATCAGCCTTCTACCCACTTCCGGTGAACCAGGAGGCCACAACCCAATCAGTCGCATAAATGCTTAGTCCAAAGTAGTGGATGAGTATTCACCAAAGCAGAAGTGGATCAAGAAGCTGTGAGTTTGGTAATATAATGTAGTATTTAGGCATTTTCTCTTAAAAGCAGAGGAGCACCTCCAACATGCGACTTGCCTAGTTGGTAGTCAGGCTTCGGACCTAAAAATATATGATAGTTTTGTTGGTGCATACCTTTTTTGGAGGTAAAGTACAAAACCTAGACGCTTGGAAAATGGACATAAGTAATATGGTCTGATATTCATATTAGAAAGTTAAACCTACAATGTCAGCTGAAAGCCTTTAAACATGGTGGATGCTCTATAATAGTGATAGACATCCATCTTCAGGGAGTCATTGGGTCCACTGAGTGCTTTGTGTGCTATTAGGATTGCCAAGGAATATGAAGCCATTGCATAGGACACAACAGTGCAAACACTGTAACTTCACAGGATGGTAATTCCCCCATGCATATTGTTAATCAAGTTCAAGGGTAGTTTCATGCACACCAAGATGATATCACCTGCTGGACATGACATTCCAATTTCCTGTATAAACAAGAAGCCTTAATGAATGAGAAGCACAGCGCATGGAGTAGATTTCAACCTCTTTTGTCCCTGATAGAACAAGATGCTTCTCTCCAATAGACAGAGATCATGAATAGTATACCTATTACAAGAAGGTCTGAGGTCCAAGAGAGATGTCCTACCCTTTATTTGTACTTATATTATTATTAATATATTGATATTTGACTGTTCCCCTAAAGAAACACTCCATACCCCTAGAGCACTGCCAGTTGCTTTGAGAACTTGCACAAACTAGTGGGAGACGTCCTGTAGAGTAACATTGGATCTAATGCTTCTCTATGAGAATATTTTACACATGTGCTGTGTCTCCAAATAGAACCATTGGATTGACCATAAGGTCATCACTAGTAATGATCTCCCAGGGAATAGGGGGACTGTATATATTAAGGACAAGGCTGTTGATAACTAAAGCTTATAGAAAAGTCAGATTCATTCAAATTGGTTTTCAGATTTTAGGCCAAAGTAGCTGGACTGGAGACATAACTAACTTAAAGAGATTCGGCTATTTCAGCCTTAGAGGGACACTATAGTCACTAGAACAACTACAGCTTAAATGTATTTAGTAATCATTCCCTTCAGATATTTTGCAGTAAACACTGTCTTTTCAGAGAAAATGCAGTGTTTACATTGCAGCCTAGACATACCTCAACTGGCCACTCCACATATGGCTACAGGAGGTGCTTCCTAGGGCACTGCTGCACTGTGTGCAGCACTGACGTTTACTGTCTCCACCCTCTGCATGCAGACACTGAACTTTCCTCATATAGATGCATTTATTCAGTGCATCTCTATGATGAGATGCTGTTTCGCCTTGTGCTGCCTTTGCCCCTGATCTGCCTCCTTGACCGTCTTAACCAATGCTATGGGAATGAATTGTGATTGGCTTTTGTGCAACACTTCTGATGATGTCAGCCAAGCAGGCAGTTTGGGGAATACAAGTAAGATTTTACTATATTTAGGAGGTCAGGGGGCTAGATGGTGTTTTGTAACACTATATGGTCAGGAATACATTTGCGTTTTGTGTTCCTGACCCTGTAGTTTTCCTTTAAATTTAGTGAGTAACCCTGTAAATCTGTAAGTTTAGATGATACTTTCTTTTTTGCTCAATCTCATATCACTTCATAAGATTCTTAGATCATTAGTATTAGTATAATGAGACAAATTCCTTAAATTTCTGTCTACATTTTTTTATGTGTCCTTAATTCATAGGGCTTTTGAAACTTTAGTTTTATTAAATTTTCGTCATCACCAGAAACATATACTACTCTTTTTGTATATTTGAGTATTGTGCACATTTGGAAATTTGTTTGTGTCCGAACTGCAGTTTGTGCGAATTTGGATCCATCTGACAAATTTCAGAGTCAATATGTAACTCAAGTGCAAAGCAAAGAAGTCATTTCAGGGCTGAACATGTCTGTTTTCATATGTGTTTCTGAATTCCTCCTGTGTCGCCCGCCCCCCAAAAAATACAAAATATATGATTGATGGGGAAAAAAAAGATGATGGCTATGGGACAGTCACTAAATGTTAATTCACTAAATGTAAATTTTATTTACAGATCAAGTGAGAAGTAATCAATAGGGGAAAAGGGTTGGAGCAGTAAAAATAAATAAATCTATATTTATATATTACATATTTTATAAAAATTATTTTTTTATGGCTCCTCCTGTTTTACGTCTTTATTGTTTACTTTTTCTTGCTTGATCTGTGAACCTGTGGAAAATTTATACATGTTATCATGTACACTGATTGACCTAATTTCATGCCCTTTTTTTGTTCGTCTGGTTCATTTCTGAATTGGCTTTTTGGTACCAGAATTCTACTGAACTGCACTGACATAATGGGCAAAATTTGGCATAGTGAAAACAAATTCTGGAAAAAATGCCAAACTAGATTTTCTCACCATGCACACGTCTAGTGGAAACAACTGGTTATGACTGAGTAAAATATATCCATGTTCATATTATCCTCCCAGACCTTCTTTTTTAAAATGTTTTGCAATTTGGAGGTCAGTTCTCAATTCGCAGATTTGTGAATTTATTCCCTAAGCGAAATGAAACATCCTAATGTATGCTGTGTATTTAGATGTACATATCCTGTATGTATAGATGCATCCATAATTACAGTTATACTATTTGCAATAGTGTTGAGCTGATTATTGGGTTGTGGCTGCTGCCCACTAGTGGTGGAATTTTGTACAACACACTTTCTTGTACACAGAAATTATCTGGAAAAACATAACACTAAACCAAATGTAACATCAGAAATCAAGATTGTATTTTCTTGTTCTCATATTTAAAGTAATTTGTCAAAACCATTAGATCTGATCATTAGTCAGTGATGAAATGGTGGAAATAGGAATAATCAACCAGCAGAGATTAAACTAATGTAGTTCCAAAGAAGTATAGAGGGATAATCAGAAATGATGGCCTAGACTTTAAATAAGACTTATAAAGGAATACTCTTGAGATCTATTGTTTGAAGAATAAGTGACAGATTTGATCAGCTAATTTGGTTGGCTTTCTGCTCATGAAAATATTGTTCATTGCTAAAAGTGAATCCGAGTCACTGACACTGATTTCGATTCATAGATAATGAGCTACAATCACTGACTGGCCCCCCCAGACAATCAGTCTGTCTGAGTCAATCCATAAATCACTCGTACAGGACACTTTAAATAAAGGCTCAGTTCAGATCACTGAAATGAGGATCTAACTGTTTGAAAATGACATTAGACCTCTGACACCGATATTACATTATTAAATCTGAACTCAAAGCTAAATATTTTAAGCACATGGTTGAAATAATATAAGTTAAGAAAACAAAATGTTGAAGTTTTTTTTTTCCAGTTAAATAAATCCTTCCTAATTGCATATGATTTAAATAATGAATATGAAGATCATGGCCTTGAAGGCTGGAGATTCTTCTTTTTTAACAACTCACAACAACTAGTTCCTTGAATGATCTACTTAATATTCATCTCTTGTTGCTTCTTACTGAATACTCATCAGACCATTCATTTAATATGATTAACCTTTTGGGATATCATAAAAGCTGGGTTTTTTTTAAACATGTGTACCCTTCAAATTGTAGAGATGATAATAAGAATATATTTCACAGTGTACTCTTTATTCTAATATCATAGGGTCACCAGTTGTGCCTGTCCACACTGCTGAAGTACAGCCCAAAAACATTGCAGCGTATAAAGAATCTAATTCAGGGTCGTGAAGCCTACATCGTAGGAGGGGTCATGCACATGGATGACCTTGAAGTGGCAGACTTGCTGGACGTTCCAATATTGGGCACTGAACCAGAGCTGGCACATCTGTACAGGACTAAGTCTGGAAGCAAACGCATCTTTGCCAGTGCGGGCATTCCCACTCCTCCTGGAGTATATGATATCTATAACGAACAGCAGGTGAGTCATGGAAGCTGCTACGTGCTTCCCAAGAGCTGACAATCTACTTTTGCAATTAGAAGCATGTATGAACCTGTATACATTGCAAAGTCCTCTTACTACGACATGCTAGAATGTTCATAGTTTAATTGCTGTATGGCCTAATCTAATTATTTCAGGCCATATTTTTGTTTCACCTAAAGGTTTATTCACAAAATAGTGTATTGTGGTACATTGACAGGAAATTTAGGTCAAAATACACAATTACATGATTTTTCCACAGCTATATTACCCTACATTTTGCAGTTTCTGGTTAATTCTCACTTTCCTGTTTAGCAAATTAACCTCAGTTAGTTAGCTGTGCAATGAATTTGACATTTTGACTCAACATAGCTGAACTAAAAACATAGCAGGGTTGGAGAACTTTGCCAATTCAGCAATTTGTGCCTAAAATGTAAAATGAGTCAATTCACAATAAAATTATTCATGAAACACCAAATTGCAAACAGAATTGCAAATGTAATGCAAAAATAGATGATTTGTAATGATTCTTTGACCCTGCTATAGTCATAGGTTGGCTAGTTTAACATTTTGGTTTTCATGTCACTTCTGTTTGGTGATTCGTGAAGAAACCTCTTTCAACGTGCTTTTGTGTATATCCCTGTATGTTTGATGTATATTTGTTTTTCTGTGTCTGTGTTTGTATCTACGTGTTTTACTCTTACGAATATGCATAGATCCCCGTATATTGTACTTTGATTTCTTTTGGGGTTATTCACCAAGATGCAATTTATTTTCATGGTATAGGGCAACATATGTGATTTGGAAAATGCCTACATTCAAATTCAGTCTTTTTGGTTTAATTTTTAAAATTCATCAGATCACCATGTAGTGAATAGTATTATATATGTAAGTTACTAAAAATTAAATGGAAAAAAAGCAAAGCTGCAAGAATGCTTTAGCTTTACATTGTTTCTTCACAGAACTTGGTTTACAAATTAGCACTTTTTGCCTAAAATTTGCAATTTATTTTACAGTTCCCTAGAATTCGCTGTTTTGTGAATGAACTCTTGTGTGTGACCAATTTTCCCGGTATTTCTGTTGTGTTTGTATATGTTTACATTATGCTTTCTATCTTTGTGTGTGAAGTTATTCACAAATTTCAAATTGTGTCTGAATCAAATTGCAAAATTCTGGCTAAAAAGTCAAACTGTAACTATCGCTAACTTGGTATTTGTTTTCCAAATCAGCAATGTTTGCCTAAATTTGAAAATCAGGTTTGAATTTGGTACAATTCAGAGTTTAGTGAATAAATTCCTGCATGTTTGTCATTCCTGTGTATAATTGTGTTTTGTGTCCATTGAACTTTACTGTGATACTTTTTTTTTTTGTGGTTTATCCACTTAACTGCAAATCACTGTAAACTGAAATCTGTATGGCAAAATTAAAATAGCCAAGAGGTGACTTGCAATTTTTATACCATCTGGATTATTCACTAAAGGGAGAATTCAAAGTGTATTTCAAATTTAAGACCAGAGTAATCAAACTAAAAGCATAACTGACTAAGAGAATTTTTCCAGATCAGATAATTTGACCTTAAAATTTTAATTCACCTAGAAACAACTTTGAATTCTCACTTCACTAAATAATCCTACCTGTATCTTCCTTTATTATTCTGTGTTTACGTAATGTCGGTATTTATGTACCCATAGATATACTATGCACATCTAAATAAAACTATACACATGTCATTAACCTCACGGTTTCTTAATGAAAACTGAACTTCAGAGGATAAAATACAGTTGAGAAAATTGAGGCTAAAATAGTCAACCTATGACTGTTGTTGAGTTGTCAAATTCTTCCAAATCTGTTATTTTAGATTCAAATTTGCTATTTAGATTTCATTTGATAAAATTCATAGTTTAGTGAATAACCCTAATTGTGTAATTACTAATAATTACGCATGGATGTGATGTCTGTGTGAATGTGTCTATGTATACGTGCCTGTGTTATGTACCCGAGTGCGTATAGATATGTGACGGCCTTTTTTATGTCCACAGTTCCTGGATTCTCTGGGGCAGCTGATCGCTGATAACCTCCATGTGACCCGCTGGTTATTTAAAGTGGACAATGAGTTTGGAGGCAATGGGACAGCATTCTGTGACATTGCCATTCACCTCCCAAGCTACAGCTGGGCTCTGAGTGAGCAGCACCGATATGGTCGTGACACATGGAAGCAGACATGGGCACAAGTGAGTAGAATTTTAAATCCATTGTTACACACATTCAGCGTGATAGGGGTTAACCTTCCTTTATTGTCAGTGAGGAGCCCTGTAATAGCAACCTCAAAGCCTCAGGTTCCCTCACACCGGCAATGCTTTAATGTCCTGTTATTCCCCGACCTGTTCTGTTCTTTAATGAGGACAATGTAAGAGTGGCGTCGGCAGCGGCACAGCCGGTGAACGCTGGCAGGTTATTAAAACATTACAGCATCTTGATGAAAGACTTTCCTGCAGGCTAAGAACGGCAGAACAAGACTCCATTCCACAGCGATGATTAGAAATGAGTGTATGTCTCTGAGCGCTAAATTATGTTAATAGTTACAAATTGAGGTATTTGCATAACAGTTTATGATACATAATGACAAGTTCCCCTCTCTCTGTGTGTGTCACATCACCAAGACCTGTGCTTGTCTTGGAAGGAATAAACTGATTGATGTTTTGAAACGCAGTGTTATCACAGTCTTCTTACACAATACCGCCTGATCTCCCCTTGCTGACCCTTCCACTTATTGTTATTGCCGATTTATTCACATATGGTAGAAACTGGTGATTTATCTGAACTGCATCTCCCATGATGCTCAGCCAGCCCAGCCAAATATCACTGGAAGTTTTTTTTGTGTGTGTGTGTAAATTGCCAATTCAGCATTCTGAATAGTACAACGGTGAGTAAATAATGGAAGATTGTGACAAAACATGTAAAAGAGGTGACAAGGGCCTTGCTCAGTTACACGCTCACAAACATGGGGTGCCAAGGACACCAATCACAGCTTTCCACTACTTGCCTCTTCATCTAGTGGGTATATTAACTGTTCCAAAGCCAAGATATCCTGAAAAGCTTTGCAATTTAAATTAGTGTAGTTGTTCAAACAGGGTAAATCAAATCAGCTTTCCAAATTCTAGCTATCCTTTTAGGATTTCTTCTTTTTACATTTTGATATGTTTTAGACACATTGTACTACAACATGTCTGTGGTTGACTGGATTGTAAGATTGTGATCCATCCAAATACTGCGGATCTGTGAAGGACTCCTGAGAAGTACAAAGCCTCTCAAGTCCCCTCTTCAGTTGTCTTCAGGTCTGAAACTGTTAAGTAATCTCTTTCACTGTGGGATTTTGGCTGTTTTCCCCATATCTGGGGCAGTCATCAGACTCCTGCTGTTCACAGTGTTCTGCTGACAAATGACAAGTGTGAATTCCTTATGGCATCCCCTGTTTGCAGTAAAATCAGATCAGACACAAGGAAGACCATCACTATCCGCTTCAGCCAAGCAGGAATGATCGGCCAGATCAAGGCCTGCTGTTTAACTCGTACAACTGCACTGGGGCCCACACAATGTATTATCTTGATCGCTTCACGGCACCAAAGAGGGGTAAAAACATGAAACAGGATGAACCAGGCATTTTTTTCTGCACCAGCACTACTAGGCATTTACATCTGTACCAGCACTTTGGTTTGTGTGGTATCATTAAACAATGGTCTCCAATGTAGCATTATCTACGACTGTGCTTCTGTAATATTGGTCCAGTCTTTGTTTATGCTACGCTATAGTTATTGTAATGTTTGGTATACAAGCAATGTTTACATTGACAAAGCTAAGCTGGGAACCCAGCTGGGACAGCAGAGGAAGTGTGTGGCTAATATAGCAGCTGGCTAGATTTATTCACCGAATACACTATTCTTTACCACTTACCGAGCATGGGATCAGCACTGTCTAGGACTAATATAGGGTTTATTTACTAAATTGGAAATTGTGGAGAAATAACAAGACAAGTTCACCAGAAACGAGCATTTTGGGACAAAAAAAATGGACTTTTTTAGCAAAGTTAGAATGATTGGCACCAGCACCTCTGAAAAAGGCAGGGTAGCCTAATTTACATTTGAACTTTTGTTTAAAATATAAATAAAAAAGGAACAGTTGTGTAGTGTCTGGCTCATGCCTCTTATTTTAGGGAGAGGAATTAAAGGGAAACTCCAGGCACCCAGACCACTTCTGCCCATATAAACTGCAATAATTACCTTTCAGGGTTAAGTCCTCCTCTAGTGGCTGTCTATCAGACTTCCGTGTTCGTAGAACACGAAAAGTGTTTTAAACGACGCTGGACGTTCTCACGCTATGTGAGGACCTCCAGCATCGCCGAAATCCCCATAGGAAAGCACTGAATAATGCTTTCCTATGGGGAGGTCTAACGCGCGTTAGGTCTCCCCCGTTGGCTGACGTTGGCGCGGGAGGAGAGTAGGCGGAGCCTGACCCAGCGCTGGACTCCGGTAAGTCACTGAAGGGGTTTTAACCCCTTCAGCAACTTGGGGTGGGGGATTGGAGGTAGAGGGGCACTGTAGGGTCCTGCAGTGCCAGGAAAACAAATATGTATAAAGAACATAAACAGAGAAAGTCCTCCTTATGTGTTTTAGGATTCCCAGGGACAGATTTACATTCCAGGTCCCTGTATATACAGAATTCCAAGGCATACCCTGATCCCCTCCCACTCAAAAAAGAAAAAAAGACTTAAAAAGTGAGTTAAATATATTTATTAACAGGGCATTGCAGGGATAAAAAAAATCATCTAAAAATGTATTCAGTTTTGTCAACTGCACATGTATGTGCATATTTCTTCTGTGCTTGTAATGTATTGTGTCTGAATCTGTGAGTATAACATGCAGGGTTAAGGATAATGTTCAGTACTAAGAGGATTAAACACTTTAAAGGAGGTAAAGTTGTAATATAAACGCTGTTTAGAATTAATTTAGTTTTGGGATACATGGTGTATTTCATTTTTAAGAGAAGTTAAACCTAGGATTAAAGTAAAAATAACAATTCCAGGTTTAGATTTTGAGTGCTCAAATTTGGCACTAAGGAAAAGGATCTGTTTAGGTTTTGAAAGGGGTTAAATTTAGGAAAAAATGATGTTTGGGGTACAGGCATGTGAGATTGAATGGTTGTTTGCCAAGTACTGTAGGAGCTATTACACAGTGTGCATCACTCATAGCTGTCCCTACTCCTCCTATAAGGCATTTATTTCCTTAGTGTGAGGCTGTCAGTGGACAAATGGGAAGTAATCCCATCACACCAGTGCTTGATCCTGGCAATTCCGGTACCAGGATACCAGAAAATTGGAGATTTACTACAGAGGCCTGATGAGCCCTAAAATGCGGCGGCTTGATTATCAGAGGCATTGTTGGACATTGTCCCCCATCCTCCCTCCCCACCCTCACTTTGGACCTGTGGGGATTATTCTGGCCCATACTGAACAGGTCTCAGCAACTCACCTAAGATGGTGGCTTGTTAGGAGTCCATACAGCATGAAAAGCAACAGCTAACTCCCCGGAGAGCATCCTTTCTTGAGGCATCTGATGCGTTATTTCTGGAATTTTGGCAGGCTCGACTCATGGGAACGCGTAGCCACGAAATGCATGGAGGACAGGAGTCTGTCTGAGAAAATCAGGGTGAGCTGTACCCCTCCCTTGCCTTGGGCCTCACAGGGTATTAGCCCTGAACTTAGCCAATATCCTTGGAGGTTCATTATGGAATTCGATAGGGTCTGTAGACTTTGGGTCTTGGCCCTAAATCCTGCCTGGGACAGGAGCTCTGACGCTCAGACGCAGCACTGGGATCCTCGGACTGGTTTCCGTCATTTTGGAGATGGAGGCGCTATCAGAGGTCCATTCTGAAAGTGGGAATAAGATGATTCTGTGGCCTGTGGCGTCTGAACACAGAACTTCCAGTCGAATGTTCTAACTACATGCTTGCTACCACTTATGTTTTCGTATTATTTCTTGCCTTTCTGGTATATATCAGCTAGACCCAAGCTATATGGTTTTCTGTTTAATGATTACTATAATGTCCTGCTTAGCATGCTACCTATATTCATTCATCTGCTATATAGCTTGTTCTTTAATAGTGTACTGCATGTTTTTTTATTATGCAGAATTACTCATGTTATCAGAGGCCATCTCACTATCGCTGTTTAAAGATATTGACCTAGTTCAAGCCTCCGAGACCTAACTCATGACATTATATACATATAAAAAATGAGATGTATTTATCCCCTTTACAGGAATGTTTTCCTTTTCTTTCTTTACAGTTATAAGGCTCTCTTGTATACATGTGGTATAACGTTTGCTGGTTGAACTTCTATGTGTAAAGTTCACTAGGGAACCCTAATACGCAGACAGGACAGAGTAGGGAGAATTGCAATACCAATCCTTAGAATGGTCGGATTATGCAAAAAGGATAGTCAAAACACGAGCAGAGATTAAGGGAAACAGAGAGACGGAATAACCAGAGACAAAGCCAAACATCAGTAACCAGGAAATCCAAATAACAAGTGCAACGCTCAATGGTAAACCAAAGACCACAACAGGGCACTGAGGCAAGGGAGGGGTTAGCTTATAAACACACAGTATGTGTCTGATTGGCTAACCTCCAATTAGTGTTAACCATAACACGTGGGAGGAGTTTCTTCTCTTCCTTGTGGTCTCTGAGGTCATCACTGTGTGCTGGGTCACATGCCTGGGTGCAGCACACATATAAGGAAGCTGCTCTGGAGTGTGTAGCGTCAGACACACTGCCAGTCTGGAGACTGGGACCAGATGACGCTGCTATTTTCTAGCTGTTTGCTGTTCTTTTTATTATTATTATTATTATATTTTATTTTTAGTCCAAAAATAAAGAGCTCCTTTACTAAACATGTTCATAATTCTCTGTTCTTGGGTTAAGGGCCCTGCTCAATGAACTTACATGCTAGAGGGAGTGGGGTAAAGTGACAAAAGGTAAGGATAGTATTAGACTAATGACAGTTGCAAGAGAGGAATCAGTCGGGAGCTATTAACAGTTTAATTTATACGATTTTATGAAGAAGTGAGTTTTGAATGATTTTTTGAATGAGTGGAGACTGGGTGAGCATCAAACGGAGGAGGGAAGTGAGTTCCACCGGAACGGTGCAGCCTTTGAGAAGTCTTGAAGGCCAGCATAAGAGGTGGGAGTACGGACAGAAGATAGACACAAGTCTTCAGCAGAGCATAAGTGCCTTGACGGGACTTACTTGTGTATTAGGGAGGATAAATAGGTGGGAGCAGCATTATGTAGAGATTCGAAAGCAAGAACCAGAATTTTAAATTGAACCCTGTATCTTACAGGAAGCCAATGTAGGGACTGACATATGGGTGAGGCGAGGGAGTTGTGGGCGGACAGGAAGATGAGCCTCGCCGCTGCATTCATTATAAACTGTAACAACGCAAGTTGGGAGCACGTAAGACCGCTGAGAAGCGGATTACAGTAGTCAAGGCGAGAAAGGACAGTGGAATGGGCCAGCACCTTAGTCTAGCGTTAAGTAGAGTCGGATCCGCGCAATGTTTTTGAGATGGAAGCGGTAGGATTTGGCGATAGACTGAACATGAGGCGTGAAGGAGAGATCGGAGTCAAAGAGAACACCTAGGCAGCGAGCCTGCGTGGTGGAGCCGATGGTAGCACCGTTGACTTGGAGGGAGACAAACACAGGAGTAGCAACACTTGAGGGAGGAAAGATCAGAATTTCAGTTTTGGTATGTTGAGTTTAGGGAAGTGGGCAGCCATCCAGTTAGAAATAGCAGAAAGGCAGTTAGAGACACTAGTCAAGAGGGACAGGGAGAGATCAGGAGAGGACAGATAGATTTGCGTGTCATCCGCATAGAAATGATTTTAGAAGCCAAACTAATGAGTTTACCAAGGGAGGCAGTATAGATAGAGAACAGTAGGGGACCAAAAACTGAACCTTGGGGGACACCAACAAAAAGGAGTTGGGGAGAAGAAGCAGAGCCAGAAAAAGAAACACTGAAAGAGCACTGAGAGAGGTAGGAGGAGCACCAGGAGAGAGCAATATCTTGTAGACTGATATTGCGGAGGATGAGAAGAAGCTGTTGATGATCAACAGTGTCAAAAGCCACAGAAAGGTCAAGCAGAATTAGGATAGAGTAGTGACCACGAGATTTTGTAGCGAGTAGAGCATTGGATACTTTGGTCAATACCTTTTCCACAGAGTGCTTAGCGTGGAAACCAGACTGAAACGGGTCTAGCAGAAAGTTGGACTTGAGGAAGTCTGTCAATCTCGCATACACCACTCTTTCAAGCATCTTGGACGCAAAAGGCAGTAGCGAGTTAGGGTGGTAGTTGGACGGGGAGTTAGGGTCAAGGTTGGGCTTCTTTAGAATTGGGGTTACAGTTGCATGTTTGAAGGGCGATGGAAACATGCCAGATGAGAGAAAGATTGAGAATTTTAGTGAGAGGTAGAGAAAGAGAAGAAGACAGAGTACGGGTGAGATGCAAGGGAATTGGATCTAAGGAGCAGGTGGTGGGGCGGAAGGACTGGAGCAGATCAGAAACCTATTCTGCTGTAGCGAGTGCGAATGAACATAAAACAGCAGAGGGAGTGATGTAAGATGAGATCTCTTCCCTGATTGTAGAGATCTTGTCAGTGAAGTGAGTTGCAAAGTCTGAGGCGGTCAAGTTAGTAGGTGGAGGAGGAACAATAGGGCAAAGAAGGTTTTTGTTGGGGACGCTTGCTGTGTTTAAATGTAGGAGGTGCCATTATGTCTAGTTGAGAGGAGAGGGTGGAATTGTAGAAGAAAGTTGCAGAGCTAGGACAGGTGAGGTTTGAGATAGGTAAAAAGAGAGTTTGGATATTAGTGGAGAAATTCTCTAGGTCAAGACATTGGAGGTTTCTGTGAGATTGATGTTCAAACAGTGATGTCAATTGGGTCTTGGGTATGCCGATGTCAAAAGTCAGCAGATGGTGGTCATATAGAGGAAAAGAAATATTGGAGAGATTAGATGCGGTACAGAGATTGGTGAAGGCAAGATCAAGAGTGTTTCCCCGCTGTATGGGTTGCTAAATTGGACCATTGCGTAAGGCGAAAGAAGGAGGTTACAGAGAGCAGACGAGAGGCATCAGTGCAGTTGGGTTTGTTGATTGGGATATTGCAATCCCCAAGTATAAGGGAAGGAGTGCTAGATGAGAGGAAGTGGGGAAACTAGGAAGAAAAGTGCTCAATGAATAGCCTAGGATGACTGGGGGAGAAGGCGGGGCGGTAGATGATAGCAATTCTTAAAGGAGTGGGTTTAAATAGGCGGACAGTGTGAACTTCAAAAGAAGAAAAGGATAAGGCGGGGTAGTTCTGATTGGTTGAAAGGTACATAGAGGGGAGAGAAGGATGCCTACACCACCTCCTTTACAGTTGAGTCTGTGAGTGTGAGAGAATTGTAGCCCACCAAACCTAAAGAGGCAGGAGTAGCACTATTAGAGGGGGACAGTCAGGTCTCTGTAAGTGCAAGTAGTGTGTGAGTTTGAGATGAATTAGTCGTGTATGGCTTTTGATTTTTAAATTACTGCAGACAGAGCGGGCGTTCCAGGGTGCACACTGAATGTTGGTAAGTGAGGGTAAAGGGCATTGTGATAAGGTTTGTGGGGTTTCTGGTTTTCTTAGTGTGGGTAGAGTAGGTGAAAGGCTCTGGATTGGGAGAGACATCACCAGCTGTTAGAAGCAGGAAGAGAGAAAGTGACAGGAGGTGTGAATGGGTTTTGTATGCATGGGATCTAGGATGAGATTGATTGTGGGTAGGAGTGAGAGAGTAGAAAAATGAGTGCAAGGCATGATGTGAGAGAAGGGGGGAGTGTAGCAGAGAGGGACATATGTAAAAGTGGTTGGGGGAATGAGTGAAGTGGGTGTAAGGAGAGATTTTTATACTGAGGGAGACTGAGGAAATAAAGAGGATGAGAAGCAAGATCATTGCTAAACTGGGAAAAATTTAATTGGAAATAATTGGAATATCTAGAGCAGGTGAAGGTAGGCAAAATATTATGTTTTATGAGTTAAAAAGTACAGGAGTGTAATAATAAGAGGCAGCGTGAAGAACTGTTATTTTTACTTATCTAAAATTTGGGTGTGACAGATAATCTATAAATGTAATGAGCATGGGGTGGGGTAGGTATCAGACTTTCCTACAGCAGTATTGGGGCTTGATAGTTTGAAAATCAGGCTGTTGAATAAAGATATGTGATGGTCAGATAGGCTTGCAATAAAGCTGAGGGAGGGGGATATGTATCAAGGCACAGAGATAAAGGGATGGTTATTGAAATAAAAACAAACATATCAATAAAAGAAGGGAGGAGTCAGAGGTCAGTCAGAAATCAGAGGGGACACAGAGGAATGCATATACAGTGCCTTGCAAAAGTATTCACCCCCCTTGGCATTTTTTGTGTTTTGTTGCCTCACAACCTGGAATTAACATGGAATGTTTGAGGATTTGCATCATTTAATTTACAGAATATGCCCACAACTTTAAAGATGTTTTTTTTTTTTATTGTGAAGCAAACAACAAATAGGACAAAATAATAGAAAAGGTCAATGTGCATAACTATTCACCCCCCTAAAGTCAATACTTTGCGGCAATCACAGCTCCAAGTTGCTTTGGATAAGTCTCTATGAGCTTGCCACATCTTACCACTGGGACTTTTGCCCATTCCTCCTTTCAAAACTGCCCCAGCTCCTTCAAGTTGGATGGTTTGTGCTTGTGAACAGCAATCTTTAAGTCTGACCACATATTTTCTATTGGATTGAGGTCTGGTTTTTGACTAGGCCATACCAACACATTTACATGTTTCCCCTTAAACCACTCAAGAGTTGCTTTAGCAGTGTGTTTGGGGTCATTGTCCTGCTGGAAGGTGAACCTCCGTCCTAGCCTCAAATCACGCACAGAGTGGTACAGAATATCCCTGTATTTAGCACCATCCATCTTTCCCTCAACTCTGACCAGTTTCCCAGTCCCGGCTGCTGAAAAACATCCCCACAGCATGATGCTGCCACCACCATATTTCACTATGAGGATGGTGTACTTTGGGTGATGTGATGTGTTGGGTTTGCGCCAGACATAGTGTTTTCTTTGATGGCCGAAAAGTTCAATTTTAGTCTCATCAGACCAAAGCACCTTCCTCCATACATTTTGGGAGTCTCCCACATGCCTTTTTGAAAACTCAAAACGTGGCATTTTGTTTTTTGATGAAAGTAATGGCTTTCTTCTGGCCACTCTGCCATAAAGCCCAACTCTATGGAGTGTACGGTTTATTGTCGTCCTATGTACAGATACTCCAGTCTCTGCTGTGGAACTCTGGAGCTCCTCCAAGTTTACCTTAGGTCTCTGTGCTTCCTCTCTGATTAATGCCCTCCTTGCCCGGTCCGTGAGTTTTGGTGGGCTGCCGTGTCTTGGCAGATAGATTTGATGGTGCTCCTGGGGATCTTCAAAGATGTGGATATTTTTTATAACCTAACCCTGACTTGTACTTCTCAACAACATTGTCCCTTACATGTTTGGAGAGTTCCTTTGTCTTCATGGCAGTGTTTGGTTAGTGGTGCCTCTTGCTTAGGTGTTGCAGCCTCTGGGGCCTTTCAAAAAAGGTGTGTATATGTAATGAAAGATCATGTGACACTTAGATTGCACACAGGTGGACATCATTTCACTAATTATGTGACGTCTGAAGGTAATTGGTTTCACCAGAGCTTTTTATGGGCTTTGTAACAAAGGGGGTGAATACATACGCACATGCCAATTTTCTGTTTTCTATTTCTAAAAAATAGTTTTATGTATATATTTTTCTCATTTCACTCCACCAACTTAGACTGTTGTGTTCTGATCCATCACATAAAATTCAGATTTATAAAACATTGAACTTAAGGCTGTAATGTAACAAAATAGGTAAACAGTCAAGGGGGTGAATACTTTTGCAAGGCACTGTAGGTGAATAAAACAATTACATACAGGGCTAGGAAAACTATACTTTATAAGGCCAAAAAAATATACAATGTGCATAGGGTATATAAAATAAATGTACAGGGTGGTTAAATGAAATATAAATGATGCTGTGCAGGATAGAGTCTTAGTGTGGTCTTCCAGAAGGCTACCTTTCCTTATTGCAGACGATCAGCTGATGGAGCACTGACTTTCTTACAGCAGTATTGGGGCTTGATAGTTTTGAAATCAGTCTTGCTTATTGCAGACGATCAGCTGATTGAGCGCTGACTTTCTTACAGCAGTCATATGTCTCTCCCATATATCACGACGAAACGTTGTTTTATAAAATGGTCTGTTTTCGTTTCAGCAAATAAAGCTTGTCCCTGCTAACAGGCATGTGTGAAAACATCAGGATTGTCCATGACGTAGCTGTAGTTAATTTAAAAAAACCTTTATGTGAAGAATACTAATACATATTTTAAAAAGCATATTTTGAAGATGCCCTTAGTGTTTATATGCTGACCTCTGTGTTTTATGGATAAACGGTGTTACATTCGTGTGGTGTGATAGTATGTCATAAACTCTGTTACTACATACGGTGCAGAAAACAATCCCAAAAAAACATGAAAATTATCATAGATTGAATGAACTGATTTAAATGTAACTGTTACTGAGCTACTGCATTGCTATAAAGAGCTATAATAATATGTAAAGCAATATCATTATTTGCATAATGAAATAATAACAGATAATCGTGGTAACACACAGCGTGATATAATAACATGCAAATCCAAAGTGATATCGTAATATGAACCAATATGAAATTCGCAGAACAATATAACAAGGTTATGACCTGCATAGTGATATAATATTATCTCTCAGTTTACTTGTTTGCTTTGATACACCACTAGGGACTTTTTCTTTCTGTGTGATGGGGTAAAAAGTTCAAGAAAAGAAAGGTGAGAAAAGGCTGGGATTTGAGAGTCATGCCTAGGGTAATGGGTAACGAAAAATGGTGAGCGGCATGGAAGTGGATTTAACAAACCTGTAGTTTGATAGAGCAGGTAGACATGACTGAAGGGGCGAGGGTTTATTAAAAAGGTATGGGAGGCTTGGAAGCAGAGAAAGGAGCTAGAAAGAATAAAGAGGTATATAGATTCGAAGCAAAAAAGGTGAGATAGAAAAATTGACTGGTAGAGGTAGGAAATGGAGCGTACGTGGAATAAAATCCAGAGCTATGTAACAGCATGCAAAGAGGAATAATATAAAATGGGTTCAATACAACCCTATGACTTTGTTGTCAAATAATCCCGACTTTCCAGAAGAAGGTAACTTTTGGGGCGCAAATTTTGTTAATCAAGGGGAAGATATTTGGATATTTCAAGTATGCCTTATGGAGAGAATGGCTCCACTTAGCGATCGGACCCCTGACAGGCCTCACACTTTATTAGATGCTGTTGGATACACACATCTAACTCATTTTATACATTCCTAACAAGTTTCTAGCCTTTTCATAAGACATATAACTCCATTTGAAAAACTGTTTGACATTGGAATAAGCCTCTTCACCTGGCATGTTGATACCAGATAATGAACTCCTGCCTTTCCAATCTGAATTGGGAAATGCCTTTCCTAGATCCAGTGGTCCAAGGTCTTCATCCTTGAGCATCCTTTTATTCACATTATTAGGAAGTAAATTTTAAAATGCTGTCAGGGAAGATGTCTGATTAACTCTCCATATCTGGAGCAGCTGCCCCATTATTGCAGAGTAACTTTAAGCTGTCGAGCTGATTTTTCACCAGAAGCCATGCTCTTCCATTGTACCCTTCTATCACTTTCTACATATAAGAAATGGTTAATTAAACACTTTCTTAATGCTACCAAGGCTCTGATCCCTGTCCTCTGGAGGGCCACTTGGGTTCAGTAGTGGATGGATAAGTGGAAAGACGTCTGAGTGCTGGTGGCAATAACTGCTTCTGTTAATTATATAACATTTATAGAGATACCTGGTACCCATGGTTCACGTTCACACTTTAGATTGCTTTCAACATTGTAGCTTCATGCTTAGAACAGTGCAAGATGCTGGCCTATAGAGATCTTGATGGCACAGGCTGATGGACTATTTGTGGTCCCTGTTTGCAGGAGCTGGCATGATTATGGCCATGTTTTCTATGGGGTTCTTTTCTTTTTTTCTTTTTTTTTTTATTGGTGAAAGGTGCAAGCAAGGCATTACAGTATAGGCCTTTTGGATCTTAAATAATGTTTCACACTTTGTATTAGGTTATCTCACATGGCCTTCCTAAGGGTTTCAGAGACATCCAATTTCTGCATTCATGCTTTACAGGAGAAATTCCACATCTCTTCTAATCAAGTTATTATTTCTCTTTACAACTTAAAAACTTAGTAAAGCATGTCTTGACTGTAATCCTTTGAACATTTAAATTGCCAAGTCTGAGAAAAGAGCTAAAATCATCTTGGCTGTAACTAGTTTTGATTGTCTTTATCTGCCAGTAAGCCTTCATCTCTCTCACCCCAATAACCTCCTGTAACGTAACCTAAATAAGAAAATGCCAGAAGGTTACATACAAGTGGTTCCTGCATCCTTGGGGTATCGCTCATACGTTTTCTTTCTCTCTGGGGCATTGCTCTATCAAGCATAGAGATAGAGATCTTAAAGAGATCTTAAATCCGTCTTAACTGCAAAAGTTACTGATTTACAATCGGAAATAACAATTTTGTCTTTTTAAAAAAGACATTTTCAAACTTACTATTAGGATGAAATTAAAGTGAACCTGTAATGGAAAATTTTACTTAAATTGCTCCCATATACATTAACTACATCATATATCACAGATTCATGATTATTATTTCATTATTTATATAGCGCCATCACATTCCGTAGCGCTGTAAAATGTATTCAGTCTAGAGTTTCAAGATATACTCACCTCAGGTTCGTTCCAGCACCGCCATCTTCAGAGCTTCATGGGTGTCCATCCTTGAATCCTCTCGCAGTCTTCAGCGCAGTTGCCAGCATGTTGTCGTCTGAACTGAGTGACATACTCCTTAGCCAGTGCTAGGAGCACCAGCTAGGGAGTTTCCATAGCAACTGCAGTGCATGCGCTGTGGTTAATATGTTACTATGCTAAGGAGAGGAGAAGGCCTGCCTGTGTGAGTGGTATTTTATTATTTCCCTTGTCAGTCAGTCAAATTATCAGCATAGAGTCTGTGCCGAAGATTTGACTGACATGTGGGCGAAATACTTGTTTTGAAGTAGTTTTTTCTCCCAATCTGTACATTTGCTAGCAAAACTGCTAGCACAATGTATAGATGAAATTTCATGTTATTTCTAAGAAGCATAAGGGGTGACAGATCCCTTTTAAGATTTTTTTTTTTTTTTAAGTGGTCGCAATATGGGTTGAAAGCCTATTCCTTGCATTCTTGTAAAGATAAAACCATGTGAGCATTTTTAGTACTCTTATATTTAGCAAAATATTTTTTTTTAATGTAAATTTTCATAAACCAATTAAAAGGCTCCTACGAACGTATTAATTTAATTATCAATTGTATTACTCTTATGTTGAATTGGCAACCAAGTTGTAAAATGTTTATTTAAAGTAGCAACATTTGAGATTAAATCAGGTTGGCAATTGTGGCCCAAATTTTGCAACATGGTTGTGGGTTCACCACAACTCACCAACTCACTGTTTACTGAGTGAAATTACATGGTGGAGATGAAAATGATATGGTATTATTAACATACATAGAGAGACATTGGTATGGTAGGTATTCAAAGAGAGAGAATGACATGATTAGACAGGCAGATAGGAGCCTTGTCAGGTCTCATTAACTTTCAAGAAGGAACCAAGAAACCTCAGTTCTACAGCAATGAAACAGAGAGAGAGCATGTTAAAAAACAACAAGAAAAAATGAAAGTGATCTATAAAAAAAATTGACATCTCAAACTGTATGAATATAAATTGGTCTCCATAAGAGACCACTTTATATAGAGCCTTTGATTCTTATTGGCCCCTGTCCTCATGTGGATTTACTAAGTTGTGATAAATAAATTGACAAGTGTGAATGGGTTCAAAGAATTATATAATTACCCAGGAATATAAAAACACACGCCAATTTAATAATGAACAGCAATACAGTATCATGTAGAGTGAAGTGTTACTGGGCCCTCCGGTAATCAGACGACCATTCTGCGCGCTATCGATTTAATTTCCTTGTATTCCTTCGTGTTAATTTTTCATATGCTTACAAAACAACCCTTTGATTTTCTGTCACTCGTTAATTACACTGTTTCCCCATTAAATAGGAAGCTTTGTGTAAACTAATTACTAGGTAATCATCGCCTACCACGGACGCGCTGCTTGTACCTTTTTATTCCATCTTACAAGCGCTTCACCGTCTGCGCCCGGGCCCCCTCTCCGCTCGCACTCATTAGCTCCTACTAATTCACAGCGTTACTGCAGAAGAGAAGGGGACTTGTAATTGTGGCCATATCAGTGCTGTTAATTACCGAAGTAGAACATTGAAATCATGCCAAGGACCATTGTTAGAATCAAATAAAAAAAATTAAAAAAAAATTGGAAAAAAAATAATCTCATGCACCGAAAAAAAAAATGTGGTTTAAATGTTACGTTCACCATCTGGGGACTAGAATATAGAAAAACAGCAGTGACAAAATATCAGAGCTGCAGCTCCAGGCCTCACAGGCCAGATGGAGGAGAGCGATTCGATAACATCAACGGGATGGTAAGGGCCAGGTTCCAGCAGTATGCTGTGACAAGTGACGAAGAGTCGGAGGAACGTTGGAATTGTGCTCATAATATTAACACCTTTCATACCAGAAATGTGTGCAGACTGTTTAGTGTATCATTAGAATGATAAATGCTCATATTTTATAAAATATAAAAATAAAAACCATCTTAACACTATAAATATGTATATGATCTGCAATGTTAAGTCCTAGACAGGTAAGTTAATAATACACTTGAATTGCCAGCCGTCTAGATCTACTTGTTTTTTTTTTTTCTTTCTCTCTTTCCACCATACCCCTTCTCTTCTTCTCTTTTCAATTTCTTTAATTTAAATTTCACAGTCCCTAAATCAATGTTTGACAAACTACCCCCTACCAGTTACTTAGCTCTTTACTCTCTCAGTCATCCAATGTTATGACTCCACCCATCCCCCACTCATTCCCCTTATCCTGCTTCTTTACAATTTTATACAGGACTGTAAATTCCATTAGTCTCGGGCAGCACCAGTATATGAACATTACACTGCTGCCCTTATTTAAAGGGACACTATAGGCACCTAGACCACTTCAGCTCACTAAAGTGGTCTGGGTGCACTGTCATTATAAACATACAATGTAATTATTGCAGTTATTGATAATCTGTAATAATTACTATCCAGGGTTAACTTTACCTCTAGTGGCTGTCTACAAGACTTTTGGTTCAATCCTTTTCTGTGGGGTTGTTCTAATGTGATCGCTGCACTTACGACGCATGTGCATTAGGCTCCCCTTGTCGGTGCAGGAGCACAGGTGGAGCCTGACCGAGCGCTGAGGGAAGAGAAACACCAGTGTTTATATTAATGCCTAGGAACACCCCTAGTGGCAGTCACTCAGACGGCTAGTAGAGGTGCTTCCTGTGTCAGTGCTGGGCAGTGTAAAGCACTAACGTTCAACGTCTCCACGCTCTCCATGGAGGCGCTAAATGTTCCCCATAGAAATGCATTGCATTGATTCCTTTAACTCCTAAGTGGCAAAGAAATGAGCATTGAGACTGCAGGAGCATATAGAAGTTAATCACTTTGTTTCTACAGACCTAGTCACACCTCCCTTCCTAAACACTTCTTGTAAAGAGATATCTAATGTTTAAACTTCCTTTTAATGCACAATTTGTTTAATTTGGAATTTCTCATCTTCTGCTCTGTTAAGTTTGATTTACACAGTAGGTGATTTAAACTTCTAGTAAATAAATAAACATGTAGGCTCTGTGAGTCACAGCCAGGGAAGGTGTGGCTAGGGATGCATAAACATAAATAAAAGTAATTTAACTCCTAAATGGAAGCGAATTGAACAGTGAGGCTGATCTATACACCCAAGCTACTTTATTAAAGGAACCCTTTAGTGCCAGGAAAACAAAGCAATCTTCCTGGCACTATAGGTTTTAGGTCTCAGGCGGGGAAGACCTAATGCGCATGCGCGGCAATGGCCGTGCGCACATTAGACCTCCCCACTGTATAGCATTATTCAATGCTTTCCTATGAGGAAAATCTGATGCTGGAGGTCCTTATGTAGAGCGTGAGGACGTCCAGCGTCAGATAACGACCAAAAGTCAGTTTGGATTCTGAGGGGCAGACTTTCAAACTGCAATGTAAATATTGCAGTTTCTCTGGAACTACAATGTTTTTCATTTCAGGACTAAATACAATAGGGACACAGCACTCAGACCACTTCAGTTAGCCGAAGTGGTCTAGGTGCCTACAGTGTCCCTTTAAGCTAATATTGTTTTGATGTTTGTAGTGTCCCTTTAACATCTGATTAAATTCAATATTGTGCTGATGCCTTTGTATCCCTTTAAGCCAACCACTACATCACAGTACCCCAATGTCAGTGGATCCTACACTAATTTTAACATGGGAGACAAACAATAGTGACCGTGCTAAATGAATATAAGTTAAAGGTGCACTATAGTCACCAGAACAACTACAGCTTAATCTAGTTGTTCTGGTGTAGAATTGAATCCCCATATTTGTTTGCCGAGATAAGATTATTTTGAATAGCCTGGTAAAATTTAAAAACTGTATTTTTGTGCGCACAGTGTTCCTTAATCTTTATTTTGTATACATTTCGGTCTTTACGATAGCACCACTGCTGAAAAAATGCATGACCCGGGAGTGCCCCCTATTCCCCCCTTTTTCCTAAGAATGAGAATTAGACATGTAAATTTGTTTGATTACGAATCAACTTTATTTCCGAATTATGGTGATATATTAAATATTGGAAGCTTTCTAATTCCAAACTCTGCAGAATCTGAAATAAAACTAAAGAATATGGGCCCAATGAAAATGAAAATATTCGGATCCATTTGTTTTCATAAAGGTAACAAATGAGGCACTTATCTTAGCAACTGGAAGTTGTAGAGGCTAATAGTAAGATACTAATGGTCGTAGATACACAGAACAGTTGACATGATAAATGCTAAGAGTGGTAAAGAAGGTGTAGTAGGTATTTGGAACAGCCTTTCAGTGGAAGTGGTAGAGGCTAACAGTGAATGTATGTGCTGCATGCATATAAAATTTATATGAACAACTCAGGAAAGCAAGCTGTATTCTTAACAGCTGAAATATTAAAATTAACCCCTTAAGGACCAAACTTCTGGAATCAAAGGGAATCATGACATGTCACACATGTCATGTGTCCTTAAGGGGTTAAGAAGAGCCTTTTTTAATCTTTTAGACAAATGTTTAGTTGATAGCTCTCTAAAGGTACCCTTATGTCAGATTACCATGTTAAAGATACCAACTGAGGCGGCTATCTACTAAACAACTGAAAGGTGAAAATTAAGGAAAAAAAAAGCATTTTCTGAATTATGCTGTTTCAATTGCTTAGTACTAGATGTGGAGTTCCTAGTTTGGTACTTTTAAGTACCCTTAATTATGGTAATGCAAGGTCAGGGAGCTATCTATTAAACATCTGAAAGGTTAAAATTAAAGAAACGGCATAGATAAGTTCCTTTATTCCCCCTTCCCCTATTTCTTAGTGACATCACAATGCAGATTCATATGCAAATTAACTACAGTGAGTACCTCTACTACAGTGAGTGGTGGCTGGATGATGATGTCACAAAACTGCACAACCAATGTTGTAGTATATACAAATATTATTAGTGTAATAAACGTTGATTCTTACACTGTAGTCACCAAAATAACTTTAGCTTAATGAAGTAGTTTTTGTATATAGAGCATGCCCCTGCAATCTCACTGCTCAATTCTCTGCCATGTAGGAGTTAAATAATTTTGTTTATATAGCCCTAGTTACACCTCCCTGCATGTGACTTGCACAACCTTCCTGTACACCTCCAGTAAAGAGTCATCTAATGTTCACACATCCTGTATTGTTATTTCTGTTTATTTTAGAATTTCTTATCGCCGGCACGGTTAATAGCTTGCTAGACCTTGCAGAGAAAAGATCAAAATTAAGAAATAAATACTGTAACGGAATCCTCTGTTACCTTGGTACGAGGACTGCAGGTCAGCCTTCTTTCCCCTGGGCTGGAATGGGATTCTGTTTTGGGGAGGCTGATACAATTCGGACTGCTTTCTCCCTTGGGAGAGGGTTTGCCATTTGTTAGGCTGGAAATTAACACAGGGTGTGAAACCCTTACGCTGCTATGGACTTATGCACTACCACATTCTACTTTCCTTTATCTCTTTGTACATTCACTGCAGGGAATACACAATGCACGCCAGTGACGTCACTCATTATGGAGTTCAAGAAGTATTTGATTTTTAATGCGTGTACATCATATATATAAAACACAGTTTTCTTAGGGGTGTATACAACAAAAGGCAGAGTCAACAATCATAGATGTTTCAGTGCAAAAAGTATAATTATTCATAGAACATTACGTATCACTATCAGTCTACTGCGCATGTATACAATGAAAACACACAACAATGACTTACTTTCTACTTGAGAACCTCTTCGCTGAGCTATGCAAGGTTAACACCAAAAGCAACATTGTCATGAGAACAAGAAGAAACAGCTGCAGAAATTGCAGACACAAAGAATTTAGCTTTTAACCCCTGCAGACGTGGAAGGTCTTAACTAGAGTAAAGGTTTTAACCCTTTATTTACTTTTATCTATGACAAGTTCCCTCTTCTGGCACTGCAGGTGAGCGTGTTAGACATACTAATTATACCTGTGTGACTTTAATTATAGCTTCACCTCTCTTCCCTTGCCCTCTTCCACCAACAAAACCATCAAGGAAAGCCTGTCAAGATATCTGTAGATACAGGATAATATATATTATTAAATCCACGTTTCATTATGCAATACATCCATAGGTTAACATATGTCTGTATGTCTAAGCATTGCATAGGTAAAACAATTCATTTTACTTTTAAACATGTGATGAGTCACTAGTGCCCTCTATTGGTGAAACTGAAAATTGATTTGTATAATTAAATATGCAAATTATGATATTGTAAAAACTGACAAGATGCATCTATATATCTCTGTTTTCCAATAGTTTGGAAAGTTGTAATTATGTAATATATTTGAGGCATTGTTATGTTGCTTCTCCTTCACATTACGTTTGTTGTTTATATTTGTTTGATTTTCACCACATGCTTAAAGATTGGTCGGCAAATCTAGTCTTAGTACAAAATAAAGCATTGTATGCTAGTTCCTTTTGGAACCATGTGTCCTGTCCTGTATCTAATTTGTTCAGGGACCCTGGTAACAGAGTCTTTTGCCTGGCTGCATGGTCCCTGTAAAATTGGACACTGTCAAAAGACCTAGGCCTTAGAACTTCAAGTGCCTTTATAAAGGAAGTAGCTAATCACATTACAGGTAGAGGTGAGAATACATGCCTGTTAGGAGAACTGCAGAGGGGACAAAACCTGTACTGAAAGAGAGAGATGCTGCCTGATTGGGTTGCAGAGCTGTGGAGAAACTCCAGTCAAGCTTTGGCAGCTGTTTCTGAAGAGTTCCAGAGTCCCTTGTTGCAGTGAGGACTTGGCAGAGTACGGAAGCTCCGTCACAAAGACCTTATTAGCTCCCTTATTTGGCAACCATATGTGGAATTACTGTTAAGGATAACAAGTCAGGTATCCTTTGGGATGACGACATCCAAACTTCCGAATTGATCATTTCTGAATTTGGCACAAACTGAAATTCAAAATTAATAAAATGAAAGCAAAAAATTATTTTGCACACAATAAGAATGAAATTGGACAGTGTTAGAATTAGATTTGAGTGTGATATAACATCGTACTTTACAGAGAGGATAGTAAACATCTGTATTAGCCTTCCAATGTATGGCCAGAATAAAGTGAACCAATTCAAAATCTGAGAGGGTGTTCCACCTTAGCTACACAATATGGAACGGACACTGGGGGATTTGCAGAAAATGTGTCATATCCACTAGTTTTGAGGGTTTTTTTTCCCCTAATTTTATCTGTTTATTCCCATATTTGCTCCTACACAATCCTTACTAGACCTTTTCCACCAAAATATTTTCCCATTTCATTCTTCTACTTTTTTATTGTTATACATACTTGTTGCTTCCAATGGGCATGCAACATAACCACTGAACATGAAAATGAATGTGAAATGTTTTATACACAACTCCCTTTGTGTTTTCATGCAATCACATTTAGCTTATACCGTCATCTCGGCATATTCCTCTCTCCCTGCTTTATAGAACGTTTGTTGTCTGGCCGTCACAACTTATACATATACCTAAGTCACACATTTGGCATTCAAAGGGTTAAAAACATTTCTCTTTTATTTTATTTTAATTTTTTTTCCCTATTAAAGCATCCATTATTTCCTTGTTCTTTCTCTCTAACAGGAGAAAGCTCTACGGAGGATCACACAAGAGCTCCCCGAAGTGCTGCAGCTCCATACAAAGTTTGTAAATAAAAGACGCTTCCCAACATGGTGGAGGTTTCTACAGGCCTTAATAAGCTGTGGTAAGGAGAAAACACCACCATGCACCTCTCTGTATAATGGCATGCCACAAGCAGCAAAACAATATTATCAGTTCATAATTGGTTTCCTTCATTGCATAGACACATAGAAATGCCCAACTACAGGGAGTGCAGAATTATTAGGCAAATGAGTATTTTGACCACATCATCCTCTTTATGCATGTTGTCTTACTCCAAGCTGTATAGGCTCGAAAGCCTACTACCAATTAAGCATATTAGGTGATGTGCATCTCTGTAATGAGAAGGGGTGTGGTCTAATGACATCAACACCCTATATCAGGTGTGCATAATTATTAGGCAACTTCCTTTCCTTTGGCAAAATGGGTCAAAAGAAGGACTTGACAGGCTCAGAAAAGTCAAAAATAGTGAGATATCTTGCAGAGGGATGCAGCACTCTTAAAATTGCAAAGCTTCTGAAGCGTGATCATCGAACAATCAAGCGTTTCATTCAAAATAGTCAACAGGGTCGCAAGAAGCGTGTGGAAAAACCAAGGCGCAAAATAACTGCCCATGAACTGAGAAAAGTCAAGCGTGCAGCTGCCACGATGCCACTTGCCACCAGTTTGGCCATATTTCAGAGCTGCAACATCACTGGAGTGCCCAAAAGCACAAGGTGTGCAATACTCAGAGACATGGCCAAGGTAAGAAAGGCTGAAAGACGACCACCACTGAACAAGACACACAAGCTGAAACGTCAAGACTGGGCCAAGAAATATCTCAAGACTGATTTTTCTAAGGTTTTATGGACTGATGAAATGAGAGTGAGTCTTGATGGGCCAGATGGATGGGCCCGTGGCTGGATTGGTAAAGGGCAGAGAGCTCCAGTCCGACTCAGACGCCAGCAAGGTGGAGGTGGAGTACTGGTTTGGGCTGGTATCATCAAAGATGAGCTTGTGGGGCCTTTTCGGGTTGAGGATGGAGTCAAGCTCAACTCCCAGTCCTACTGCCAGTTCCTGGAAGACACCTTCTTCAAGCAGTGGTACAGGAAGAAGTCTGCATCCTTCAAGAAAAACATGATTTTCATGCAGGACAATGCTCCATCACACGCGTCCAAGTACTCCACAGCGTGGCTGGCAAGAAAGGGTATAAAAGAAGAAAATCTAATGACATGGCCTCCTTGTTCACCTGATCTGAACCCCATTGAGAACCTGTGGTCCATCATCAAATGTGAGATTTACAAGGAGGGAAAACAGTACACCTCTCTGAACAGTGTCTGGGAGGCTGTGGTTGCTGCTGCACGCAATGTTGATGGTGAACAGATCAAAACACTGACAGAATCCATGGATGGCAGGCTTTTGAGTGTCCTTGCAAAGAAAGGTGGCTATATTGGTCACTGATTTGTTTTTGTTTTGTTTTTGAATGTCAGAAATGTATATTTGTGAATGTTGAGATGTTATATTGGTTTCACTGGTAATAATAAATAATTGAAATGGGTATATATTTGTTTTTTGTTAAGTTGCCTAATAATTATGCACAGTAATAGTCACCTGCACACACAGATATCCCCCTAACATAGCTATAACTAAAAACAAACTAAAAACTACTTCCAAAAATATTCAGCTTTGATATTAATGAGTTTTTTGGGTTCATTGAGAACATGGTTGTTGTTCAATAATAAAATTAATCCTCAAAAATACAACTTGCCTAATAATTCTGCACTCCCTGTAGAGTAGTGTCAGTCATTGAGCTATCTACCATGTAAGTTCAATAAGGCTTCTCTGTGTTTCCTAAATAATGCAAATAGTTAAGTTGGTACAGTGTTTCCCTGAAAATAAGACATACCCTGAAATGAAGCCCTAGTTTATTTTCGGTAGATGCTCCTAATATATAAGTCCTAACACGAAAATAGGCCCTAGTCGCTAGTTCTCTAATCTATGTTCAGGGAATTTTCCCCAAACATAGATATGCAAGATTCCATTCACGAGTAAACTAATCTATGTTCATGGAAGTTCCATGTCATAGTGAACTGTTCTATGTTGGGGGAATTTACCCGAACATAGACCTGCTTTCTAGCACACGTTTTTCCCCAAAATAAGCCCTTTTCCTTTTTACTGGGGAAAAGTTAATATAAGACCGGTCTTATTTTCGGAGAAAGATGGTAATATTAAGAGGTCCGTGTTTCTCCAAACTGAATACCATATCAGATCAAATATCGTAAAGAACACCACATTACCTGCACATTGAGATAGCTTTTCAGTGAGACAAGATCCTATCTCCTCCCTATTCCCTGTGTAGTGTTTAAGGAATGTAGAACATGGGAAAATATTGTGTTCCACCTCCTCCACAGCAGCACAACCAATGTTGTAGTACATGCAAATATATATATATTGCAAAAAAGGGATGCAGTTACAGGTCTTGAAAGATTTTGAAAAAGACCCTGGCAGTCGAAACGTTGCTTTTTTACATGTAACACGATATTTGTTGCATTAATAAAAACAACTAGTTCACAGGACCCGTGAGTGTATGCCTTTTTTGCAAGAATATAGACGTTGTCTGCACCTGTGAGGAAGAGTGCAGAGCTGTGCTATTAACCAGGCCTTAACCATTACTGGCCACTGCAGGCCATAGTATACTCAGCAGGGGTGAATTTCTTGTTATTGTATATTGGTTGCATCTGTGCAGAAATAAAATATACTGTATGACAATGTCTGTAGTAAGTGTAGTAAGTCAGTATCCTGAGTTAATCAGCAATCACAATATGATAGTATATATTCAAGTAAACACATATACTTGAAAAATACATTTTGTCACAAATGACTCATTTCATCCTATTGCGTCACATAAGCAAATAATGAAAATACATTTAAATGAAACGCAAACCTTTGTCTAGAAAAGTGTTATACCTACAAATAGAACCACCCCAACTTTTTGAGCCCACCTTCTCAATGGGTATTTCTTAAAAAAAAAAAAAAAAATACAACACCAAATATATATATATAGGAAAAATCAGACACCAACCAAGGTGGAGACCATCCACTAAATGTCACATGACCAACACAATAAATTACCTTACTTAGTACCCCAGTAACCAATGATATCGCCAGCATTTTATCGTCATGATGACTTTCACTGGTATCACATACAAATGTTTGAGCATCTGTGGGAGGTTCTGGAACAACAAAGCCAATCAATGGAGGCCTCACCTCACAGCTTTCAGGACTTAAGGGATGTGCTGCTAATGTCTTGGTGCTAGGTACCACAGGACGCATTCAGAGGTCCATGTCCATTCAAGCTGTTTTGGCAGCACAAGGGGGACCTACACGATATTAGGCAGGTGGTTTTAATGCTGTGGCTGAACAGTGTGTGTATACAGTGCCTTGCAAAAGTATTCACCCCCATTGGCGTTTTTCGTGCTTTGTTGCCTCACAACCTGGAATTAACATGGATTGTTTGAGGATTTGCATCATTTAATTTACAGAACAACTTTGAAGATGTTTTTTTTTTTTTTTTATTGTGAAGCAAACAACAAATAGGACAAAATAACAGAAAAGGTCAATGTGCATAACTATTCACCCCCCTAAAGTCAATACTTTGTAGAGCCACCTTTTGCGGCAATCACAGCTTTGGATAAGTCTCTATGAGCTTACCACATCTTACCACTGGGATTTTTGCCCATTCCTCCATGCAAAACTGCTCCAGCTCCTTCAAGTTTGATGGTTTGCACTTGTGAACAACAATCTTTTAAGTCTGACCACAGATTTTCTGTTGGATTGAGGTCTGGGCTTTCATTAGGCCATTCCAACACATTTACATGTTTCCCCTTAAACCACTCAAGTATTGCTTTAGTAGTGTGTTTGGGGTCATTGTCCTGCTGGAAGGTGAACCTCCGTCCTAGCCTCAAATCACGCACAGAGTGGTTCAGGTTTTGCTCAAGAATATCCCTGTATTTAGCACCACCCATCTTTCCCTCAACTCTGACCAGTTTCCCAGTCCCGGCTGATGAAAAACATCCCCACAGCATGATGCTGCCACCACCATGTTTCACTGTGGAGATGGTGTTCATTGGGTGATGTGATGTGTTGGGTTTGCACCAGACATAGCATTTTCTTTGATGGCGAAAAGTTCAATTTTAGTCTCATCAGACCAGAGCACCTTCCTCCATACATTTTGGGAGTCTCCCACATGCCTTTTCGAAAACTCAAAACGTGCCATTTTGTTTTTTGATGAAAGTAATGGCTTTCTTCTGGCCACTCTGCCATAAAGCCCAAGTCTATGGAGCGTACGGCTTATTGTCGTCCTATGTACAGATACTCCAGTCTCTGCTATGGAACTCTGCAGCTCCTCCAGGGTTACCTTAGGTCTCTGTGCTGCCTCTCTGATTAATGCCCTCCTTGCCCGGTCCGTGAGTTTTGGTGGGCGGCCGTCTCTTGGCAGGTTTGCTGTTGTGCCATGTTTCCATTTGGTTATGATAGATTTGATGGTGCTCCTGGGGATCATCAAAGATTTGGATATTTTTTTTATAACCTAATCCTGACTTATACTTCTCAACAACATTGTCCCTTACTTGTTTGGAGAGTTCCTTATTCTTCATGGTGGTGCCTCTTGCTTGGGTGTTGCAGCCTCTGGGGCCTTTCAAAAAAGGTGTGTATATGTAATGAAAGATCATGTGACACTTAGAGTGCACACAGGTGGACATCATTTCACTAATTATGTGACTTCTGAAGGTAATTCGTTGCACCAGAGCTTTTTATGGGCTTCATAACAAAGGGGGTGAATACATACGCACATGCCAATTTTCTGTTTTCTATTTCTAAAAAATTGTTTTATGTATATATTTTTCTCATTTCACTTCACCAACTTAGACTATTGTGTTCTGATCCATCACATAAAATTCAGATTAATAAAACACTGAACTTAAGGCTGTAATGTAACAAAATAGGTAAAAAGTCATGGGGTGTGAATACTTTTGCAAGGCACTATACATTGCAAACTAATACACACCAGGGCTATAATATATGCAAACGTTTGGTTATATAATAAAAATATTGATGACAATTTTTTTCCCTATAAGGTTTGGAGATACAGGCTCTATTAATGGAACACTAGAACATTAATAATATAAACATGTATTCTTAATAAGGGTATAGTGTTTTCTTCACAAGTTAGATGCCTGGACAAATTTAGACTGAATTAAAACACCATCTCACTCAGTACTGCAGCCCGCTTCTACTCCTGCAACATCATCCAACAGGTGTTGCTTCTTGTCCAATCCAATGCTTCCCATCAGTGGTTTTATAGTTGCACTTGTCTTCCTAAATGGTAACATTTAATTTCTTTCTTTCCACAGGAGGAATAATTGAAGCCTTTCCTCCTGCCGATAGCATTACCTGCCTTACTGTAGACTTGCTGATCAAGCCTGATGGAGGTACTGAGATGGTGTCCTGTGGAGATCAAATTCACGGTCTTAGCCCCTTGGAGTGCATTGGCACCACTGTGCCCCAGTGCTCTGTGCCCCCCGAAATTCTCACTTCCATCTGCAATCGGGTTGGAGAGGCCTGCAGGATCCGTGGCATTCTTGGCTATCTATCGATGGATTTACTAAGCTTTATCGACCTTCAAAACCTGGAGCAGCAGGTCAGGAATCACTTTTCAGACTGATAAAAAATTTTGACATCTCATTGTGTATTTAAAACTATATTCACTTTAATATCAGCATCTGTTTCCGAAACACGATTCTGCTCCACACAGAATTACCCTGATATATAAATGCAAGTTTTATTCTTCGTAATAAACGTATTTAGGATGAAGTTTTGGAGTAATATCAAGCTTTTGTATTTTTGGGTTGTTAAGGGTATCGATTTTAGAGAATTATTTGGGAAAGTGCATCAGGCTAGCACACCATTGAAAAGGATATAATCTTACCTCTATAAAACTTTGCTTTTAAAAGGGGGTTTTGTGTTGAAGAGCACCGAAGTAATTGGAGACAGGAAAATAAAATAAAACACCGTGGTGAGCTTCCTGAATACTTTATCTATAAGATCTAGTCTACTATTTGAGAATTCCATTATTAGATGAAAGGGGTGTTTTTATTTATTTATTTGAATCACACATTATTTTCAGATAGAGCAATAAATATATTGAATGCACTATAGAGAGTGGAAATAGGACGTGTAGACACTAATAAAAAAAAAAAAAAATTGAAATTGATGGACGTCTTTTTCATCAGCCTCAATTATTGTTAGATCTGATGGTCAGTTTAGCAGCCCCGTGGCCTGTCTGTTGGTTAACAAGCAACTTGCAAAATGTAAACAACAAATAAATATTGGGTTAAAACTCTACAGACAGTCTTGAGCTTTTTCTTACCCGATTATTTCGGCCTACATTTTGAAAGCCGGGTGCAAGCTCACAAAACTGCATTGTTTAGTAAGTAAACGTAAAGTTAGTCTTAATGCCTATGCACACAAGCAGAGACTAGCCACAAGCCTCTCTGGGCCCAAGCTTAAAAGACAGCAGTCACTTCAAAAATATTTTGAATATAATACTCCTTTTATCAAGAATTGAAAGGATATAGATTTATTAATTCTAAATATATGTAAAAAAAAAAAATGGTACATATACTACATTTAAAACAAATCTATTTCCTTTCTATACTTGATGAAAGGATTATTATATTAAACATTATCTTTGAGACCTTAGTCTGCCTTACAGCCAATAATTTTCCTCTTATTGTCTTTATAGTATTTTAGAGTCATACAAAGAAGAAAAGGGACAAACAAAAAGAGGACAGCGATTGGCTATAGGGGAGAGTGACATTAGCAGCTCAGCTCACACTGATATCTCATTGGCGGAGCTGAGAATGTACTCAGAATGCCTCTAATAAGGAAGATTTCTAAAAAAACTTTGTAAAAAGCGGGAACCTGACTAAGCTTTATTTTTTTAGCAAAAATTAAAATAAAAACAACGTGAATAAAAATGCAGTATGAATATGCCAAAATCTATTAAACGCACTTGCTTTGTTGTTGCCTGCTGTATGACTGCAGTGTCCTTTTAACCAATAAAGTATAGTGTCAACACCTCTAGGGTCAGATTTCACAATATACAGAGTAGGCACCTGCCTACAGCTGTATGTCTGATTGTGGGTGCCTTCTCTGCCTGTTAAATGGATATGCATCACTTTGCAAATATTATTTTTTTTTTATTTTTTTTTTTTATAATTTTTTATTTTTGTTGTGCAAAAGTTTAACAGATATGCTTATTTTGCCACGATGGCACATTCAGGCATTTCACATAGCGTAATACTGTGGTATATATGTACACATTTTTAAGTAAATAACAGGTTAGTACAGGATGTGTCAGTGAATGGTAAGGCAATAGGCGTGATTGTATCTCAAGTAGTCTGACTTTAACCTTGTCTAGTAGGAGAGAGTTATACAACATGCTAAAATCTGATTGACAATGCTTAACTAACTATAATTGACTCTCAAGTTTGGTAGCCACTGGGTACCAAGGTTTATAATGTGTGATTTAAACAGACTGTAAGATGGAGGTTAAGCTAACATTCCGCTCATGTATAAGACAAGCTACTATCATGGGAGACCCCGAAGGCCTTCTCGTCATGCTATCTAAGAAGGGACAAGCATTCCTGGGATTTGCTATGCATGGGATAAGCTGGCAATGAGCAGTGGGTAACATGTTAATTTAACTTGACTAGTGTATAAGCAATAGGTAGTTGAGAGACCTAGCAATACCAGGAGGGAGAGAAAACAAAGAAATAAAAAAAAACAGTAAGGCCAGATATTGCAACGTTAGAATGGGAGCACAATTTCCACTTAAACTGGATGCAATAGTATAAAGTTGCTTTGTCCTAGATAGATACTGCAAAGCTTGCATTATGGGGTTTATCCCCTTTTACAGGGGCAGTTCAACCAATGTCTAGTGACGGCAGATTATCCTTCCAGGGGAACATGAGTCCAAGTGCTTGCCCCCCACCCTGAGTCCCAAGGCAGTCTGAGGTACTTGCGTCCCTGGTCTTGTCGCGGTCAGCAGGCCTGTTTTTGTGTTGGGACTGAGTGGTGGGCTTCTGGTAAGCCTGCTGGGGCGAGTCCGTCCGAGGGTGCGTGTCGTGGGTGCTGAAGTGCCCCATTAGGAGCTGTATCTTGGGCAGCTTCTAGCTCCCATCTGGATCAGGTCGCCAAGACCGGTGCTGCCGTGGAGGCTCCTGCCTATGGCTCCTCATCTCCCACTTTGCGTCTGGGTCCCGCCCGTTTGCTTGTGGCGCTGCTTTGTCTCGTTGTGGGTCTGACTTGGGAGATGCTGCAAGGAGAGACCCTTTAGCTTGAGAGCGTCGGGCTGGCTTCATCTCTGAGTGGGCCCTCTGCCCTGGTGGAGGGAGGACAGTCTCCATTGCCGCCAGGCTCCTGGGGGAAATATGGGAAGGTTGTCTGGTGTGCCCTTGCTTGTAAATGGAGCCAAAATGTCTGACAGATCCTCTCGGAGTTAGCCTCGAAGGTCTCCCTCCATGACAGGCCAGTGAGGCTCGCATGTGGTTGCCAAGGGTGCAGTGCGTCCACCGTCTTTGGTGACCATGCGATTTCAGTAACACTGAGTTGTGTTGTCAGGCTTGCCAAGGTGTAGACAACCACAAGCAACACAAAACTTCGGGATACGGCTGGAAATTAATCTAAAAGGAACATGAAAAATATATACAAAATAGTGAAGTACAATTAACACATTTTTTTACGCTGAATACAAATGCACTCACAGAATGAAGTAGAATATATCGCTCATAGGGTGCCTCCCCTAGTTGAAATGGGGGGTTGGTAATCCCTTGGCTCCTTGTAGGCTTCCTTAATAATGCTCAGGACTCCAAACAGGTAATGGTAGAAAAAGATGTATTTATTGATAAAAGGTGAATAATCACCATCAGTATAGAATATGATAAAAAGAAGAACGGTATGGTCCTACGCGTTTCGTTCTGCAAAGAACTTCATCAGGGACCGTATATAAGAAATAAAATCAATATCCAATTACAATGTATAAAAAAACATCCTATTCCCCCCCATCCCTGAGTCCTCTTTAAATAGGGCTAGTCCCCATGTTCATTGGTGGTTCCGTGGGTGGTATCCAGTATCCATTACTTGATTGGTCCTGGGAGGAAGCTATTCAGCTGTTTTCCATCCTCCTTGTATTGCTGTAATCAATTTCGGCGCGTTCGAGCAACCGGAACCGGAAGTGGAAATTGTATCGCACTTCCGCGTTCCACTTGCGTTCCACATGCGTTCCACCCGCGGCTAGAATGCGTTCCACCTTCATTGTGTCTCAACATAAATGTATAATCAGGAAAAACAATAAAGAACAATATATTCTATCTGCTAAAGAAAAAAATAATATTAATAACCTTATTTTCTACATTTACTTGTGTTAGTTATTATAATCAATCACCATTAAATTACTATAATAAAACAGTATCACACAATATTTCTTAAAGTGAAAGGTGCACTAAAATTGCACAATTTATATAATGCATGTAATCCTATTGTCAAGAAAAATTGTATTTCAAGTATAACATACATAGCTAAACTATATGATATATATCAATATCTATTGATTATTAGTAGGTGGTTCATGCCACAAAGTTTTTTAGAAAAATAAAATAAATATTTTTAAAAGAATAAGGTTTTAAATTTAGAGAAAACTAAATTTTATAATGTTCCTATAGAAAGTCTCCAATATTAAGTGGAGTTACACATATATCTAATATCCCAAATATTTGTATTTTTACCGATTGATTGATAAATGCATACAGGATAATATTCTTATCAATACCTGTATGTTTACAAAATACAAAAAGACCATACTCCCAAATATAGTTAAATTCCTAAATATATATAAGCAATTCAGCTATATATTTACTTCTACATAACCCATATGGAGAAAAGAAGGCTGTATTTTAATCAAAATAACCATAACCCACAGAATGATAATGTATAAAAAGATGAATATATGTATAAATAAAAAATCAATTTTAAATTCTAATCCAAAAAACAAACTAAGTCGATACCAATATTGAGGCCCTTTGGCTCTAGGGTATTCAACCGGTATATCCAAAAAGTCTCCCTTTGGGATAGTTTTTGGATTCTATCACCCCCTCGCCAGAATGGAAAAACTCTTTCAATGCCCATAAAAATAAATTCCCGAAAAGTAAATAATGGACAATTAGAACAGTGGGCCGAAACTGAATGAGTTTGAAGTTTCTTCTTAATATTATTTAGATGTTCAAGTATTCTGACCTTTAAAATCCTCTTTGTACGTCCCACATATTGTTTGCCACAGGGACACTGTAGTAAATAGACCACATAGTCCGAGTGGCAACCAATCTCAGATTTCACCTTGAATGTTTCCCCTGTGGTGTTGCTATGGAAAACCTGTGTTTTAGACAGTGATGTAGTAATACAGGCCTTGCAGGTTCCACAGCCTCTAAAGAAACCAATAGTGGAAGAAAGATCAGTATTAGGAGGTTTAATAGCGTAGCTAGGAGCCAGTAAGTTCTTAAGATTCTTATTCTTTTTATAGATCACCATAGGGCGATCCGATAAAGACTTTCCCAAAACTGGATCCTGAAGTAAAATGGGCCAGAATTCCTGCAAACTTTTTTTGATTTTATGATGGTCAGTATTATATTGAGTTATAAAAGATGATTTAAAGTTTTTGTTATTTTCATTTATACTGCCCTTATCTTCTAATAGTGAACTACGCTGTACCGAGCTAATGGAACGGATTTCTTTATCCAAAGAGTTTCTTTTATAACCTCTATCCATAAGCTTTTTCTTAATATATAGTGATTGGGTCTTAAAATCCTGAAGATTAGAGCAATTACGTCTGACACGTGTGAACTGACTCCTAGCTATACCCCGTAACCACGGTTTATGGTGACAGCTTCGTTGATGTACGTAGCCCTTACCATCCGTGGGTTTAAAGAAACATTTGGTCTGTATTTGTTCTTGATCGCAAAAAAGGACCAGGTCCAAAAAATGAATTTCGTATTTATTCCATACTGGAGTAAAAACCAAGTTGTACTTGTTACAATTAAGGTATCGAACAAACTCCTGAAAAGCAACCGAAGACCCCTTCCAAATAATAATAACATCATCAATATACCGCCGCCATAGGACCAGGCTCTCCCTCCAGCCATGCCCAGACCACACAAAAAGTTCTTCCCATCTTCTCATGTAGGTGTTGGCATAGCTGGGGGCGAACCTGGTACCCATGGCGTTCCCAGTGGTTTGTAAATAATAATCACCATTAAAGAAAAAATAATTGTGGTCCAAAATAAATTGAACTGAAGAAAAAATAAACTCCCTATGGCCTACAGATAATGTATTATCTCTAGACATGTAATAATCAATTGACTCCAACCCTAGGTGATGACTGATCACAGTATACAGAGAGGTCACATCTAGTGTGGCCCAGCTGTATTCCGATTTCCATTCGATACACTCCAGCTCTTGTAAAAAAGATTTCGTATCACGCACATAGGAAGGCGCTCCTTGCGCATATTTCTGCAAAAATGAATCAACATAGGCGGATAGATTAGCTGTTAGTGAATTTACACCGCTAATAATAGGACACCCTGGTGGATTAGGGAGGCGTTTGTGTGTTTTAGGAAGGAAATAAAAAATCGGTATAACGGGGTTTTTTTGAAATAAAAATTCTAAATTTTTTTGAGTGATGATCCCATTATTATATGCCTGATCTAGAAGGATCCCAAGTTCCATATTAAAACGTGACGTTGGGTCATTAACTAGAATGGTGTAAGTATTTTTATCCCCCAATATATTAGCAGATTCTTCTAGATAATAGGAGGTGGTCATCAAAACGATGCCACCACCCTTATCAGCCTCCCTAATTATTAGATCATCACGATCCATTAAATTTTTTAGCGTTTTTTCTTCTCTTTTTGTAAAATTAGAGGTTTGTGATCTTTTCTTATCCTTTATACTAAAAGACTGGAAAGTTTGATTCACCATATGTTCAAATGTCTCTAAAAAAGGGCCTTCGCTGTGATACAGGAAAAAAATGTGATTTGCGTTGAAAATTGTAATTAGAAGGGGTGGTTGAAACATTCAAGGTGTCATCCGAAGGTAGTATATAACTATATAAGCCGTATCCCGAAGTTTTGTGTTGCTTGTGGTTGTCTATGCTAAAAGGTCGTCTTCTTTGGGTAACGATCTTGGGAGGCTGTAATAATTAAGTTAAGTATCTGTATACATTTCACTACAGTTATTATCTTTAGTAGTGTGTATATTGTACTGTACTATTTGTTTGCCAAGGTGTAGGTGTGCCCAGCGGAGACCGGGATACCCCCCACTGGTCCAAAGGGAGGGGGGGACAGGGCTGCTCAAGCTCCTTTGGCAGACCTGAGCCCAGAGCCGGGAGATTGGCCGTTTCCCCCCGCAGCCGGGCCGTCGGCTGCTGCAGGCCATAGGCTGAGGTGCAATGTGCTTCCATCAGGGCTCCCAGTTTCAGGCTGAGATTGTAGTCGGGGGTGATCCCCGGGTTGCCTAGAGTCATGTCCCGCCAGTTTTGCCGTGATATTTCAGCCGTTTTACTGCAGATTCAGCAGGAGCCATCAACAGACACGTCTGACCATCTTGGCTGTCACGCCCCGCCCCCCGCAAATATTATTTTAAACCAGACCTGTAAAGTCTCACTCTAAATCTGACTTCCTCCACTAACAAATTATGCTACGCTCTCACAACTTGGCTTTTTCCTCTTCAAAAGAAAACTATTTCAATATCCTTATAACCACACTCTCCTGGGAACCCAAGCTTCTCTTTCACACTTTTAACTCCCTTGTTTGCCTTGTTGCTTCTCCTCATCCTTTTAACTTGACCACTACAAACTTCGCAACTTACTTCTGAGAAGATTAATGCGATCAGAAACTAGTTCTCTAATCTCTCTCCTACCCCTACCAATACCAAGCGCACTCCCAAGGCTGTTCTATGCTCATCCACACCCACTGCACCAGAAGAGGTTTCAGCTCTGCTCCTGTCCTCTTGTCCCACCAACTCATCCCTTGATCCTACTCACTCACATCTCATGCGCTCTCTACCTAATTCTCTTGCTCTGCCCCTAAAATATTCAATCTCTCTCTCTCCTCTGGCATATTTCCTTCACACTTCAAGCATGCAACTGTAACCCCTGATTTAAAAAAAAAAAGCAAAAAAAGCCCAACATTGACACTATCTCCCCATCCAACTACCGCCCTATCTCACTACTACTGTTTGCCTCCAAGATACTTGAGAAAGTTGTGTATGAGAGATTAAACTACTTCTAAATCCAACTCTCTGTTTGACTGTAATAATTTCCGTTTCTTCTGTGTTTATTTCCAGCTGATTGAAATAATTCTTTTATATATATATATATATTCTTGGGTAAAAAGCTTGCCATGTTAATATACGTCTATATTAACCAGAAATACTAATACGCAATCAGACTTATGGTTTATTCTTAGAGTTACGGATACATAATAAAACAACAAAGGATATTACATGATGATGGATGTTCAATAGCAGATGGTAATTGCTGGACTCCTGAAGGGAGAGTTAGTCTGTACATAGTTAGACAGATGGACAAGAAGAACAACCTCGTGCAGCAAGCAACAAGCAACAGTAAGACCTCGTGGTCCTTTATCCCCTATTCTATATAGAAATGACCATAATGACGTCAGAGTATAACCCTAGCCATATAAGGACAAGACCCCTAATCCACATTCTCAGACAAAGAAAGCCTTGTGACTTATTGAAACCATCTGTTACTTATGTCAATTCAGACATCCATACATAATCAATAGAAACATACAATATGCAATATTCTACATTGACCCACTTCAGTCTCGATGCAGAGCTTATCACTCTGTCTAAACGGCCCTCACCAATGATTTAATTGCTGAAAAATCCAGTGGTTACTACTTTCTCTTAAGTTTCCTTGACCTTTCTTCTGCACTTGTCTCTGTTCATCATCAACAACATCTTCTCATCCTCCGCAACCTCGGTCTACGAGACTCTGCTCTCTCCTTGTTCTCCTCCTACCTCTCCCAGCAGTCTTTTAGTGTTTCTTTCTCTGGCTCTTCCTCTTTTCCTCAACCCCTCTCTGTTGGTGTTCCACATGGTTCCATCCTTGGTTCTCTACTGTTCTTGGTCTATACTGCATTCCCTGGTAAACTCATCAGCTTCCAATTTCACTTCTATGTGGATGACATGCAAATTTATCTGTCCTCTCCTGATCTCTCTCAGACCCTCTTGATTCATGTCCCTGACTAGCTCTCTGCTATTTCTAATTAGATGTCTGATCACTTCCTTAACCTTAACCTGTCCAAAACAGAACCCTTAAATGTTGCTGCTCCCATCTCTATCTCTCTCCAAATTAACAGCACTAACATCAGCTCTACCTCAGAGGCTCGCAGCTTAGGTGTTCTCTTTGACTCTAATCTCTACTTCATCATTCATATCCAGTTGATCGCCATATCTTGACACTTCCAGATTAAAACCATAGGCTCATCTTAACGCCAGATATGGCCGAGGTGATAATCAGTGGTGCTATCCTCTCTTGCCTTGACTTCTGCAATCCGCTTCTCAGTGGTCTTATGTATTCCCAACTTGCTCTATTGCAGTCTATAATGAATACAGCAGCGAGACTTATCTTCCTGTCCATCCGCACCTCCCACTCCTCCCCCCTCTGTCAGTTCCTACACTGGCGTCTTGTAAGATTTACTGGTGGTTTCTTACAAATTTCTATATAACACTTCTCCTACTTACATATCCTCCCTACTACACAAGTATGTCTCTGCTCTGCTGAAGATCTGCATTTATACTCTGTTCGTACTCCAACCTCTGACACATGCCGTCAAAACTTTTCTAGGGCTGCAGAGTTCCTGTGAAACTCCCTTCCCTTCTCTGTTAAACCCAGTCTTCATTACTTCAAAAAATCATTAAAAACTCAGTTTTCACTGTTTGGTAACCCACCTTGCTTCCTCTACTGTAACTGTCATATATTAAAACAAAAACATACTGTGAATACTGTGCCATTGAATACTATCCTAACAACCTAGTTTTCCTGTACATGACATATATCCTATCCTTGCCTCTTGTGTCACTTTACCCCACTCCCTCTAGAACAGCGTTTCCCAAACCAGTCCTCAAGACCCACCAACAGTCCAGGTTTTGTTAGTATCTCCATTGGAATAAAACAGGGAAACACATAAATCCTAGACAGTTGGTGAGCCATGAGGACTGGTTTGGGAACCACTGCTCTAGAATGTAAGTCGATTTGAGCTCATTTGGGCAGAATTCTATCATTTTGCCTTCAGAACATGACTATTTACAGTGAAACAGCACCAGTGGAGGACTGGCAGCATATCCACCAACCATGTTGTTGTGATTATGGAGGTTAGAGTGCTCCTTTAAGGGAAAAAAAGAAAAGTACACAATAGATTATATTCAATAAAGCAGAAATGATGGCAAATTGATGAAGAATGTCAATGTTTAGGCCGAAATAGCTGAAATGAAAAATAGCCTAGTTTAATATTTTCAATTTTGGCTATTATGACCTAAAGTTAGTAATTACCTTTTTAAATTCTCCATAATTTAAGTGCTTTTGGAGAAATAATGAAGTGAATTAAAAAACGCACTCTGCAGCTCCATTTTCATGCTTTATTCTCATGCGTGATAAATAGTTCAATAATAAATTCTACAACGTGCGGTAATTTGATTATATGCTCAAACATTTCCTCTCAGGTCACACACAGCAATAACCAGGTTAAACCTTTTTCACTGGTCATTACACTGCATTCATGACATTATTATGTCTTCTTATATCACCATAACTTCAATGAGGTTCATTACGTGTTGCTTCTAAATGTCCCATTTCCCAAATAGTTTTTGGTCGCCATGATGAAAAAGCTCAATTTATTGACAATCTTTGCTTTTACCTGAATATTGTTCCCAAGTAGCACAACTTTGATTGTTAGTTTTATTTGTTTGATAATTAAGAGTTCAGAAATCTGGCAGGATTCCCCCTAGGTGACTAATAACGTGTGTTCTCGTGGTAAAAAAACGTTTAATGATTTTTATTAGCTGCTCTTAGACCCTCAACTTTAAATGACTTCAAAATCCATCATTTGTAAGTTGTTATGGTGGAGCACTTAATTAATTATTCTAATGTGAAACTAATTTATATAAATACCTTCTTAAAGTGGCAATCTTATAAAGTGCAATCTCAACCTTCAAGTTTTTGTGCAAATATTTCTAGAAAGTACCAGTCTTATAAGGTGCAATTCCAGTACTCAAAAAATGTTTTTAATTTTTTGTTTGTGTTCTGAAAAAGCCTTATGGAAAAAGTGTGGTTTCTACTTTATATTTATACCCCTATTTTTTTTATTTGTGTTTTATACTATTCATTGTGAAAAAAATTAATTTCTTACACCTTTATATTCAAATTACTCCTATTACTTACCTGTACTTGTTAGCTTCCTTTTAACTCTTCTTTTCACTTACTTAATATACCATTGGAGTCTTGTTTGTTCTCTCTAAATGCTGTGCTGACCATACGTATTCTGGAAAGCACTGATCATTGTGGGACCACTTACAACCGTAGACGAGGATTGTACTTGTTCAAAAGCATTACTATAGAGCTTTTTATTATAGCTCCCTAAAGTGTGAGTGGACATACTCTGTTTATTTTTTAAATCTATTTATTATATTTATTATATTTACCTACTTAAACTATAATTATCGCATTTATACTATTTGATTATTAGCTATAAGCTATCAAACATATGTGCCAAGTCTTACAGGAGGGCAATATATATTCATGAAGTGTTAGACACCTTTACTCATCCCTCCAACATTGTAAATGATATGGAGAAGGACACTTTAATTTTAGGGGTGTGAGTGGGGGTGTTGCCAGGGGCATGGCTGTTCTAAACTATTTTGGTGACTTACTAATAGCAGTTTATGCAAATAAAATTTAATTTATAACAAGAACAATTTATCTTATTTACACAGACTGCTTTTAAACTCATTTCGACATATTACTGTGAGTATTATTGTTGCGGAGTACCTCTGTTATTCACTCAGACACACCAAGAATATGGAACTCCTAGAAAAGAGATATTAGGACAAAAAAGAGGGATTTGGTCCAAAAATAGGGACTTCCCTCCTAAATAAGGACACTTGAGAGGTACGCCTTTACTGGAGAAAGACAAATAATTTCCATGCACTTAAAAAGAGACAAACAAAGATAAGTGTATCCCTTAAAGGATCCCTATAGGGTCGGGAACACAAACATGTATTCCTGACCCTATAGTGTTAACACCACCATCTATCCCCCCTGGGCCCCTTATGCCTCCATAAATATAGTAAAAATCTTACTGTATTCAAGCCTGAAGCTGTAAATCTGCATGCTGTTAGACTCAGAAAAACAAGCAGTCTGCTGACATGTGGTAGCCTGATCCACTCACAGTGCTTCCCCATAAGATTGGCTGAGACTGACAAAGAGGCAGATCAGGGGCAGAGCCAGCATGATTCAAACACAGCCCTGGCCAATCAGCATCTCCTCATAGAGATGAATTGAATCAATGAATCTCTATGAGGAAAGTTCAGTGTCTGCATGCAGAGAGAGGAGACACAGTGCTGCCCTGTGCTCTGCTGACAGCAGATCTGTGTGGATTGAGGAGTTTTATGCCTCAATCAACTCCGAAGTCCCTCTGGTTCACTGTGAGTGACTGCAACTGGAGGTGTTCATAGCTTTCAATGTAAACACTGTTTTTTCTCAGAAAATACAGTGTTTACATGAGAGAGGCTGCAGGGAGCTATAGTTCTCACCTGAACAACCTCATTAAGCTGAAGTTGTTCAAGTGACTATAGTGTCCCTTTAAAATACACTTTCAGATTTTCAGTCTTTCTCTATTAGAACGCTGCCATTTATTTGACCCCCTTGCTCGATCGAAGATAACACTGCTTTGCTTGACCTCATGATCATATTATAATGACATCAGACTGTGTCACTAAGCAAAGCAGTGTTATCTTCTGTCAGCTAAGTCTGTGATCTTGACAATGGATCAAGTTAATGGCAATGTACAGATGAAAACCGGCTGGGGACCTGACTGTGTTCCTTTAGTAAATACAGGGAGAATTCTGGAAAATTCACAGTTTAGTGGATAACCCCACTTAACCAGAAGGAGTGATACAGAAATAAGGAAGAGAGTTTAACCCCATCATCAGACTCTTCCATGACACATGGTGAATGGGGTTAACTTTTTCTGTGCAGTTGGAATGAGCAGTATATTGTCTGCACAGTGTTATTTGTCCATCTAGCATTGAAAGGGTTTATAGATTTCTGGTCTTTAAATAATTGAGAGGATAAAATGACCCTGATGCTTCCATGCTGGATATCAATGCCCTGTTGTTAACAGCTCTACACTTTGCTGTAATGCTAGGCCAGAGTTATATCATGCATGGAGGGCCATTCTTCCTAAACAGTGCAAAACAGTAAAGCTCCCTTATTAAACTGCTGCCTAATGAACGCGGCCAGTGATGTGCCTGTCCTTTGACAAGCAGCGGGATAGAGTTGTATTGTGCTTATCGTGTTTGTCCATCTCTAAATAACAGAATTGGACAATCTCCTAGCGGAGTAGCTCGTTACCAGATGCCGATTAGCACTTCCCTTGCCCCCCTGGAGCAGATCCTTACGATGACGGATTGGATCTTAAATAGCTCAGCAGATTCCTGCCAGTTGGTTATTAAGGAGTATCTCGGCAGTGATTCATTTAGAGGGCATTTGCTTGTGAATATGATTCAAAAATTAGCAGGAGTTTAGCAAGAGGCTGGGACTAGCTGACCCCTTAATAACGTTATAATGATGCCATTTAACATCCACCGCTTATCCCACAGACTCGGCTCTGCGAGTGGAGAACAGGCTGTGTGCTGACAGGTTACACAGAGAGGGAGACCTAGAATGCGACCTCACATCCAGGGCTGATCACTCAGGACAGATGTCTGTGCACTGTATGGCACAAACCCCTTCTAACAGACCATGTTCAAGGATCGCTGGTGCTTAGGTTGCTGACCTCTAATATAAAGCATGTGGTCCAGCTCTCTGTGTCCTTGTCAAAGTCATTCTACTATATGTTATGATGGCTGCTTGGATGTGTAGTAGTTAATAAAACCCTCATTCAGTGCCAATAAAAGAGTCTATGAATGTCTCAAGTAAAATGGACTGTTATAGGTTGAGAATTGTACATAACACATGCTTGCATTAGGCTGGTTGTTGTACTTTATGATTTATACGCCTGCCCCTTTTTCTTTTCTGTATCCCTGGTTTTATTTGTCATATAAGACAAAAATCCCAATAAAAGGAATTTGAAAAAAATGTCTATGGACAAACTGATGATTTAAAGAGATGTCTTGTATATATTGCACATAGTTACCTCACTCATCCATGGTTCATTTCTTTCTTTTCACCAACATAGATTTGGGCCACAGACTTGGATGTGTGTTATAGTGACCAGCTGGCTATGACCCAACTCCTGATGTACTTGACAAGTGGAACCCTGGACTGTACAAACAGCCGTCTAAATGTTCCCAACCATCCCAGCAAAATGGACCATTCTCAGCGCCAGACTCAGCTTATAGCGGTAACATCCATTCAATGGCTTCCAATTTCTCTGAATTGCAAACTGCAAATACATGTATTGTGTGTGTGTTTTAATTATTTAGTAATAATTGGTGTATTTAGCAGTCTACAAATTACCTTGTAGTAGAAGGGTAATACAGTAACTACAATAGTTATAGAGTTATTCTAGACTGCTCTTCATAGAAATGTGTATGTGTACCTTAGGAGAAATGGCCGCTGCTCCTTAGAGTATACAGGCAGAGTGGAAACGGGAGGCATTAAGATATTGAATTTTAAAAAGAAATAGATTTTTTTTTAAAGCAGGTTTCCCTCCTTCTGTACAGGGGGTGAAGCAGGGAATATCAAACACTGCCTGACCGAGGGTATGTATATATGGCTAAAGTGCAATATTCTATTTAAAAAAAAATTATTTTATCTATTTTTTATACACATTTCATTTTCAAAAAAATCTAATTCCTTTCAAAACGCTATGAAAGTATAATTTTATTAAAAATAGTTTTGAATTGACATTTGTCCTTTCAGGGATACACACTGTACCCTGAATCCTTATAATGCTCACATTAAATGAATAGACACGTAAACTAATTCAACTAGCTGAAGTACGTTACATGCCGGTGGTCTGTAATTTTTTTTTACTTTTTAAAGTGGCTATTTCAACAAAAATCTGACCTTTTATACATCCACGCCAAATCGCCTCTCTGGCTATCACTCCGACAGCCAGTTAAATATTTTTCTACTTCAATTAGCTCCATGGAGCTAACCAAAGTGACAGGCGTGCTGCTGGGCTACAGTTCATCTGCATTCCCCTCTTTTCAATGAAGGTTCTACAGCTCATTGAGAAGAAAAATACATGCATGTTTTCTTTGGGGAAGTGTATCTATTAAGTAGTTAAAACATGTGCTACAGTGAAGGTGCATTCAAGTAAATGCAGTACCATTTTAGCAGTGATGGTAATAAACCATGTTTTCATCTTCCTCTTTTTAAGGCAATGCTTTAATAGTGAATCATCTACTCAAATAATATATTGATCACCCCCCTAAACTTCCAATGCACACACCTCGTTCCATTATTGTGCATTCCTCAACCTCACACATTAGCTGACTGTTCTATATTCTTGGTTCTACATGTGTGCTAATGTTTGGTTATCATCAGACCTGTACTGCTCCTGTTATAAAGATAAACTCTCTTCTGTCACAGTGTCATGCTTCCAGTCACTAAACTCCTTCCCTCCCTCCACTCTGTACAACAAACACTTCCCTACACCATCTTTACAAGTTCCCCCTCAATAAAATGTTCTTTAAAAGAATAAATTTGCTCAGTGCTGTTGCTCCTGTAATTATGTATAAAACCAATCACTCATTATCTGGGAGATAGATGAGGCTAAATAAGCACAGCATTAATAATTTACAGGGCTCTTCATTATGCCAGTGCATGGGCTGCGAAGACCCAGCAAGAGCAATTCTTTCAGTCTGATGCCAACCTTTAAACAATGGCGTTCCATCACCGCGGCCCCATCCTGCTTCACGCTTGTTAAACAGAGACATGGATTATTCTATCAAACACTCCTCTAGTTTCTGCTCCCCACTGCAAACCAACAGCTTCTGAAATGCGCATCTTATAATCCCCCCTCCACATGTTAATGACTCAAGCAATGGGAGATATTAATTCTGCAAATATTATAAACATGATTAGCTCGCAGTCAAAGATTTATTGCAACAGACTTTTCGGAGTACTAACTTTGTGTGAGCCGCTGTCTGAATATATTGTGGCATCCTGTTAGTCTGAAGGGACACATCTAGGACAGATGTGAAAGTAAAGTTTTGTGCAGAGCGTGTTCGATTGTGCAGTCACTGCCAGTGTTATATGGTGCAGTGTCTAGAGAACCCCCTTGCTCTGTGTGGATTTGAAGCCGGTAAAGGGCAAGGTTAATCACTGATCCGTTTTAGGTTTAAGTTGCCAGCTTGGAACGATTGTCCCACTCACCATTGGTTTCAAGTTATTTTGAAATCAAATTTGCAATGTTCAGGGAATTCCCTGAAATTCATGATTTTGTAAATAACCCTGAAAGATAATTGATTGCAAAATTCAAAGGAGCAATCTAGCATTAAAAATACAAACTTATTTCTAAATTTACTGTTACAGTCATATAATACAATCAGGACTGTGGCCAACTCCGTGAAGTGCATGGACGCTGGCTCTGTCCGCAGCCAGTAAGTAATCAAAGTCCAACATAATTCTCCTTGTGATTCTTTATTGTGGTTTTATAAGAACAGGTCAATTTTTGTCCATACCAGGCCTTTATAAAACATAGTAGACATTAAAGGGACACTGTAGGCACCTTGGCCACTTCATCTCATTGAAGCAGTTTGGTTCCACTGTCCCTGTCCGCTTAACCCTGCAGTATAAAATATTACAGTTTTAGAGAAACTACAATGTTTACATTTTAGGGTTAAGACTGCCTATAGTGGCTGTCTACCAGACTAGAGGCGTGTACTGCTGTTTTATGGAGTTTGATTCCTTGAAACGATGCTGGACATCCTCACGCTGTGCATGAGGACATCCAGCATCTTTAAATCCCCCATATGAAAGCATTGATTCAATGGTTTACTATGGAGAAGGCCTAATGCAGCACTCATCACATATTAGGGTTCCCCTCTTGGTGCTGACGTCGGAGGAGGTGGAGAGGGAGCCAAACGCTGGAATAAGATGAGTGAATTTAAGAGTTATTTAAGGAATACAGCTTTGAACTTAAGTGCTTATATAGGCTATAATTAAGGGGTGGAGTGACACCCTAATGAGACACAACTGTCATTACAGATTATCCTTCCAATAGTTAAGTGATTAATTTGATGACAAACTTGGCAGGTTGTTCTGATATTTTCATTAGCTTTTTGTATAACCTTAGAAGTACTTCTTAACTATTTAGTTGTAGCCACTTCCCCCATAACCAGAGCTATTTATTTGTTCTTCCAAATTGATATTTCTCAGATTTTCTAAATTTTTCAGTTCTGAAGAATTTTGGTCAAAGTTTGATTAAAAATTATAAAATTAGAAAGGACAATGCATCTTTCGAAATTCTGCCATATTTAAATTCGGACTTAACTGATAACTGAATCTCCAAGTCAATGTATAATGTATAATATGAGTCAGTAGTGTATAATATGTTATCCACTGATCAGCCATAACATTAAAACCACCTGCCTAATATCGTATAGGTCCTCTTCGTGCTGCCACAACAGCTCTTGACAAGACATCTGAACGTGTCCTGTGCCAGTTGGCACTAAGACATTAGCAGCTGATCCTATAAGTGCTACAAGTTGCAAGGTGAAGTCTGCATGGATTTGATTTGTTGCTCCAGTACATTCCACAGATGGTCAATCGGATTGAGATCTGGGGAATTTGGAGGCCAAAGCAAAATCTTGTACTCTTTGTCATGTTCCTCAAATCATTCCTGAACAATGTGTGCAGTGTTGCATGTGGCATTATCCAGCTGAAAGAGGCCTCTCTCATCAGGGAACACCATTACCATGAAGGGGTGTACATGATCTCTAGATAGGTGGTGCGTGTCAAAGTATCATCCACTTAAATGCCAGGACCCAAATTTTCCCAGCTGCCAGCTTGCCTTCTTCCCATCATACATCGTGCTGCTATATCTTACCCAGGTAAACAACACAAACACTCTGGCCATCCACCTGATCTAAAAGAAAACGTGATTCATCAGACTAGGTCCAGTTCTGATGCTCACAACCTCTTTGAAGATGCTTTTGGCGGTCGTCAGGAGTTATCATGGCAGTCTGACTGGTCTGCAGCTACGCAGTCCTTTACCGATACCCAGGGGCGGACTGAGAACCCTCAGGGCCCTCGGGCAAAATAAATCAAGGGCCCCCTTACAGGCCCCACCCATACTCTGCAGCAAGCGCCACCCTTGTCCCGCCTCCATGCACCGCCTCCAGCCACACCCTACACAATCTTTAGACACAAGGAACAAAAGGGCAATAAGCCCTTCGAGGCCCCAGTAGAGACTACAATTGAGGGCTAATGGGCCATGGAGGGGGGTCTTTCTAGCGGAGGTTATCTCAGTGTCCTTTAGAGAGTGTGTTAGATAGAATCCCCTCCAAGCCCCATTAGAGACTACAATGGAGTCTAAAAGGCTTGGAAGGGGGTCTTTCTAACAGAGGCCATCTCAGCGTCCATTAGATATCCCCTGCTGGAAACAGTGCCTCCAGGCCCCAGTAGAAACTACAAATGAGGGCTAATGGGCCATGGAAGGATTTCTAGCAGAGGCTAGAGTCTAATGGGGCCTGGAGGGTGGTCTCTCCAACACTCTTCCTATTTACAATATAGCAACACAACATAGCTCGCTGATACCTAAGCCAAGTTGGCTCCTCTTACCTTAATTACTGTTGCTGGCTGGCAGTCTGTGGGCTTGCTGGCTGCGGAAGGCAGGCTGTGGGCTTGCTGGCTACTGCCGCAGGCTGTGGGCTTGCTGACTGCGGCTGGCACTTTGTGGCTTGCTGTAGGCCTGTGGGCTGGCTACTGGCCTGTGGGCTGGCTAACTGGCTGGCTACTGGCCAGCCTGTGGGTTAGCTGGCTGGCTACTGGGGCACTTGTAGATTATTTAAAGAAATAACCCATGCACAATGTTCAGTAAGGTGATGTTCTCCTTAGTGGATTACTGCCTAGAACAGTTTATTGACTTAGAAAGGGCCATAAAGGCATTGAGGCTGTAGTTCCTATAGGAGACTGTATGCAACAGTGTGAAAGGTTTTATGTGTCACAGATAGATGCTGTGTGAATGTGTAGGGTGTGTGGGTGTGTAGGGTGTGTGGCAATGTTAGTATGGGGGGCTGTGTAACAAAAAAACAAGACTCTTATGTGGCAGTGTAGGTGTGTGTGTGAGGCAATGTGTGTAAATCTGTATGGTGTAAGCATTATTTTGTGTCAGAAATGTACATGTGTGTGTCATAGAGAAGCAAAGTGGGGCTAGAGTTCACAGTGTTTTAGAATGTACTGTATTAAAATGGGGGTGCTAATATCCTGGAATGTTCTGATTTGTGGTTTTTATTCTTCTAGACCTCACCTATCTCAAATCGTGTTGCAGTTCTGAGCACACGTCTTGTACATACAAACCTCTCTATGGTGTATTACAACGTGTTCTTCAAGATGTGTAGAGCTCACGGTATTGGCTTTGATGTCAAGGTATGAAGTGCCTGCAACCAAGGGGTCTTTTAGATTATTGCATGCATGAAGACAAGAGGGATCTGTGTTTGATTATGTAGATGTGAAATATAAACAGTCTCACTATAAACTATATGAATCTATTAATGGTGATGGTGACGATAAGTAAGCAGTGTATACATATGGTAAAGATAGGCAATGAATGTCAATATAAGCAACAGATATGAAGGTAACACATGATAGAGATAACAAGAAAATGTTAAGAATTGACAAGGGAATTACAAATTGTAGCCCAAAATCGCATAGTTGGATACATTTTCCGAATCTGTTATTGTGACCAAAATGATCTATTTCCTTTCAAGTTATTGGTCTATACAAATCCAAATTTGGGGAATATAACATTTAGGGTTATTCAATAAAGTGTGATTTGTTGAGAAATCAAAATCAATTTCAAGTTTTAGACTAAAATAGATCATTTAAGAAGATTTTCCAAGCTAGTTACGATTCCAGTAGTGGTATTTTGGGCTGCAATTTGACATTTATCTAGAATCCATTACAATTCACCGGCATAAATTACCCTACTAGTGTATTATTGAAATGAAAACCGAATAGCAAAACCTATGCTAAAATTGCAACGTTGAAAAAGGATCTCATTTGGAAGTAAACTGTGCTCTTTTGGCCTAAGTTGTACAAATTAATAAATACTCTGCCTAGGGGGATATCAGGCCCTTTTTCATTCACTGCAGTTATGCTGTATTTGGTGCCTTAGGGTGCACCAGCCCCCCTCCCCCTCTCACCTCTATAGTGTAGCTTTGCAGACCAAGGTAGAGGATATTCTTGACTTGCTACCTGTCAGACCTCATGAAGAGTATCCTCTACCATGCTCCATTTGGCCACACTACAGACTGGGGATAACAGGATGAAATAGAGAGCCAGAAAAGAGTGAGAACAACGGGGGATAAGGGACGCAATAGGAGTAAGTGACAGAAAAGTGGTGTGACATATAAAGGGCTGTAAGAGACACAAACTGGCAAAAAGGAGATAAGATACACAGTAGAAGGTAAGACATGTAAAGGGGAAATGAGAGACAAATGAAGGGCGAAGAAACCACAAAAAGGGATAAAGTAATGAAAGCGGAAATAAGCATTACAGAACCAATTACATAAGTAATGCAATCCTCCAAAGGGGAAAAAAGACTAAAACAGGGGGTAGTATATAAAAAAAGGTTTAGTAAAATGGGATCAAGAGATAAATTGGCCTACATGGGTCAAACTCATTTTGGGGGGCAGCAAAATGCATCTTTGCCCGTGTAGCCAGAAATAATTGCACCAGGTCCATTGTACAAGCTTTGCATGAGACAAGTTTACTGACAGCTGACATGTATTGCTATATATAATGTAGCTTAAATGATGAACATTTACATGTGAACTTAATAATGTAAGGTGAGCACTAATACAAACACAGTGAGGGGCACTTTACAAGAAAGCATATTGCCATGTACTTTCACTGTGTACCTTTATACCTCACTAGTAAATATATTGATCAGAATATATTTATGTACGATGTGTACAATGGGATGTGAACGCATATTAATATAATAGGTGGGATATATTTGTATGTGTAAATTTGTTGATAGTTTGCTTTCACAATATATAGCTAAAACTTTATTTTCTATGCTCACAGCCGGCACAAGTTGATTTCCTGAAATGGCTGTGATTGATCTGGGGAGAGAATAAATATTGATTTGTGATGGTGTGGATAGTGCTAAGTTTCACATTCTGCTTTTCTTGTCAGGAGAAACAAGGGACTGTGTTTTTACTCTTGGAAAATCAGAAAAGGCATCGCTTGGGAATGCTGTGAGTAATAAAATGCATTTTCACACATAAAGACAACTGACACGTTTACCAACCTATGTTTCTCCACTGTTAATGTGGCCTCACACAAAGCAATCAATCTGTGAAGTACTGCACCCCTTGTTACCTTGGAACACTAAGCATTTCAGGTGGCATACATTATGTCCCATAGTTCCGTTCACTGTATTTCACTCTGCTGAGAATTGGATAGAGACTATGTCTCATTATGCTTTTCTGTCAAGACAAGTGGCAGTGGTCTGTGATAAACAGTCTCTATTGGAGCTTGTCGATTTATTGGAATATCACATTGTTTATGTTATACTTGACCTTGTAATTGCCCTTACATTCTTAAGCCAATCAAACATTTAATTCATTATTGTACAAAAGACAGAAGTCCAATACATGGGGAACACATGCCTAATCTCTAAATAAACTTACTACACCACAAGCATTTTATGCAGTATTTATTTATTTATTACTGGCATTTATAAAGCGCCAACATATTCCGCAGAGCTGTATAATTGAGAAAGACAACACAACAGGAACAGACCGAAACAACAAGGAGAGGGTCCTGCCCGTGAGCTTACAATCTAAAGGTTAAAGGACCACTATAGGCACCCAGACCACTTCAGCTTAATGAAGTGGTCTGGGTGCCAGGTCCATCTAGGTTTAACCCTGTCTGTTGTAAACTGCTATGTTTACATATGGGTTAATCCAGCCTCTAGTGGCTGTCTCATTGACAGCCGCTACAGGCGCTTCCACGCTTCTCACTGTGATTTTCACAGTGAGAAGACACCAGCGTCCATAGGAAAGCATTGTGAATGCTTTCCTATAGAAAGACTGAATGCGCGTGCGGTTCTTGCCGCGCATGTGCATTCAGCCGATGACGTCGGAAGTAGCAGGAGAGTCCCCAGCGCCGAGGGAGCCCGGCGCTGGAGAAAGGTAAGATATGAACCCCTTCCTCCCACTTCAGCTCGGTGGGAGGGGGGCCATGAGGGTGGGGGGGGACCTAAAGACCCTAAAGTGATGAGACAAGAGGTAGCAGAGGGATTTGTATGTGATAGCAGAGAGAGTTAATAGTATAACTGTAGCAGCTGATAGCATGTGAAGAGAATGAGGAGGTGATTGGCTGTGGTTCCAAACAGCTGGAAGAGCATACTATACACACACACACACACACACTGACACACTAAGACACACATACTCTTTGACAGACACACATACACTCTCACTGACAAACACGCATACTCTTTGACGGACACACACACTCTTTGACAGTCACACATACACTCTCACTGACAAACACACATATAAACACATATACATTCTCACTGACAAACACATACACTCTCACACACTCACTGACAAACACACATATACTCTTTGACAGACACACAAACACATACAAACTCCCTAACATTTTACTCCACCCAGCCCCCCTACCTTTAGGCTGGCATGGAGTCCCTGTGGTCCAGCAGGGCAGCTGGGTGGCTGGTGAGCGGTCCCTGGGGTCCAGTGGGGCTGCTGAGCAGCTGGCGTGTGGGCGGCGAGGGAGCAGTGATCTTCCTGCTCAGCTCCCTCACGCGCCTCTTAGTGATGCCAGAGCCAGAGTGATGTCATATTCCGGCTCCGGCATCACTGCTGTGTGCGCAAGGGAGCTGAACAGGGAGATCACTGTTCACTGCTCCCTCGCCGCACGCGACCATTTTGTTTTGAAAAAGTTGTAGTTCAGCAACATCTGGGGGGTCGCAGGTTGGACAGCCCTGCTTTATGGTCAGAGGTTGTATCCAGGTTGTAGAAGATAAGTAATATTATTGAAAAGCAGACATATCTGTATTATCTGAGGTATGTGAGACATTGTCACTTTTAAACTCAATGTAAGAGCAATGATGGAGAAGGGGTACTTGCTCCCTCTGCTGGTATGCTGTGGATACCCTTGACCTCGGCAAGATTTCCAGCTCAAATATAGGATATGGCATTCCACCTTGAGAAACCTCACTAACAACACTAATACAAGCATATAATGGTTGCCAAGGAGTGGGAGTGCAAACAGGGACTAGTCTAATTTACGAGTACTAAGGGGTCAGGCAGAAGAAGAGACAGTCCAGTTTCAGTTGTAGGACAAAAAACAAATGGATAAAAGCTTAATAGTTCCCACTCAAGAGGTCCCAGATGAGTTTTAGCTCAATTGACCTTGAACAATTCAGCCTATACCAGTATATTAGAATGCTAACGGGTTATCTAGAACAGGGCTCCACACAAGGGATACAGTTAAAATCAAGCAATTGTTGGTCTTCTTATAGGCCTTGTAAGAGATATAACTGCAGTAGCCCCAATAGATTCATTGAACAAGGTTGTCCACATCTAGGTTTTCTTGTTCAACCAAAAGATATGCTAAGAATATGTATCCGAGTCAGAAAGTGTGGCACACACTGATATTGGACAAAGGTTTAAGAGTTGTGTGCAATGGGTAGTAACCATTCAGACAGTTTTAAATTAACTCATGTTCCTGTTGTATGACCTATCCCAATACCATCTCTGAGCATGTAGCTAAATATTTCACTAAACAATCTGCTAAACACTACAATTAAAACCCAATTTGATTTTAGACCTTGAGAAATGGACATGGACAGCTTTGACATATAATCCATATTTTTCTTGCTTTCTGTATTAATCGTGTTGCAGAATTTCATAACTTGACAAGGAAGCTCTACCTTGAACATGCATATTTTAAATAGAGTATGGCGGAAACTGTCAAAAAAAGGTTATGCACCATCTATAAAGGGGTTCACACATATCTGTAAAGTAAGGTTTGAGATATCTTACTTCGTATCATTAGATGTCAGTGATTTCTAAAAAGACACAAGTTGTGCAAATATTCCCTATTAACAGAATAAGATATCTTTCAGGATTTCTTTGTAAAAATAATGCAGCACTCCGTCACTATAATGATGAAAGTGTATTTTGCTCCTTATTTTTCATGCGTTTGAGTAGACTTTTGTTTCTGTATAATTCATGATTGCAATAAGAATTGTGCGTAAATAGATTAGAGAGAGTTACTTAAATAGTTTTGCAAGATTTTTGTAAAGAATGTCTTCTTTACATTTTGTTAGTTGAAATGTAAGCATATGTGTAGGTTAGGGCAAAACATCATTTTTGTGGTATCGTATAAAAAGCATCTGTTACTTAGGAGAGAAAAAAAACACTTGTGTATGTGGTGCAGCATGGAGATAGCTGTTAATGCTCTGTTTACACAAAGTATAGGTTGATTGCACGCTTTCTTTAGCTCAGTGACCAGTTCTTTAACCGTAATATTATATCAATGTAAGTAAATTCTGCAAAACTTGTTTTCTGATGGGTTTTCACAGCACTGGAGAAGATTACACCACAATTCTAAATGATTGATTTTGGGAATGGGAAGATGCTTGGGGTTTCAAGGATATACTAGTAAAATATGTACCCACTTAAATAGCACACAGACCCATTTTCTCTTTTGTTTGTTTTTTTTTTGTTATATTTTGCTTGTTTTTATTTGTGTTTTTTGTTTTGGGGGGGAGGGGAGGTTATAAACCATTACAATAGGGAGTACCAGTATATAAGCCAATGAAGCAGGGAGAATTGGTAGAGATGAGCAATAGTTGGATTGAAAGATATATGTATGAGTAAATGGCTAGAGAGAAGTTATTCAAGTTAACTGAAACGACTCAATGTCTTCTTTCTAAATCTCATTACCAGGAGCATTGCAGAGGACCTCCAGGGAGCTCTCATGACCTTTGCTCGCAATCTGTTTATCATCCATCAGGAAATATCAACCCCTAACATGCAGGGTGAAACTAATTTCAAGGTGAGCTGTTAATGAACTAACGATTTCAGCTCCATTTCACCAACGACTTGGTAAGAAAGGAGATGGAACAGCTTCATTCTTCATGAAAGCTGCGTTTGGTGTCTGCTAATTACTGTCCTGCATGAAGGACAGTGTTAATGATCTGCACAAGGTTTCTATAAATACAGTACAGCATACATAGAGTACAGTGTGCTATTAGAAGGCTTTAAAAGGACAAGTAGGGAAAAGTGATTATTTGAACCAATAGGGTTCCCTGGGTGAGATTGTGTGGCACAATAAAGGTTATAAGAATAGGTTATAGGGATTAATAGGAAATAGCAATTGGAGTGGTTAAATAAAACAAGACAAGGAGCCCAGTGGAAAACTCTGACACTTCATGAATAATGACAACATAGGGTGAAGTTATCCACAATCTTACGGTGGTTTTACGGAGTAAACAATGCGTTACACACAGCAATGGAAAGAGTTACATGGCAAAATTAGAGAAATTACACTACTTTCTGCAGTAATTTTCTAATGCAGAAAATACAATGTTAGCAGAATATAAACCCTTTTGCTGATGGTAGAAAAGTCAGAGGATAATGTAGTTTTAAATGGTTGATTAGTATCCATCATTTTACTCAAAAAGAAGATTAAACCATATGATTACACATTAATAGTGGAGTATTTTTTTCAAATCTAGTGTAGTGATTAAAGGGTAGTTGGAAATATATGTACCGATACATTACGATGTCTGTTACAACTTGCCTGTATGGATATGCCATCATCTATACATTACCAACACATGAGAAGAAGAAAAAACATATTTGTCAGGTTGCACATTGATAGGATTTTATGTTTATTACAGAAAATCGTACAAGACATTGAAGGCATTCTGGGAGTCACAGAAGAAAACAAACTGAAATTTGATCAAGAAGGTGAAGACAATGGCCATCTCACAGCAAACCCATGACGGCTTCTCTAAACTGGAGTTTTTACAACATCTTCCAGGCAATATAAAGCAGACTAATCCATGTGCTTGTGGTATTCTGGGAATTAGATTTATGATTTCCTAGTCTCACATTGTCATCACCCATTTGATGGGTAAGATTTTGAAAATCACAAGGATTAGTGTGGCTTATAAGGACCAAAGATTTGATTTTAACAATTGATGTGCATGATTGGTGCCATTAAATTCAACTGTAATGGAAGGAGCTTTTTCTAAAACAAATCTGGCACAAATTTGGTGCTTGCCGGCAATTTGTTTTCTATTTCATAATTGGTTTTGTTTTAAAAAAAAATGTAAAATCTCTCAGTTTATGACTGACTCTGTTGGTTTTTTTCCTTTGGCATTTAGCTATGTCATACTTGATTGCATTTATCTTTGTAAGCCATGTGATTTAAAAAAAAATAATTGTATACTTTAAATATGTGTAAATGCTTTGAAAACACAATTTTGCCTATTCAGTACATGTCAACAATTTAAGTAATGTTTTGTGCTTGTGACTCATCAACTATCATCTAGCACTTACTGTGTCAGCTGACCCTTACAAAATGGCTGACAAGGTCCCACATGGAATGCCCTTAGCAACCTGCACAGGCCATTCGGAATGTTGAAAGGTTTGCATTATTTCATAACAGTGTGCAATCGTCTAAGCTCTCTTCAAATTAGAATCATTCTCCATTAGTATCCCCTTCACCTTGTAGTTATGCATCAAGACATACTCAGGCTCAACTGTATGACATCATACTATCCCAACCCATAATTTAGCATTATGTTTTCAAGCTATTGTCCCAGGCCACTGGCTGACATTTAGAGGAAGTATTTCTGTTCTCACACAGGAAATTCTGAATATACAGAACAGGGAAACTATTCCAAAGTGCTTTGTTTAGAGATGTAAGCTCCTCAGGCCACTGGTAGATACTATGCAAAGTAATGTTTTAATTATAGTATACAGTAGCACACTAGCTACTATTAAAATTTTAGGTGAAGATAAACATACAGACAGACTTTCATCAGACACAGATAGCCCAATCCCTGATATAAAAACATCACTCATATATATTCCTCTTTCTGTCAGTCCTGCTAATAATATGCATTTGGTCTGCCACAATGAAACATATTCCCATGCACACCTGTAGCCAGGTAGCACAGGGGGGAATTTTTCAGGTATACAGTCCAGGGAAAAACAAGAGTTGTGTGCAAGATTATATTTGTATGTATTTTATAATTTATGTATTGTCATCAAGAATATGCAAAACGATTCAGTGAGTAAAAACTTAATTCTGTTTTCGGTTTCTGTCAAGTTGTATGAGGAAGAAAGAAACATGCCATGTTCACAGAGGTTAAAGGAGGTAAATCACAAAATCACAAAGGCAGGTCAGGATTTACTCAAGGATCAAGGGCTTACACTCATCCTTCTCTGCTTCTTTCAGTGGATACTAGAAGCCATAAATAGAAGGGATGGAGAGCCACATCAGATAAGTGTTTGTTGTGCCAGTCAAATAAATTGAGCTGGAATCACACAGAAACAATGCGTTGTGTTCTAGCATTGTGCTCTGTAATGTAAACCAATAAGGCTGATGTAAATCAAGCAGAAGGATTACAATTACAGCAGAATTATGGTGATTGTGTTTAAAGGGTTAAAATAGATGTAAATGTCAGCTCTGTAAAACTTGCCATCAAAGCTTGTTACATCTAATAGGCTCTACTAGTTTCCTAAGACTTGCAAAAATGAAAACTATAAAAAATACTGTAGATGTGTTGGTTTAAAACACAACAAAACAATGAATTTAAATCACTTTAAAGTGTAATTAGTGGAAGCTGTATCTTGTGACCAGAAACATATTGGAAATCTAAAAGTCATCCCTTTCACATAAAACAATAGTACAGTGGATGTGTGTTGTGTCCCTTTAAATATTTTTATACTATACAAGGATATTGTTCTTTGAATGTCTTTAATAAATTCATTTAACAGATGCCAAATAATGCTGTGAATATCTGATTTTCATATATGAAAGACACTGATCTCAAACTGTCCCTAGGTTTAGTTCACATGTAAATTTGCCGCTACCTGTGGCTGGTAAAGAAGTCTAGGAGTTGTAGTTGTAGTTTAAAAATATCTGAAGGGGTGCAAAAAAAAGACATCTCATGGTAAGTATAAAATTTTTCACTGGTATGAAAAATTATTCCCCCTCCTCTTACAATGTTTTAATGTTGGGGAAATAGGCAAAATATTTTTATAAGATGGGTGGCTAGGGGGTTGGCAGAGGAGAGGAGGAGGTGTCACAGGATTGCAGCACAGCATGGGTGGAGAAGAACAAGGAGAGAGAGCTGCTACTGCTCAATCCCACTCCCATTAGCCTCAGCCAGCAGCAGCAGAACCCTATGCAAGCCACCCTCCTGCACACAAAAGGTATGCTCACAGGAGGGTGGCTGCAAATATAAAAACAATGACATGTATGTATCTATGTGTGTCTGTGTGTGTGTATGTGTATCAGTGTGTCAGTGTGTGTGTAGGTGTGCATGTGTCAGTGTGTATGTATTATATTTGTAAGTATGTATGTATTTATGTGTCAGTGTATGTGCATACATCCCAGCAATCAGACACAAACATTACATACAAGCACATCCCAGCATTCAAACTCCAAAATCATATACAAACACCAATACTACACATAAATGTACACCTGCATTTACAATCCAACACTACAAACACACCCCTACAATCAAACACAATCATTACATACAAACACACCCCTGTATTAAAACACTAAAATTATATACAAACAACACCAACACTACATACAAAGGCACACCTGTATTTGAAAGCCAACACTACATACAAGTAAACCATTTGCAGTACATACAAATACACCCCTACACGCACACACATACTCTATACAAAAACATACTTACATTCAAAGGCACAAACACTGCTTTCAAATACAACCCTACAAGGGTGGGCAAATGGTAGATCCCCAGCTGGCATAACATTGTGGGAATTGTAAGACAGAGGGGTATTTATCTTTTGGTCATTCCTGTGCTTGAGATGGGCCCAAAAAATGATTGCACTAAGGCCCTCTCTACATTAGATTCACCACTGCATCAGCTATTTTTATTTAGTAGACCACAACCATTATTTAATTTACAGCTCCCACCCAACACCCATCGTGGAGGCACAGTCGGGACCTCTGCCAGGTCCCCCCTGTATTTTAGCCACTGGCTGATCACTGTTTAGTAGCCACCCCAAACCCCCACAAATAGTGGCTGGTCGCTTAAGGTATGTTTAAAACCACCCTTTCACTTATGTGGGGGTCATATTTACCTCATTGCCTTTTTATTAACTATTTACCTGTTTGCTACAAGTGCTGCGGGCAGAGAAATAGTAAAATAAATAAATAATTTATCAACAACTTTTAGGTGTTAAATTGGATTAACCCATTGACTTACCAAAGTTGATATTTTCAATGTAAAACTATAGCTATCGGTTTTGAAATGTGAGCAGTAATGTAATCTATCCATGCTGTTAAATGGCTTATCGGGAACTGATAAACATGATCAGCTCTAATTTGAGGCCTTTGATGTTAAGATGTCAATATTAACACCTGCTATCTTGTAGCAGCTACTAATTGCCAACTGGCTTCCACCAATTTTTTTTATCAGCTGTTGACATCTGATTACAAAGATACCGACCACTTGATGAATAACCTTTTTTTTTTAAGGTATACACAGAAATGCATGCGGTGTAAATTGTATCATGTTTATTACACCCTGTGATTGACTTTGGCAAGAGATAGCGACAGTGTATACAATGTATTAAGCTGTGATTTTATGCTATGCCAGATTCATATCTAGGTAACTTCTGAGGTTCACTTCTGTTATGGGAGTTACGCACATTATGTATATAAAGAACAATTTAATGTTTTATATCGTGTCTGACCATTTCTCTTATTTTATAGCAGTTTGATATGGTTTCATGTACTTTCACACGCGCTTTTTCCTTGTAATGCCATATAGTCAGCACATATTTTTCCTATAAAATGTAGAGTGGTTTGGTTAACTTTTTTTGTGTCAGGCAAGTGGCTGGTGTTACGTTTTTCTGGGTTATCGGCAGCCATTAAACAGTAGCTAAAACGTCTATACAAATGTAAACATTTAAAAAAAAAAAACTGTTTCAACAGGGTTGGATAATTCTGCAGTCTGTGATTTAGTGAATAGCGACTGGCCAGTAAAATTAGTGAGAAGATTAGAAACAAGCCCTTATTGTCTTACTCTTTTCCTTCCTTGTATCAACACCTGTACAAAGTTAGCTATCATGGTGAGGAGAGAGGCTGAAGGCTGCGGGGAACAAGCAATGTTTGAAAGAGTTTTAGATTTATTATATATTTTGAGTGCTGTAAATGGGAGCAATACACTGCTTTGTGATTTGTTTACATCTAGTCTGGAACTGAATTGGTTATGATTCTCGTCAGAAAACGGACAGCTATCCACGCTGGGAAAAAAAAATACATGGTTTATTTCATGCATTTTAGAGAAGCTATTTATTTATACATTTATTTTTAATAGGTTTTTTTTTCATAAATAGTAGAAATAAAAAAAATGGGCTATTGCAGAAGGTAAAATAATATTTTTAAGAAATCATTTCACTCATTATTGTCATAATTAATTATCAGATCCTGTATTTCCTTACATTATGAGCTTGTTTCATGTACTTGAGTTGTTATATGAGATCTATAAAAGCCATTTTCCTCCCCAAATACACAGGATTGAGACTGATAACATAACAGAGATATATAGTGTATATATATATATATATATATAATAAGCTTTCATCCTGTAGTTGAGACGAAAGCACTCATTAAAGTGATATTTTCTTCCAACTTTCCTTCATATTTTTATTGTAAAATAGAAATTACTCACAATGCTCCTTTTGTTTTAATGGGATATGATGTATATACGTAGGTTAAACACTGGATTGGGAGAAGAAATAGGCCTGGGCATTTCTTAGCGCAAGTCATCTTTCAACCTTACACATCCTAAAAATAAATAAAAACATCTCATACAAGCTATCATACGTAAATACACTTATAAAGACAGTTATATAGAGACATTATTTCATCGATGCACAGAGGCACACATATGTTATATCTCATGCCCTCCTTTCCCATTCTAACCCTCATGGTCCAGTACCAGGCTAAAGCTGGTTACCCCATAGAGATCTGTTACCTATTAATTAATTTAGCCTGTAACCTCAAGTGTCATGAATCACCAACTTTAAACTCATTGCTAAACATAATTTTAACCCTGACATTAAGCCTCTCAGTGTACTGCAAACTTTGCATGTATTGCAAACATACAATAAGGGAGAGGAAGTAGTGAGCCATGAGTCTACAGCATTCAATATGTTTCCTTTACTTCCTCCCTGCCTGCCACTGAGGCAGGGAAATTTAGTCTGTGGCCTGCAGCCAAGTACACAACATGAAGCAACAGCCACCAACTGCATATTGGCTTATGTGACGGAACTCCTGTACTCCAACCGAGTACCTCTGCCCCAGTTGTCGAAGCTTGACTGAGGTCCCACCCGACAAGGCTGTAGCTCTCCTTTCAGGCAGGTATCGTCCCCTCTGTCTATTCTGCTACAGCTCTTCTTCCAGGCAGGTATGTGTAATACTGCCTATAATGTGATTACACCTATTGACTTTACAAAGGCAATTGTGTCTCTTAGGCCCAGCTCTCTTGCTTTAACCCAGGGCTAGAGGGATTGTGCAGCCTGCCAACTAGTCCAAAAACTCTGTCACTGGGATAACCAAAAATTCACACAAGACACCCAGTTCCAAATGGAACTAACATGCTAAACTCTATATTTACTTGGGACTAGCTCATATGCTTATTATATCAAGCTTGCTGTGACAAACTTAATAAAATACAAATAACCAAAACGTGTTAGAAAACATACATGGAATTACAATAACATAACAACATATTTATAAAGGGGTGAGGAAAACAATATTTAACACAAAATATCTCTCCTACCTGCAGAATTAGCAATATGCAAATCTACCTGAATATGCAAATTAACAAGCCTTGCTATTCAGGTAGTGCATATTGCTGTTGCTACCAACAGAGGGTGCTATACAGGCTCCATAGCCAAATCCACCTAGTTGGTATTCTCAGCAGGACAGGGACACCTACCCTAAAACAGCAGTGATAAGGGAACAATAGCTGTCGCTTGTCTGTGCCATCTTACTCTCTACTGGACTAGTACTCCCCTGCTCGAAGGAGAAACAGCCAACTGCATGAGAGTGTTTGAAGGTCGAGCAGGACACAATGTATGGGCAACTGATTGTGACCAGAGAGAGAACTCACCCCCTTAATCTGATAGGAAGTCACCACTTGAAAGTTCTCAATCCTGTGTTTAGAGCAGTGGTTCCAAACTTTTTAGGTTCAAGGCACCCCAAGTCAAAATTTCTAGGTTGTATATCTGTACAGCGCTGCAGCTTTTAAGGGCACTATAGTGTAATGTACAGTGTTGGTGTTTGAAGGGGTGCTTGTATATAGTTATTGTGTTTTAATACAGGGGTGTGTTTGTATGTAATGTTTGCGTTTGATTGCAGGGGTGTGTCTGAATGTAATGTTCACTTTTAAATACGGATGTATTTGTGTGAAGTATTTGTGTTTGAGTGAAGGGGTGTGTTTGTATGTAATATTTGTGTTAAACAGCAGCTCTGGGAGGCTATTCTGACATCTTGCAAACAAATTCAAGCAGAAACTGTCCAAAAACTCACAAGTTCAATGGATGCAAGATTTGTGAAGCTGCTATCAAATAAGGGGTCCTATGTTAAAATGTAACGTGACCTGTTAAAATGTTTAAAAAGTTAAAATGTTGTTAAAAGTTTGATTGAAATAGCTTTTGATTTTAGTAAATATGCTGCAAAAACAACAAATGTTTTTTATGTTTCAAAAAAATACTGTTATCATTAGGAGGTTTGGTCAATAAAATTTGAATTGTACTCTTAATAGTTGATAACATGAAAATTATGCTGACTGTTATTTACATCATTATTATTATTATTATAAATGAGAAAAATATAATTTGCATAATTTCATGCATATTAACACACAGATGCATATAAATACACTGACGCATACACACAAATCCATACAGACACCGACACATACACACATATAGATACACACAGGCACATACACACACATAGATATACACCGACATATACACACCCTGACACACACAAACATTAATACATGCCCACACCATGATACAGATACACACACTGACAAAAAAACACACACCCTGACACACAGATGCACATACACAGATGTATGCGCAGACACAGAAGCACACAGATATATATATATATATATACACACACACAAACACAGAGACACACCCTGACACAGACACACACTCACAAACACCCTGACACACACTCATACTCACTGACACAAACACCCTGACATACACACACACTCATACATACATACGAACACTCATACTCACACACACACTCAAACTTATACAAGTGATTTTTTTTAATAACTCCAGCCACCCTCCTGTTAGCTTACCTTATGTGCCAGGAGGGTGGCTTGGAGTCCTACTGATGGTGGGAGTGAGGGGTCTGGAGCTCTTCATGCTCCTCTCCCCTCACGCTGCGGCTGCCTCCTCGTCCTCCCGCGCTGTCTCTGGCTTTAAAGGATCGCGGCACCTGACCAGGCCCCTGTTCAGCAGTAATCACAGCACTGGGGAAAAATTCCGCGGCACCCCTGTGTGCACGTTTGGTAACCGCTGGTTTAGAGAATACGTTTGTAGGCTGAAGTGATTACAGCAGTTCTGTAATGAGCATGATGCCTAGGAAAAAAATTTTATTGCTAGATATATAGTTGAGACTTAGAAGAGGATTTATAGGACATTAAAATAACTGGCCAGTCACTAGCCTTTTAAAAATAGCGAGCAGGCACTGGTTGCTCATTATGTGCGGACATGCCCTCAGCAAGTGAGGATATGGGGCTAATATAAGGGACATATTGACCCCCATAGGCTTTTATTTTGTTTCTTTTTTAATAACTAACATGGTAATCATTAAAAAATGGTGATAAAAGTGCTTCTGAAGCACATTTATCATACAATATTTCTCGAGCAGCCCACCCATTTATCAGGTTCAGATGCTAGAATTTAATCCAGTTAAAATTTGAAAAATATTGTCCAAAACCAGATGAATTTTATCAACCATTTCCAGCTGATAGAATGGAATTGAGGCTCATGAGAAACTCAGGAATATCCCTAGCCAGACCAGAGAAGCCCTCGGTAGATACAACATTTTACCCATGGACATCCACTACTCTTACCTGGCCATGCACGCGGAGTTGATTTGGGGGGAGGCAACACATTTCCAGCTTGGTTTGTGGGTGTACTCCATATGGACACACAGAATCAAGAGCATCCAAGTTTGATCAATAGTTCTTCAATCACCAGCAACGGGAGGAGCAAACAGCCACAAGCAGAAGATACATTTTGGGTCACACAACGCAATCTGGATGACGAATAGTGCTATCACAAGGACAATACCAATATTCGCTATTGTTAGGTCATAAATATATACCGTTCTAAGTATCTCTCTGTCTGAAATAACATATGTTCTAGAATGATCCTAGGAAAATTATTTCAAAGAAT